CGAGCTTTTTGTATAACTTGTTTCATTTTTGCGTCGTCGACAAATAGAAATAACCGTGGGCAAGCGACTTTGTAGTATTAAACAATACTAGTATTCCTTTGCAATAATAACACCACCGACTAAATGTCAATACCAATAATTAAACTTCATATTTCGCGGAATGCGCGAGAGAATTGGAAATTTTTACTTGCTCGCAATTAAATGGGGAAGCCAATCTTTCCTTCGCGAAACGGTTTATTCATTCATTTAGGTCATCGTACTTGCGAGAGCTTTCACATTCCCTTTTAGTTCTATTTATTTAAATTAGATGCCCCGAAAGTTGGTCATCGCGTTGGTCAGTGCTAACGAGAGCGTGTACTTTCTCATGTGAGCACTGAAATTGGAGAGCATCCGAATGCTGAACGAGTTGGTTCAAGGACCGCAACTTGGGTGCACTTTTGCAATAAAACGGATGTCGTATATTCTCACGAAACTACGGATGCACCATTCATCTCCGACATCTTAAACTCAGTTATTATCAAGAAAATAATTACACATGACAAAATCATCAGAAAAACAGTATTTGTTTGTTGTAATATATAAAAGTGTTATAAGATATAAAAAAAGAATTTTGTGTATTTTATCATATAAAATTTATTTTGCTAGCTTAACTTTATGAATCCATAAAATACCATAAATTATAACTTGCTCCTCTCGTTATGTGGTTTCTATAAGGCTTAATACTAGAATTATTAATAAATAAGCGAAGTTTATTTACTTATAAGAACTCGGCCGGGTAATGTTCAGAAAGATCCCTTTTTTTCAACGTATAAAATTAATGCTCTCCTATATAGTCACGGAATCCCCTAAGCAGTCATCTCCGTTGATGTAAAAAAATAAGCAGTATTTCTTCTCACGTCAGATAGAAACTCTAATCAAATGTTTCGCAATTTTAGCCTACATTTTTTCTGAGATAAGATAAAGTTACCCCTTATGCAAATGTGGATCGTTATTCTGCGAGAAAGTCGATTTTCGATTGTATCAAAATAATAGAAAACGGGCGAACTGCGGTTTCCCGAACTTTAATATTTATTGCTTTGCTATTTTACAAAGTCAACCAAGAAAAATTTATGTAAGTCTTTATGATAAAATAATTTCTACAGAATAGATATATGTATTGATGATGCAGTGACTGTTTTCTCTATTTCAAGCAAAAATGACGTTATTCTATAATTGGTATAATTTATTATCATCTTCGTAATTTCATATCCATATCTAAAAGTGTAGGGTTTGTTAGTGAAAGTTTAATAACAAATTCAAACTATACAAACAAGCTTAAAATAGATAACTGTTATTTCATGCTAACAAAACTGAATTTTCTTCTTGGGAAATCTCAATAAATATTACTTGATCAAGAATAATAAATGTACTATATATATTTAATTTTCTTAGATAGAAAAATGTTGAACTTACCAAAAAGATTTATCATTAAAAAAATAAAGCTGAAGAAGACATAGGATATATATATATATATAAAAGCTCTATTTTTTAATGATAAATCTTTTCGTTCAATTTAAAATCGACTTTTCTGTAGAAAAACTAAAGTTTCAAAATCTTACGCATATTATGACTAAACTTTAAATTAAAATTCTATTAAACTTAATTTAAAATAAGTTATTGTTAAACAAGTATTTAGGCGTCTACGCAGAAATTTGTGCGCATATATGTAAACATCTCGTTAAACGGAACTCTTCCGGACCTTGTTTATTAATAAATAAATTTTTTTCTGTCGTAAATAATCTAAAAGTAAGTAACCATACTCATAATTTTTGGTACCAAACACAGGGGCGACTGTAATAAATTGTTAAACGAGTATTTAGACGTCTACGCAAAAATTTGTGCGCATATATATAAACATCTCGTTAAACGGAACTTTTCCGGGCTTTGTTTATTAACAAATAAATTTTTTTCTGTCGTAAATAATCTAAAAGTAAGTAACCATACTCATAATTTTTGGCACCAAACACAGGGACGACTGTAATAAATTGTTAAACGAGTATTCAGGCGTCTACGCAGAAATTTGTGCGCATATATATAAATATATTGTTAAACGGAACTTTTCCGGGCCTTGTTTATTAACAAATAAATTTTTTTCTGTCGTAAATAATCTAAAAGTAAGTAACCATACTCATAATTTTTGGCACCAAACACAGGGACGACTGTAATAATTCCATTCTACACAAATAAAATTTTGATTTAAAGTTTGTAAAGTTAATTCGAAAAGAACTTTGTCTTCTCGTTGTAATTATTTATAATATGCACAATGTTGACATTTTGACAATAGTAAAAAAATGTTAAGTGTTATTCTGTTTAATTTATAATTTCTTTTCCTTAGCAGAGAAAAATATGCTTTATTTTATAATCTCTGCTAATGATTTCGAATATCAGGATTCATTGATATCTCCTCTTTCCTTTAAGATCTCTTTACCTCTAAGAGGCTAAAATCACTTAGCCGAAATATTTCAGAGAATCGATAGCTGCTGCTTTAATTTGACATGCCTTGCGCTTGACGCGAGCCGGACAAAGAGCCGAATCAAATGAAGTGAACGCAATTGAAGCGAACGTTGTCAGCGCGATTATCCTAGGCGTCATCGTTAGAGCTATCGAGTTATCAAATGAGAGCTGCGCTCTCAGAAATGCCTTAGTAAAGTTCCGGTCGTTGAAAGCGTGGCGCGTATTAAGTGTCCGAGAGATCCGGGGATTAACATCGTTCCGCGTTGTTTCTGACTGAATAAGCGCGCAAATTTTCTCATTCGGCACTTTAGAAAATTATTCATACTCATGTCATTTCGCTCAAGAAGAAAAGAAGAGAACAAAAAGTACGAAGCAAATATCACTTTATTTTGCAAAATCAATTGATGGCTAGCTTACGCGAGCTTTATTTTTAATTTATTATTTTATTGATTGTTTATTCTCATTTTCGTTTAAATACTACATTTAAACTTTATCAATGATAATAATTGCAAATATAGCATGTGACAAGTAATAATACTGTTATTTTTCAAAGCATGCTTTATAACAAATATTATAAAAATAAATTGCAAAAATTAGGTAAAATTGATTTGAACAATGTTACGTAAAAAATGACAATGACTACATATATACTCTTTCGCGATTTATGCAATGTCTTTTCGTGAGAAAAGTCGCGCCACTCGCAAAGTGAATACGATATCTTAGCGACAAACGCGTTTTCACGTTTCCATTCATCAGGCATTTCTGCGAGGACTCGAGATCATAAAGAATTCAGAACGCGATCTGCCAAGTATCGGCTAACTTATAGTAAGAGGGCGGGAACCATCGCGACAAACTTTTTAACTTGCATTCTCGCAAAGTCAACACTGATCGTGCGTTACTGCGATTAACTTGAATCTTTCTTGTCACGGGAAAAAAATTAAACGCAACGCCATGACATTCGTGATCGTGTTAAAATACAAAGTAAATTAAGCCTACTCCTAATCAAACATTAAATATGCTAATATCAGGATTGCTTTCATTTTCACATCCACGAGAATAAAGAAAAGTTTACACTTTATGAAACGTTTGCCTATCAAAAACGCGAGAAATTCGTTTCTAAAAGATTGACAATATCTCGAGGAAATATTTGTTGTAAAAAATAAACCAAATGAGATAGATTTATTTAAATTCTCTGAGCAAAGTCTTCGATGAAATATTATAACGAATTATATTAACGGGTCAAGGATAAATACAAATTATAAAATAGTAAAAAAGATATATGCAATTTGTAATAAAAAAATATATACAATACATATGTGTATAAAATGTTTTTAGGTATTGATATCGAAAAAAAATTGTCATGAAAATTTTAAAGTTTTAAAATACATATCAGATATAAAAATATAAATATATTAATAAAATAAAAAATATTTATAAATCATTTATTTTAAAATAAATTGATTACGCACATGCTACGTGTAATGCTTCGGTCGAAATGACAATTTTCCGATACGCTTGCGAAAATAAAACGCTCGGAAGTTCGGAAATCAGTAGTTGCCAAGTATACGTGACATCGATTTATTTTGCTATGCAAAACGAAGTCACGTTTTCCTGCCATCCATCGTAAACTCCGTGTAAACAGATCCGTGGATTATACATTTCTCGATGTAACATGCGGATGCAAATGAAGCAGCAAAGCGTCATACGCGATATACGCTTTTTTGCGGTCAGTAAATTGCATATTACATGTTTTTTCAGAGATATGCTTTTTTGATCAAATTTTGTCAATAAAATAGTTAGTTAAAATAAATGAGCATGCATTTACTTTGTCTATTGTAATAAGTATAATAAAAGTCGTGAAGTAAAATAAATTGTATATAGCAAACCTAAGTAGACAAGTTATTGCACGATAACGTTTGAAAATGTGTTTCATATTTAGAAATCAGTCAATTGATCGATTTTTTACGTTTAATATATTCCAAAATGGTATTACTGATACAGCATTACATGTACTTGCAGGTTGAAAAGTAATTACCAACTTTTAACTAACATCTCTATAGACTCGGATCAATAATTAAAACCAAATGTATTTATAAATGAAATTAAAATACATTGGAATCAAAATGCGGAAAAACTATTTTAGTATACAGCAGTGAAATAAAATATCTCTATTCTGTATATTAATTTCATGTGCATATTTATTCAACAAAATATTTCATCACCGACTTTATTTAAGAAACTTGCATGTACATTAACGTATTTTATTATTTTGTTATTTTATTTAAGTAAACATTATGTTTTAATATGATTTTATTCAAAACTTTTGTATGAGAGAGAAATTATATATTATATATTATATTTTCAACAAATTAATTTGTAAAATTAGCAAAAATTAATTTGTAAAATTAATTTACAATGATAATGTAATATTTGATTTACTGATATATATCAAGAAAGAGAGAGAAGAGAGAGAGCGCGCGAGAGAGAGAAAAATCAGAAGTTTTTTCTTATTTTACTTTGCTAGCCAGCGAATCGTCGTAATTGTGGCAATCAAACTCATTTATCTCAGCTTGTTCAGCCTTGATCTCTTCCATGTACGTACTGAGGTATCGATACTCCAAATCCTGCTCATACGTGACCCACTTTTCTTTAGGCAGATATATCTTCAGAAAACTCAGTTGCAGAGCACGTATGATCCTACAAAGCGTACAAAACTGCTGTGTCTTTATTCGATAAGCTCCGAAAGAGCTTAATTGAAAATCGGCTACGTAGCCGGAAAGCGATTACTCCCAAGGCTTGTAATACAAAAAACAGCATAAGAAATTCTTTCTCTTTTTCTTCCTTAATTCGCACGTAGACAGTGAAAAACAGCAATGTGAAGCAATTTTGAAAAAGCACGCACCCGAAATAAAACAACGCGTCACAAACAGGTATAAAAAATTTCTCGTAGAATACAAGCGCTGCGACTATCAAATTAAGATCTCGTTAAGCAAATTTAGCACTTAATAAAAGTGGCGTCTTAGCAAGTCTTTGAAACGTCGTGCAATACGCTGACGCATCTGACGGCTTTCTCGTCTATTCCCGGCTATTCATGTTCGAGATAAATCTTAAAGAGTCTATATACATCCTCGAAGTAAAGAGATCTCTTATAGAATATTAGCTAAGATTGTAAATTTCAATTATAAATTTTAAATATTAGTGAGATCAAGTTTTGCGATTTACAATCGTATAACTGTATTGTAAAATATTTTTAAAACGGAATATTCTCTCGTTTTCTTTTTCTCTTTTTTTCAAACTTTCGTAAATTTATAACTTGACGTATAAAATTGTGTATGATTTATATTTATTCTTTATTTTATTTCCTCAATTTGAGAACAAATATCTTGTCTTTTTTATTACGGAGAGAATCCATACTATAAGTCCACGATATATTAAAATACCTGAAATTCCTAGCGTCCAGTATATCCATTGGTAATCGACGCAGTGCTTTATATACTACAGGATCGGTGTAATCTATGACGTCATGTGTGTAAAGCCCGTATTTGTTGTATCCTGACCATTCGAATGCGAATTTTCTCACATTAAATCTCCACCTTTTTTTACTTTCGCACTGATTCTGTGTGAAATTTTGCCTTGATAACTGCAGATTTTTTATTAATGTCCAAGGAAATTTTATTCTGGCAGACATTTCCTTATCAATCTTATAAAAATAGTCTTATAAATTCAGCAACAGAATACGTAATCGAATCATTAACCTCTTAATGATGACTACACATGCTAGCCTGTAATGTAGATTCAAATGAAAATCATACATATCTCTCAATTGTTTTAACTTTTTTTAATATATGTAAAATTATTTGTGCCATTATCCATTATTGTCAATTACTTTTGACTATTAAGACGTATAAGTATTAATATTATAATATAAAAATATATATATATATATAATAATAGTTATTATTATTAAATATTTAATTACTAAATATTATTTTTAATTTATCCAATAAAAAATGCTTAAATATGTGCAAGTATTTAGCAATATTATTTAGCTGGTGTGTCACAATCATAATTAATTGAAATTATATATATTGATGCATATATTAGAATATTGAAATGAAAAATATTCATATACATTTTTATGATACTGAATATACAATAGTATACGTATATTTTGTTGCTATGTTATGTTATTCTTTCTTTTCATTCTTTATTTTTGTAAAAGCGGGCTTGCGAAACAGTTAGCTGAAAGTGAAGCGGATCGAAAAGCTACAAAATCTCGCGAAAATAAAACTAGGAACACTTTGTCGAATAGTTGAACAATAAAAAAATAGAAGGAAAACGAAGGAAAAAGTCAACGACAGAAAAATCCGCGTAACAATGCCTTGGCAAGCAATACATTTCTATTCCGTTCAATTTTTGTATTCCAATTTCATTTATTTTAATGCATACAAAAGTAAAATATATACATATGTAGAGATATAATAACACGTTCGGTATGCAGAAATTGAATCACGAAAAACAGCTGTGAAAAAGGCAAAACGAAAGAACCACATGTTTTTCTTTGCGTTTTCATGTAAAAAAAAAGGAAGCAAAGTTCGTTGCTGGATTTATGAAGATTGATTTCAAAGATGGAATTAAAATGGCTATCGTCGGTGCATATATTTCCGCAAACTAATTTCTACAGAAACGTACAAAACGTATGTGACTACGATTACATCCATAAATAATATATTACCTTTCGATCTGTTTGCACACAAATGCATACGAAAGAAATACACATATATATACATTTCTCTTTCCCATACTACATTAAATAAATGTTTGCACGCATATTTGTTCTGAGCAAATCGCGAATGCGTAAACAATCGTGGGTAATCTTTTTGTATTGTACTTTTGTATACATTTCTCGTGGAAAGAAGTATTACTTTTTAATACGTTTTCATTTTTACGATACTTCCGTCATGTAATTTATATACATATGTATAGATATGTGCATATATGTATATGTAGATGCAATTTACCAGATGTCCAAGATGTGATGCACGACTGTTAGAATTATTTCAAACGCGAGAGAACACTTTTGCATCCCGTATCGTGCTCAATGTGTTCTAATGAGTTGCATGGTGGTACTGACTCCATGTAATACGTGATGAAACTTTTTGATATATGTATTTTACGTCTGACTATGTTAAAGCATAATTAGATATGTTATTTAGAAACAGTATACACGATACACACACAAATATGAAATTAAATATTTAAAGTTAATGTATATTATATTATTTAGATATGAATGTAAATACGTAAATATACATATTCTTAATACTCTTTTGCAATTACATAATTATTAATCTCTTTTATAGATTAAATTTGTTGATAAGTTTTTTATATATCACATATTTATATAGCAATTTATAAATAACAGAGAACAATAATAAAAATTATTAAATTAATTGTATAAGAACACGCGTTTATATTTCATGGATTTTTAAAGTCTTGAACTCTGTAATTAATTTTGCATATTGACGTAGATGTTTATCGAAACGTGGATACTTTTTATAAACACAGTTTATTTTTTCGATATATAGACATTATTCCTATCTGTCATCCTTATTTCGCGTGATCAATTTCATACATTGCACAACTTTCTAATTTAAAGTAATGAAATTATAAAGTAGAATATAAATAGCATTGCTCAATATCTTTTACGACTGCCGAACAGTAGACTGTAGAGGATATAACATTGTCCCTCAATTCTCAAACGACAGCGCAAGAAGGGACTATCGCATCCATAAAGAGCACGCGGTACCATAAGAGTTTCAAATGGCGAAATCTCGATGAGATGAGATTCTTTTTTTGTGAATATAGCGTCGATTCCAGTAGTGTGGTTCGCGACAACTTCGTAAAAATCGCGCCATAAAAATTTGTTCGTAAATTTTTGCATTTCGCGTGTGCTTTCCCGCCCTACTGTCGAAGTGTTCGCTTCGATTTCCATTTCATTGTAAAATATCGATCGATGCCGGCTTTCGTCCCGAGTTCAGCTATCTTGCCCTTTTTATGAGAGACTATTTTCCGCGTTCTGGCTCGCCTTCTATTCAGCGAGAAGAATAATCACATCGAGCTACCACGGTATATGTATATATCATCGTACGAAAAACGCTCTCGACGAAGAATACGTTTTTTCTTTCAGTTTTATTCGTTGAAATTGTCTTTCTCATCGAGAGGAATAAATTTATAGATTTTATTCTGTAAAAATATTGCGCGTGTACGATCAAAATAAAATTAGAAAAATAAGACGATATATACATATAGAAATCATATGTATCATCTCTATTTCTATTCTGTTCTGTTCTGTTTATATTTTTTACAAGCTTTGTTGAAAATTTTATACAATAATTTATATATGTATATTTTTGAACAAATTTATTGATTATTTATGAACAAAAATATTCCATACTATATATATTCTATAATTTTATATATGTATATGCATATGTATAATACACACACACACACATATATATTTTTTTAAATTTATTTAATCAAAATACCTCTATGTTTCCATTAGAGTCGCAAATCTCCCCCATATCCATCACGTTGCGCGTCTAGCGCGAGACTGATACGTAAACTCGCATTTCGATAGTCTCGATTCTCGATTGTGAAGGACACCGCTGCGCGGGCAGCTTGTGGTCACGTGGTCAAGCGAGGTACCGTCAAGTGGCGCCATCACTACGCAAAGTCGCAGAGTTTCGGGATCGGTAGTGGGGATCAATCTTCCGCGAGATGCGCAGCGCAGTGGATTTGTAGGACGTGCGAGAGAGAAGGACGTTGGGTCCTGTGGTCACGTGGTCAGGCGAGGTGCTGTCAAGTGGCGCCGCGACACGCCACTACGCAAAGCTTCGGTCAGTAGTAAAGCTGTAAGGCTCATCAGACATCAGTCTACCGCAGAAGTGTAATGGATATGTCAAGATGCGTGAGTTCAATGGAAGCACAGGTATTTTGATCAAAAAATTGTTGTAGAAAATTCTATTTTTTTCTCTTAAAGATATAAATATTGACTTTATGCATTGCATAATTAATATATTTGTATGTATGCATTGCAATAATTTTTATGCATGCGTTGCAATTTTTAAGATTCTATTATCAAAAAATAATATAACTTTGCTTCGTGCGCGCGTAATTATATTCGATTAGGTTAAGGTTATAGATTATAAGTTAAACGAAATGAGAGAAATGTAAAGAGATATAAATATGGACATATATATAAAGTATAATATATAACAAAATAAAAAAGCATATATAAAAGGCGACAATGAAAAATTCTCGTTGCAATAATATAGAAATTAATTAACGATAATAAGTTAATAGAATTTAAAAGTGTCATTCAGCAGTAGTTTACTTTGCAGAGCAACAGTAGCAAATTTTTAAAATATTTAATATATTAGTATTACTTTATTAGATATTCATTCATGTCGGTGAATTTCAATTGATTATATGTGTAAGCCATTTGAATATTGCAATATCTGTGAACTGTATGATTTTGTTCTATTATTCTTCCTTTATTCCTATTATTCAAAAGCATAATTGGAAAAATTTAATTCGTTAAAAACATAAAATTAAACTTTTTATTTGCACTCTGTACACAAAGGTTTAATGAAATTTAGCAATAAAATTGTAATTAAAACGCTTTATTTCACTAATTTTTTATCAAATTAAAGATACATTTCAGAAATCTATCACATATACATTTATACATATATGTATAATAGTTACATTTTTAAGCAAAAAGTAAAAAGTATTTTTTATTTTTGCAAATGATCAAAATTTAATTTTTTTATCTTATATCGTTAAATTGATAAATTATGACTTTATTAATTAAAATTTCAATGCATGTATTTCACCAGTTATTGTGAGTACAATAATTATTTAAGATGCTACACATTATTATTAATAGAATTTTTGAGTCATTGAATGTTACGTATAGAATTTTGCGAAGGTTACTTTATGCTTTTACAAATCGATACAAAGTCTGCATGCGTTTTAACTCGTTTCATAAGTTTTCGAATGTATCGATAAAATAACAATAAAATAAATTAATATTTATTTACATCAAATATTCAAAAATTTATATTATTAAAATATTTAATATATACATTAAAATATTTAATATATACATTAATATTTAATGTAAGTAATTTTATTATTATTTTAAATTTCTATAAATAACGTTTACACATAAAAAGATAAATCATTTACTATGTTATCATATTTCGAATGCAAAAATAGAATCTTCTGCCCACAAATTGAAGATCTTGAATAATGTTTTATGGAAATGCAATCATAATTCTGCCACTATGTAGGTCACTGCGATGACATTTTGGTCAGTAATTACTCGTGCCGGAAATGAAACGGCGGCCATCTTGCACCTGCTGCAAATCGAACGGACTGGCAAATCGAGGAAATTAACCACAGCAGATTTAATTCCTCTGGGAATCGACGATTCCTCGAGAGAACGCGAACCAATCGACTTGGAGAAGTAATGGTACAAATCAAATAAATGATAAAAATCTGAAAAATAAAATCTGATTATTGAGATAATATTTTTGTGGGAAATATTATTATAGAATAATTAGTAATTTAATAATTGGTCCAAAAATAGAATTCAAGAATATCTTTATTTAAAAATAAATGCTTACATGTATAATAAACAGATAGTAACATTCATAATTACCTCAAAAGTATAATATAACATAAAAACATAATTGTATATTAAACAACACCTCTTAATAATTATTTTGCCACGAGATAATTATGAAATATTGATATTATTGCATTAATTTTGATATTCATGAGCATTTTATTCAATGAAAGTTTATTGAATTTATTAGTACATCTCCGTATTTAATATTAGTCACATTCGTTCTTCCGGAATGTGTCTCTTACACCATAATTTATTGTGTTTATGGCAGTGTATCTATTAATCTTATTAAACGGATTCCTGAGCCATACGATACTCAAAAACGCTTCCGCGTTCTGTGAAATTACGCAAACTTTTGTTAGATCTTGAACGTTTGTATTTTGATGAAAATCTCGTTGCTAAACGCTGAGAGTCGTAAACTTTCGAAGATAGAACTGAAGATTTCTTTGCTTGTTCTCTTTTGCCAACGGGACCGTAACCACCACCCCCTGGAGTTTCCATAATGAATCTATCCTGTTAAGAAAATTTTATGAAAAATTGTTAGCTTAACTTTCTTATAACAGTAATTATATGTTATTGAATTACGGTGAAATAAAAATTCTATATTGACAATAGAGAAGCTAAAAGTTAATTTATGTCTTAAGTCTAAAAAAAGCATATTTCACTTTTATTACAGTACTAATTTCTTTAAAAGAATTAACACATTTTATTTTAAAATTTTATTGTGCATGTAAAGCTAGCGCATATCGTTTGTTGGAAAATCGTAAATAATTGAGAGCTTCGGTTTTATTTTCAATAGTTTCTAGAATTCTTGATAGTTTAAACAAATGTACAAATTCTGGCGATTAATCTATAAATGTCTTGCGGATGTTTGTAAAATAACAAATAACTTCGGCCATTACCGAATCAAGCTACAACTACTGTGATTAATTAGTAAACATAATCTCGTTTCTAATCTTTATACTGTAACATTTATCATATTGCATATCGTAATTTCAACGTTTATATGTAGTTATAATTCGAAACGCATATTTTACGAGAAATTCTATGCAAAATCTCTTGCGAACGATCAACATAATCCTGCTGCCTAATCTGTTTTTGCGCATGCAAATGTATTGCGATCCGTAGATATCTATCGTTAATTCAAGTTTACATTGTATTTTTATATTGTGTATGTTAATGCAAAATAATAAGATTTTTTTAATATATATGTATATTTTATTTGTTACAGGTAATATTGCGATACACAGTGTGATTTATAAGTCGTGTCGGTAGCGCCGTGTAAAGTTTTACGTGCCGCGTAAAGTTTCGCGAGTCGGAAGTGCCGCGTAAAGTGTCGGGCGATCGTAATTATTCGTGTTTTCGTGAGTTTTCGTGAGTGCTACGAAGGAGGCCCGGGGAGGCATCGAGTGACAGCGAGGTAACTATGAGGTATGCAAAATAAATATAATTTGTAGTATGCTCAATTTATAATTAATACATTTCTCTATATATTATATATAGGGAAATGCTACTAATGTACAATAATTATTTTCAAGTAATTAATATGCACAAATTTTTTAAAATTATATTATATGCAAATTTTTTTTGCGTTCTTTAAAGAGATATTTAAACAAATATAACAAAAATTATATGTTTCTTAAAAAAAATATTATTGCGAATGTGTGTAAATTTTTATAAAATATAATAACTATAAAAAAGTCTCTTATATAATGTTACTCGTGGATATATCTATTTATATTGTATATGTTATAATGTGAAATAATAAGATCATTCTAATATATGCATGTATTTTATTTGTTCACAGGTATTCGATGTACGCGAAATATACGTGCTATTTACGTATCGCGTCGGGAGTGTCGTGTAAAGTATTGCGCGTCGGGAGTGTCGTGTAAAGTGTCGGGCGATCGTAATTATTCGTGTTTTCGCGAGTGCCGCGAGTGCTACGAAGGACCAAGAGAGAAGGAAGCCCGAGAAGGCACCGGGCGATAGCGGGACAACTGTAAGGTATGCAAAATAAAGATATTTTTTTAAACTACATTAATATTCGATAGTTTCCAGACTTTCAAAATATTCTGTATATATACCTATATATCTATTAAAATATACATATGTATATTTATATATAATTTGAATATTTTGTTTTCAGATCAATGCGTTGTGTACTACAACTCTGCTGTTGCACGTATCGGTGAGTGAGAAATTGTTTTCTTTTTTACAATATTTCAATAGCGGTGTCATAAAGCATCGCCGACAGTTAAACTTACCATCATTAAATTATAAGTTTATAATTATTAAATGTAGTGAGAAACGCGACAGGCACCAAAGAGCAATAACGCTATGCGCTACTACAGGTTTTTACATGCGCGGCTATGTGCATCACAACTTTTGACCAAACCGCTGGAAACTATTCTATCGAAACTTCGATGCAATATCATACCGCAAAATAACGTCATCAAAATTTTTGGAAAATTGCTTTCACCCTTGCCGCAAAATCATGTCGCATATTAATCGAGATTTATAACCCAAATCACGCGCGATGTAGAAGCAAACTTTAATTTATGTGTAGAGAATTTTCAAATATATATCTAAAAAAAAAAAATATTTTTATACACATTTACTATTTGCTTGCAAAGTATATTATATTATAAAGACACAGAGCATTACTAGAATAATCTTTATAAATAATTTTTAATTACACAAACGTATACAAAATAATATCATAGGCACTTTAATTCAGATAACACAAAACGTTGCAACAAATAAAATTATAATTTTTAAATAAAGTCGCATCAGGAATTCTTTTTATCTTTACTCTTAGAATTATGAATCAATCCGCTCTTAATGAGATGCATCACGAACACGCGAAATATTTTCCGGCGATAACGACCGTAAAGTCGTTTTAAATGCAAAAAGAGATAGAAACTTTTCATTAATGTTTGTTTCGTCCAACACAACGATATGCGGAAAAGATTAAATAAAGAGCGCCACGGATGCGTCGTCTATCTCTCGCGAACGAGCTTTGAAAGAAAAAAATGGGTAAGCGAAAAAAGCAAAAGTAGCGGTAGATTCCGGTTTATACACCTGCATGATAATTGCTATCTATATTTTACAGCGCTACGAAATTTTCGGAAACGTAAATGCACATCCGTCGCCGGCTTTCATGCTCTGATAACTGCGCAAAGAAATTTTTCAGGTGTCGGCTAATGTGCATACTTGTACAGTTTTTATCGCCTCTTCCCTCTACTACTATTTCATCCATCTTCCCTTAACTCGTCTCATATTTTTTACCTCGCTTGAGAAAGCAAGTATTATAGGAATCACAGAAGGTAGGTTTCTATGAATGCACAAAGCTCAGCTTCTTTTAACAGGAGTCGAGAGAAAAATTTGCAGAGCTGAAAGACATACTAAGACATGTCTATGGGGTCTTTTGTATATCTTTTTAAATTAAAACTTCCGATATGAAGAATTCAAGTATTATAATAAATGCGCGCGTAAGAAATTTTCACCGATAATGTTAAGAAAATTATGCATTATGTATCTGTTTGATTAATACCACATGATTTTTTAAAACTCTCATAAGTTTTTTAGAATTAGATCATTCTCAAACTTATAGAATTGCAGAGTTTTGAAAAAGTTATTTTCACTTCTCTCGTTTTATGATTGAGAATGATGTATCGAAATTTTTTCGCTTATGCTGCAGAATTAGCTTAACATGTGGCACTTTCACGACAAACTTAAAACACGACTACTATCTAATAACGCGCACACAGCTGCAAAGGAAATTATTTTACCCCTTGCTGCGTGGCTATGTACAAGAGTACGGTAGACGGCAGATCCTATCTACCGGGATAAAATCTTTACGAGCCGACATAAACCATAGAGGATTTCTCCACTACTAAAGATAGAGTATCTTCATCTCTGCCTATCCCTTAAATTCTGCTACGCTGACTTTAAACTTTATTATGCAATTACTTCCCCGAGAAAACTAATGTACCTAGATCAATTGACCATTCTCCGATTGTCGGTGAAATATATTTTTGAACAATTAAATATTATTTTATTTTTATGTAAAATTTATTCAGTTTTTATCACAGCTATTGTAGCAAAATCTAAATTACTATCTCTTTTATGCAATTATCTTCTATGCAAAATTAATTATTTCCGACATGCATTATAATTACGAAAAATATAAAATTGCTTACCCCTGTATAAACTGGAATGGCAGCTTTCGGACCTAAGTTGATTTGTCTGCCATCAGCTCGCATCAAAATGTTCAAACCACATGCCCCTTCCTCGCCGTTATCAAATCCAGGTGGATGGTGCACCCTCCGTTCGGTTAATACCGATAAGGTCATTGGAGCTCTGTAAACAAACGTTAACAAAACTTATGAATGAAGGCAACATTTGCCGATACAATGATTCGTCAGCATTTTCAAATTTTATTTTTTTAATTTTATTTAATTTATTTTTTTCTTAAAAAAAATTGATGCAAGATATTTAGAAACATTTGAAATTGAACAATGTTTTTAATTACCTAAATATCATTTCACGCACAACACCGTCCCCACCAATATGCGTCCCATTTCCACCACTTCCAAATCGAAGCGAGAACTGATTAAGTATAATCGGATAGCGAAGTTCCAATATTTCTGGATCGGTGATTCTAGTATTGGTCATGTGCGTATGAACGCCACTTCTGCCATCCCATGTTGGTCCCTGCGAGAACAAATATATTTACTAAAACAGTCTGCTACGACAAAGTTAAATAATATATTAATTTTTAAATAAAAAAAATAAATTATAAATTAATATAAAATGCAATATATTATGTATATAAAAATTTATATAATACAAAAGAGATGTCTTGCATTTTATTTCAATTTATAATTAATTATTTGAATATACATATACATGTATACATATATGTATATCATTTGCTCTATTTACTAAAACAGTCTGCTACGACAAAGTTAAATAATATATTAATTTTTAAATAAAAATAATAAATTATAAATTAATATAAAATGCAATATATTATGTATATAAAAATTTATATAATACAAAAGAGATGTCTTGCATTTTATTTCAATTTATAATTAATTATTTGAATATACATATATGTATATTATTTGCTCTAAATTTGTAATTATCTTACTGCTCCACTACCACCAGCAACCGTCTCGTAGTAACCCCAGTCTTCGGTGCCAAGGGTTACATTGTTCATACAACCCTGTGAGGCCGCGCAAATTTCGAAAGCTGTTAAGATTACATCAACAATACGTTGAGACGTTAGAACATTCCCGCCAACCACCGCGGCTCCCTCCGAAGGGTCGAGCAACGATCCTTTAGGAATAATTATCTTTACCGGTTTCAAACAGCCCTACGAAGAAAATGACACAAATACAAATTTATCGTTGAATTTCTCTAAGAAGGCTCGGGAGGACGTTACCTGATTTAATGGTATGTCTCGACCGACCATACATCTCAAACAATAAATTATCGCAGACAAAGTTATAGCACGCGGTGCGTTGCAGTTGCCCCATACTTCATAACCCGTGTCACTGAAATTTCACAAATATCGCCTTGCAAATTATTACACAATTTTGGTTCGGTAACGTTGTATAAAATTATTACACATAAACTTGACATACAATATTTCTCACGAAGCAATAAAAATATAAGAAAGTACAGTACTATATTTTTTATATTTATGTACATATATATGTACATAGAGAACAAAAATGTCATTGTATAAAAAAAGAATAGAGAATGTAGATTATATAGAATGCAAATTATATAGATTAAAAAAATAAATATCGAGTAATCATAATTATTATAATAAGTGTACCAATATATTGATTTAATTAGAAAAACGTACCGAAAGTCAAAAACAGCCTCGCCTTTCTCTAGATCGAGATTTACATGTAGTTTGATAGGACTGCCATCGTCGAGATAATCAATGGCATTGATATCGGTTTCTTTATGTCTTCGCATCTTAATTCTCGTACCTATTGACTTTAACATTTCTCGAACAGCAACTTCGGCATTATGTTGGATATGATCCATGTACGCTTGAACTACTTCGAGGCTGTATACGTCGATAAGTTCGTTTACCAGCTGTGAGCCCTTATAAAAAAGAAAACCGACTTATTTGCCAATTCTACTTTCAAAAATATTTCCACTTAAAATAAAATTTTTATTTGTACAAAGAAAAAAAAGGAAGTAAAAATAAGAGAATGTAATGAGTTTTTTATAGAAATAATTAAATATTATACTTTTTGATTTGCTGCAATTTGAGCTTTGATATCACTAATATTATTCGAAAGGTTTCGCGTTCCCGAACTTCCCGGTATTTTGCCTGGTGCCATTAAAGCGTCCGTCAATTCTTTTTCTTGAAATATTCCCTTATGCACTAGCAGAAAACTTTTAAAAACAGCACCTTCCTGTACAAAAATATATTTTTCACATATATACAATTTTTTTTAATCTTTTCATTCGGTGGGCAGTATTCTCATACTTGATTCAGACTCGTTGAATGCGGTGGCATCGAGCCCGGTGTGATACCACCAATGTCAGCGTGATGACCTCTACTAGCCACAAAGAATACCGGCGTAGGCACATTTCTGCATATAATTTGTATTGGAATATTTAACTTTCATCAAACTAAATTTTTATTATTAAAATGTATCTAAAAGTGAGTACGGCGCTCGTATATGTAACATTTTTCAGAGAATTTTTTTATGCAAAAAATATACCGACTTGTAAAATACTGGTGTAATGACTGTCAGATCTGGGAGATGAGAACCACCTGCTGACGGATGATTAGAGAGAATAACATCTCCCGGTGAGAATTTGCCTTTGAATGCCGTTATCTGATATTGCACGGTTTCTTGCATAGCGCCCAGATGCACCGGGATATGAGGCGCATTTGAAACAAGACCGCCGTCAGGACCAAAAATTGCACACGAGAAGTCTAATCGTTCTTTAATATTAGTAGAAATCGAAGTTCTTTGAAGTACTCTATCGAAAATTAAAGACGCGAATATTATATTACAATTTCTAAAAGCACATTGACGAAAATAATATTACTTATTTTTATTTATTGATACGTACCGACCCATTTGTTCGGCGATGCTCATGAAACGATGTGAAAAGATACTGAGTTGAATCGTATCGAGATCCGTGGTAACTTTTCTTTGCAAACCTTTTCCAATTGTGATTTTTACGTCTCCGCGACAAGTAATTTCCGCAGTGCAATCTGGCTCTACTAAAAGTGTGCTCAAACTATCCATGATAATGACAGGACCGTGTAAGACATTTCCAGGAGATAATGAATTTAATTGATAAACGCTGGTTTCCTGATAACCGTCTTCGAAATATACCATGGTAGTCTAGAAAATTTTAAATATTTCGGAATTTTTCTTAGTAACATAATTTAATAATATTTAAAAGATTGAATTAAAATACAGAAAATATTGATTCAATAAATGTAAAATTATCGATACATCTATCAGTTATCTAACCTTTTCAGCTTTCGGAGAAGTTTGTGAAGGAGGTAATAAGGGATCCTCCGGAATTTCAGTTTTACCAGTTCCTCGAACTCTCACATCATTTACCAGAATTTTGCGGTCTGGTATTGTGAAACCAAACTCTGTTTGATATCTTAATTTTAAAAAATTTATAAGTAAATAATATAAAAAGTACGTTCTCAAATTCTCAAAATTAGAGAACTTACCTTTCTAGAAAAGGAGTAAGAAAATCTCCGTGTCTGGTAGAGATTTCTTCTAAATTTTGATTTACAGAAGTGCACATTAAAGCGCAATCGGTACCATCGTAACGTAAGTGTAAAAATGATTCCGTTTTTATTTGAGAATCAGCGAATCCTTGCGCACGGAGTTTGCTTCTAACTTTAACTTCCATCGCATCCAAACGCTCGTCCAAGCGTGCGAAACTTTCTACATAATAATAGGAATAGTATAAAAAGCATAGCAATAGAGAAACATGCAAAATAAAATTATCATAAATTATTAATAGACATATAATTATATTATGGAAAATTGTTATAAATTACCGGGCTTATAAGCTTCGGCGCTAGGCTCTTGTAGCTCCTCAACAACGTCTGCTAATGCCATTCCGTAAGCTGACAATATACCGGCATATTTGTGGACAAAAACAGTGCTTATGCCTAATGATCGAGCAATTGCACAAGCATGCTGTCCTCCGGCACCGCCGAAACACGCCAGAACATGACGGGAAGTATCATGCCCTTTTGCCTGTTTCATGAAAAAACACATTATAAAAAGAATTTGAGAACAATATGACACATACAATGCATTACTACATCAACACATTTTTAGTGCAAGAAAAATTACGAACTGACATTATTTAATTATAGTCACCTGAGTCAAAGCACGAATTGGTCGGCACATAGTCTCATTCGCGACCCTGATGAATCCCATGGCTACTTCATCAACCGACATTGCTTCATCCTTTTTCAGGAATTCATTTATCTGACATTTGAAATCAATTTTAAAAATTTATTCTTTTATAAACACATAAGATTAAATGGCGATATTTTTGCGCGAAAAAAAGAAACAAAAATGTAAATTTGAGAAAACTTTATCTTCATACATCAGAAAATTACCTCATATGTAAGTTCTGTGAACATGCTCAATGTGCGAGATACATCGAGCGGTTCGTTTTCTTGAGGTCCAAAAATCTTAGGAAAATATTCGGGTAGCAAGCGACCCAGTACAAGATTCGCGTCTGTCACAGTCAACGGACCACCCTTCTTGTAACACGCGGGACCAGGATGAGCCCCTGCGCTCTCAGGTCCAACCGCGAAGAGACCCGATCTGAAGAAAAGCATTGATCCACCTCCCGCCGCAACTGTATTGACATCCAACTTCAACCCAATTTTTATTTAAGTAAAAAAATCGAGAAGTGCTCTCTTGACGAGAAGTCTTACGATTTGAAGCAATATTTATGAAGTAAAAAATTAATTATTATATTCAATATATATATATATAATATTTTTTAAATCTTAAATTTACTAAATTTTTTTATATATTTACTGAAATGATTATCTTGAAAAGAATTTGTACCTGTGGGGCTTGTATAGCAATGCCGGCTGTAGTGCTTTCATAAACATGCTCGTAGCTTCCCCCGTATCGACTTACATCGGTCGATGTACCACCCATGTCGAATCCGATCACTGGTAAATCAGTCTCCTTTCCGTAAGTCGTCATTGCGTATCCCACGACACCACCAGCTGGTCCAGAAAGTATAGCACGTGACCCATTAAAACTTTAATGCGTCAACAAAACATAATTTTATTAAATATTGAAACGACGAAAGAAATTTTTTTTAAATAAATTTTAATACTTACGAATCCATAGGTGTTAATCCGCCATCGCTTTGCATAAACAATACGTTTACATTCTTCAAATTATCTTTAAATCCTGAGGAGAAAGCCTAAAAATTTATGCATTAAAATATATTTCTTAAGCGCTAGATTTTTTGCAGATTTCTTATATATATTATATATATATATATGCAAATATAAAAAAATATTACTTGTAAATAATTTTTAATGTGCGGTGTTAGATAAGCATCTGCACACGCTGTGAAACCTCTAGGAACTATTCTAGCCATCGGCATAACTTCGTGTGAAAGAGAAACTTGCGAGAAACCTGCTTCCCGGGCTAATTCGCCGATTCTGATTTCATGATCCGCATAACTATATCATAAACAATGCAATATCAATATATTGAAATATAATTAAGGTTTTATTTTAAATTATATTATAAGAGATTTTCTAAAAAATATTGCAAAAAAATTTTTATTTGAATGGTTTACTGACGTGTAGCTATGAGCCAGAACGACAGCGAGACTCTCGATTTCTAAATCACGAAGTTCTTTCAAATCTTCTTTCAATTGTGTCTCATCAAGTTCCTGAGTAACAAATAGATCTTCGCCGGTAGAACCTTTTACCCTTCGCCATGATTGATTCTCCATAAGACATTTTCCTGGCAAAGCGGGGATTACTCTACATTTTACCCCAACTACATATTTGTACAAAACTTCTGGCATCGCTATCTCCTGTCAATATTTCACAAAGAATAAATCAAACGCGAGATAGAAGTAAGAAACGTAATTGTACAGTGCCGTAAATTTTGAGATAGTTTATGTTGCAATCTCTGCTAAATTTTAAAACTTTGAATACTAATATTATTTATTAAATTTAATTATACGAACCAAATCAAAAATATTTGGCCGTGATTGATTACCAATATATAAAAGATCCTCAAACCCATTATTTATTAATAGCGCCATTTTCGCGCCTTTTCTTTCCAACAGCGCATTAGTGGCGACTGTCGTTCCCATTCTGATCCATTCTATATTAGAGATATCTACCGCCCCATCCATTTTAATACCAGTTTCCTAAAATTAGTACAACAAAATATATAAAAAATCTTGAAATTATAAAATTAAGGAGATGTTATATAAAATATTTTATATACATATATGCGATGACGCATAGTTTTCGTATTATTAGTACAATATAATACAAACCTCTTCTAATATTCTACGAATGCCTTCTGTCGGTGCATCATTGTAATTATTTGGATCGACTGAGAGTAATTTCATAACTCGGATTTTACCTCCAGGACATCTAGCATATATGTCAGTGAATGTGCCACCGCGATCTATAGAAAATTGGAATTTTTCGTTCTCCATTGCTCTTTGCTGACGTAGATTACACTAATAAAGAGAAAAATTCTTTATGCTGTTATATTGTAAGAATTGCAGTTCTTAAAATTTATGCAAACTATATTTGTTTCCCCTATTTGAATTTATAATAAAAAATTTGATTTTTTATTTTTTTATAACACACAAAGTATATCTTAAAAATCAATATTATTTTAATCTATTAAATATATTAAATATATTATATAATTTAATTTTAAAATCAATCTCTTTAATTTTTTTATTAAGATTTTAAATATACATAAATTTTTATATATTTTTAGAGATACGTATACATACACACACTTGCTTATGCAAAAACAAATATATGCGTATAATGACAAATCAAGTATGACTTCTGATAAGAAATTAATTTATACCGCTTGCGAGAAAAACAAAGAAGATGACTTAATTATTTGATAAAACACTTCAAAAATCTTTAACTACATCGTGCAATCAATATAATAAATATTTTTCCATATCTCAAAATTGTATTATTCACAATCCAGTCAAAAATGATCGGTCGAAAAGACATCGAATCGATATCGATTCGACCAATTCGGCATCTATTTGACATCGATTCGACGGCGATTTAATTATCATTTCTGACTGAAAATATGATATAATGGTAACAAAAATATATGAAACGAAAATATACTTTCTCTTTTAGATTTATAGCTTTAATTCTCGATAGGCACACAAATTTTAACAAGAAATAAGTATACAATAGACTTTATCTTCAAGAGATAATAACCAACAACTGATAAAAATTATGTGTCAAGATTTGTAAGAGACAAATAAACATAATGATAAAGATAAAAATAGAAATAAAAAACACAATTAAGTCACTTATGTCCAAATAATCTGATTGGGAAATGTAAATGTTTGAAATGTCTAAAATATATTTATTACATTCTTATATTTTTGTAAATTAAAATTGTATGTTTTGAAATGTTTAATTATAATTTTATTATATTATATAGCATAATTCATAAAATATACTCGCAACGATTTGATTAAATATGTAGTTTAGGAACACATTATATACACAATATAATTCACATTGGACACATAAGATACTAATAAAATAATTCTTTGAACATAAAAAGAAAGATTTTATTAAATCTTGAAAAATATCAAATATTTCAAAACTTTACAATTCTGGTTTACGTATGCCACACAAATCTGTATTTATATATCAATTATATCTTTATATTAACATTTTATCGATTTTCATTACCAATAATAAATATGGTTGTAATGTATAGTTTTATCACAAAATATAATGTCACGTGATAATATCGTAATAATTTATCATTAACGTTTTGTCTTGGGTTTACTATATTACTAGACGTTTTATACACAGTAGCAGCACCAATAGCAGACTAACACCGACTGAGAATGTGGGCAATCTCAACATCGAATAAGTCCTCATGTAAAGGTTCTCAATCAAAAACTAAAGAATCAACACTAATTATATACACAATCACATATACATGCGTACATAACATATATATATATATATACATATACGCACACAGCATATACAATCATTGCAATTTTCTTTACAATTTATAAAAATAATGAGTAAGTTCTTTATTTTTTCATACTAAAACAATTATATGTTTATAAAAATTGCTTAATTAAAAATACAAGTAACAAACACAAAATTACGTAAAATACAATAAAAATCCTATATTTTTTAGTTGTACGATATTTTATTACATAAAAAAATGAAATATTATATATATTTTATATTAACTATTTTGTATTGCACTAATTTTTTTGACTTTGTCTTTAATGAAAATAATTGTTTAGCAAAAAGAAAAAAGATAAAATTAAAAATGAATATTATTATTATAAAATTATTTATTTATATAACGCAATTAAAACAAAATTAAAAGATAATATTTTGACAAAATATACTTGTAAAATATAAGCAATGAGAACCACTGGACAGATACGGCAACTGCGCATCTCGACTCACTGAGATAATATATCGGGTGACCAAACAGTAATATACAGAGATTTTATTGCTATTTTCAATACACCTTTCTTCGAGAAATAGAATTTTTTATTTATAACGATCGTACATTTTCAAAAATAGAAATCAACATTTCTGTAAAATACACCTCTGAATATACATATATATGTACATATATCTTCGCAGAGGCTGGAAGATATTGTCATTTACTAGTATGAGAATATATAGTGTAAATGATACATTTTATGTTAAACTATTTTTAACGGAAGAGACAACATACATATATGACTACTTATATTATAATGAAAAACACAACAACAAAAGTCGCAACACGGATCATTTACAAAATTAAAACTCTGCAGTCAGTATAGTACATACATTGAGTAGCTAAATTTAGAACCTAAACATGTAATTTATGCTGCCATATGCAAACATCAGCTATACGGCCATAGATATTTTTTTTAGATAATACAACATTCATTAAATTGTAATTTAATTAAATTACAATTAAATTACATATCTTAATTATCGAGAATTGAAACTAATGGAATGAATTTAGGAATGATAAGTAAATTATATCAAAATATTATACAGTTAAATATGTTTGTTTACAAATTGTCACTTAAAAATATAATTGCTATATAAGATTATGACATAAATTTGAGAATATTGTGTTTGTACATATTTTCGATGTGTCTCAGCATAAAGCTTATTAACAGCAACACATATAAATCTTAACAAATAAGTAATTAAATCAAGGGAACTTAGAGAATATTAAACCGATATAACCTTAATTAACAAATTATTATTTTGTTTGTGATTGTTATTCTTTGTCACCGATATCCATTAAAACTTCTTATATTCTTTGTGTTATGATAATTATACAATTTACAAAACTTTAAAATTTAGTATACCAAATTTTATCAATATCAAGAATTTAAAAATACATTTGTAAATTGCTATTAAATTCTCTTGCTGAACTTAAATAAGATAACAGAAAAGTATATATAACATTTTAAAATATAACTTTTAACTTTACAAGAGATATGTTTTTTAGGATATTTTCTTTTCTTTTTAACAATTTAATTTTTTAATAATTTAATAAATTCTTATTACGTGTATACATATTTTTTTATACGCGTTTAAATAATTATGACCGTTATGCAAACAATTCACAAATTATAAAATATTAATTTTAATTATAATTATATAATTGAATAATTATATAATTATATATAAAAAATATTAATTTTAATTTTAATTATTGTAATCAAGAATTACTTGAAATGTTCAATTTTTTAAATTATACGTTTTTGTACACGCGTATTTACGAAAGAAGACATACATGACAATTAATTGGTCCACACAATTAGTGATTATCGAATACTCTATGACTAACTAACACACTGGGGAAGCTTTTATAAACTTTTCCATCTATAATACCAAATTGTCTTGAAAAGGAAGTATCTTCGCAGGAAAACGTGTCAATTATAATCGAATTTTTTCTTCGATGATATCATTGTAGATTTTATCAGTCAGCTTCACATAGGTATCGTTGTTAAGAAAATATAATGGATCTTTGACCTGTAAAAATTATTATCGTTATAACTTATCGTTTCTATTTCTACAAATCAAATAGATAAAAGAAAACTTACTTTCTTAATATCAAAGGCTTCTTGTTGGAGATCCTTCTTTTTCAATTTGAATGTTCCTGTTAACAAACGAAACTATATTATTATAAATACATGCCTATTCGCTTCAAATATATCGAGCTATTAATAAAGAAATAAATAATTAATACAGAATAAAATCTTTACCAGTCATTGGCAATTCTGCCAAAATACGAACAAAACGAGGTCTAGCATAGGATGGTAAAACTTTCTTCAATTCTTCTCCTAATTGTTTGAGATTTACGGAATTCTTTGCGTCGTATATAGCAACCATTCCCGTTTTACCCTCGTTTCCGGGTACCTACATACATAATTACGTATAAAAAGAGATGTTTATCATTCTTTTTATTTTGACATTTCCATTAATCGCGTATAAAATAATTATCCATTGATATAAATTGACATTGTGTTTTGTCTCATATAAATTTTGTATTTTCCTCTGATAGAATCGAGTGACTAATAATTGATATAATTGATATTTACCTCGACACCATATACGGTTGCATCCTTCAAACCTATTACGTTACTGATGACGGCCTCTACTTCCGCAGTGGCAACATTTTCGCCTCGCCACCTATAATATTAAAGTTTTAAAAATAACATCATTAATCAATTTTTGTTTATGTACTTATATATATAAAAAATATTTGTAGTTTTTAATGTAATTTATTTTTAATTAATTTAAATTATTTGGTAGTTGATTCTCTTTTACTGAATTCGATATGCTTAAAATTTTAATTATTTGATTATTTTCTGTGCTATATAAATGTGCGTATTTGCCTAAATGTATCCCCGGTCCTGTCCTTGAAGTAAAAATACCCGAGTTCATCCATGACTAAAATATCTCCTGTTCCAAAAAGAATTCATGTTATTTAAATGATTCTCGACACATTAAATAAATAGGTTATGTATTATATTTTATATTAATCACTTACCAGAATTAAAACCGCGATCGCCCTTCTTGAAGACATCGCATATAATTTTCTGCTTTGAAGCCTTTTCATCCGCATAACCAGAGAAATCGTTAATCACTTTATTCGGATTAATCTTGCCCACAAAAACGCCAGGTTCACCTAAATGAATAATACAGCTACAATATGTGTGTGTGTGTGTTTTATCTGATTTATTTAAATATTGAACTAAGATTTCAACGTTTGTCATATTGTAATACATCATTTATTTAATAGAGAAATATTCTTACAAGAATTATTAAAAGAAATAATAAAATATTACTGCTGGATTATTTTATTATTTTAATTATTTTATTTTAATCAGGATAAATTTTAGATTCTCTATCCTGTTTTTATCGATATAAAGTTTTGATAATACATACCAGGTTTACATGGTATACAGAGTCCATCTGTTCCCCTCAATAACTCTCCTGTTTCTTCGTCAATTTTTAACAAAGCAACAGGATACAAACGCCCGAGGTATCTTGGTATAAAACCAACAGCACCAGTTTTATTGTTAATATTTACTACAAATTATATAAATATTTATGAAATAACACCTATATATTCGATAAATATAAAATTTGTTAAACTAGCACACAGACATTTATTACTCTAATTGTAAGATATATTCTCACATTTTTAATGTCATAAAACTTAAAACATTATTTTGTTACCTATAAAAATAAATTTAGAAATTATTATTATATCTTCATTGTTTTCTATTTTGAAAGTATATTATTTAGCAAAATTCTAAAATTAATTAAAAGTATGCAAATTACCGATATTTGAGTTTCCTTCGGTGGCTCCATAAAACTCGCCTATTTGCTTTATGCCAAATCTCTTTACAAAAGATTCCCAAATTTGCGGCCTCAAACCATTTCCGAACATTAAGCGTATTTTATGCTTTCTATCACTTTGAGTTGGTGGAACCGTAAGAAGGAATCGACAGACCTCTCCAATATATTGCGCTACCTAAAAAACATTTTAATTTTATTATTATTTAAGAATTTGATAATGCAATTTAATGACATATTTGTGCACTCTAATTCATGATACTATTAACGTACATTGATAATATATGAATATAATATGCAATATGGAAAATGTCTAATTATTGCATTATCAATTTTATTATTAATACTAAGACATTTAAAAATCTCAAACATAAATAAGAAAACAGTGAAAAACATAGAAATTTAAGGTATTGAAAAAATTTCTTCATTTTATAACAAACTTTTTTTTTGTTTCTTTAGTTTAAAAATTAATTTATCGCTTGGAATATTTCTGCCGTAAAACAATTTAAAACAATTATTTTTTAAATAAGTATTACTGAACTACGAGTATTTTAGTAATTAAAGAACTGTGAAATTGTATAAAAAAATAGAGTGATCGTACAGTGCAATCGTAATGGATGCAATCTGACCAAAACTTAGACGCACTGAATCGTCTACGAAGCACGACGGTCACGCCTCGCAAAAGTGTTTGACCTACTCCAATTATTCCACCTGCAGTGTGATAAAGAGGTAGAGAGTTATAAATTCGATCATTGGAGCGTAGACGAAGCATAGAATGTACGCCACATGCTATTAACATGAATCTGAAAACAGTAATTAATTATTAATTCTATTTTGTTGATTTATATGTGAAAAAACATATATCATTCTTTCATTTAAAAGCCATCTCCTTTCTCACTTATTGTTATCTAATATCAGAAAAATATTTAATTATGATATAAGCGTATTGCTATACTCTTCAGTATCTTATTAAATAATCTTTCGTAAAAAAGTGATAGAATCATAGGAGCCCACACAGCACAAAACATTTCAGAGACCTTCGCAAAATTTATTCAAAAATGTTTCATATACGTCTTAAATACGTGAAAATGTCTGCTATTTTGTCACAAATATATTTATGAAAGATCGCATAAATGTTTCAAAAGTTACTTTTTCTATATTATGTTTCTTATTGTTAGATGTTATAATGACGTTTCAGTGTTACTTGAAACTTTTTTGAAACTTTGAAACATTTCTGCAACATTTCTGTTGAATTTTGTGTTGTGTGGGAGTTTACCTCAAATTATTAATGACGGCAGCCTTTGGCATTCCCGTCGTGCCGGATGTATAGACGTAAATCAATTTGTCCCGGGGACTGCCATAGTCAAGTTGGACAAGGAGAGGTGCAGAATCGATGCTACGAATTCCCGTTGTGAGATCTAGCGCCTTTTCTAGAATCGGTGTATCCTCCGACTCCGACCATTGGTAAAGCTCGATGTTGGGTATTTTATTCTTAATGTCACGAATCGCTGCACATGATACGCTTCGATAAGCAATGTAAACGAGTTTTAAGTTTTCCACTTACAAATAGAGAATTCATTAGAAAGCTGCATTTACCAAAAAAAAATTTAATGATTATGAAAGTCAAGAGACACGAACTAAAATGTTTAGGAATAATAAAGATTGACGTTAGTATGATTGATCCTTTACGCAGAAGATATGAAACCGTATGATTACTTGTCACAAGTGACAGGTATTATGTATAAAAACTGTCACCGCACAGTATGTTTAAAAAACTTGGATCGTGTTTTGCAATCAAGTCTCTTAAAAAAATGTAATATACTTATATTTACATCCGGAAAATAGCACGATGCATTTTTCTCGTCAAATTATATAGGACATGAAAAAGTTTTCCAAAGTAATTCTGTACGATACAGTGTAATAATGATGAAACACAAGACATGTTTCTTGGTTTAGTTTGTTCTGACCAGTGAATAGCAAACACGAATATATGTTCTATGCCTGCAAATGAAATCCTGCCCTTTTTCCGCTTTCGAGTCACGGATTTTAGCCATTTACAATGTAAATGAAAGTAGTCTTACCATCTTTAAATTCGGATCCGAAGATGATAGCTTTACAATTGGCGGCATTGATGCTATGTACGAGCATGTCATGACGGAGATTGGTATTGATGAGAGCCGCTACGAAACCAGCCTTGGTGAGGCCTAGCCAGGTACCGGCGTATTCAGGACAATTTTCCATAACCACAGCTATACTGTCGTAGTGAGAAAACGGTCTGGTGCGAAAGTAACGTCCGATACGGTTGCTGAAGAGATCCAGCTGTATGTGTGTCATTGGGACGTTGTTCATTATTATAGTAATAAAATATAAAAAATATATTTTAAATATAACGATTTTCAAGTGGAAGCAAGTAGAAAACAATATCATAATATTTTATTAATATTATTCATAATATTTTCTTTTATCTGCTATTTTTAATCGCTTTTTTTATTTTCTAAACGCAATGCATCTACAAAAACATATCTTAAAAACTTGCTAACTTGCTACTTTTAAACTTGACAAATTTGCTCATTTTTACAAACATTGTCTGACTACTAAATTCGTCAATTTTAATCTATAATTAATAGAAAAATTTGTATTTATACGTATTGCAACTGTAATCACTACAGCAATCAGTTAATTAAATCTAATAGCTTCGCCTTGACAATCATTGAGACAAGTGCTATAAGTGCGCAGCACAGTGCAAGCGTACGAGTGCAAACGAGTGCAAACTTTATCTCTTGATCGAACTTACTTCTTCGTATGTCCATTTTTTGTCTTCAAAAATAAAAGCGATTTTGTTCGGATTAGCCGCTGCGTATTTTGCGAAAACTTTCGGGACGGTATATTCACGCTTTTCCCACCACCAAAGGAGTATATTAACCTGAAGAAATCGATAAGCTCCCCTAAACAAAATAAAAGATATAAAAATCAACATTTTGATGTAAATTAATAAAAATATTAATTCAGCTTTATTAATCTAAGCACTTAATTTATTCATACAGAGCGTATTTTACGTACCATTTATCAATAGCTTTTTGCTCTAGATAGATAGATAAACATTTATTTGTTCCCCTTGGGGTTACAATTTACAAATTCACTTTTTGCTCTAATAAATATGGTAATCAACTTTATTGTTGAATAGAATGATAATATTCAAAAATAGTTTGCTTATTCAAACTTGTGCAAAGTTTATATTACTTTTATAATAAATTCATTTATCTCTCTTTTTCTCTTATTTCTCTTTCTCTCTTGTTCTTCTTTTTTTAATGTAATGTAACGTATAATAATAGTAATTAATTAAAAAAATGAGAATTAAACAATTAAATATAATTTACTAAGAAAAGAATTATAATTATATATCAACTTTTTGATATTTTTTTTTAAAGAAAATAAGGACTAGTAAGAGATAATATCCTATTTTCTTTTTGATAATAAAAAGAAAATTCATAACACATTCTTCACTCGATTCTTTCTCGTTATATCTTTTTCTCTCTTTGCAATTGATTAATATTGCTACACGACATGCGCATGTCACGCGAATGTACAACCGCTCCATTATTGCTGGCTTAACACCTGGCAAGACATGAGAGATGTGTGAATTCATCGTCGCAATTTTCGCGTAAAATATTTATAGAACATAAAACTCTATCTTTCTAATTTAAAACAGTTATCTATAATTAATTTTAATTTATATTGAGTCTTGTTTTTTTTCAATAATAATGTCGAAGAGAAGAAAATTTAAAGTAACATTTAACCACAATTGCTACTGATTAGGATAGATTTTTTTATATTCTAGATAACTTCATAAATGACTTAAATTGTAAGTCTCATTATTAGAAGTTACAAATTACATTCTTTATGGTTAATTATATATAAAAATATTTTAAGAAACAATTTGTCTTTTATCTATTATTATTAATAGATCTACATTTTTATTATAAAAACTGTTATTTATATATATATATATATATATATATATATATATATGCTATTACAAAATAATTATTCTTTTTCTCGATTCTTTTTCGTTTTTTTATATACTTAATACATACTAAATTGAGAACAAGGAAAGAATTTCATAAGAGAACAAGGAAAGAATTTCATAAGAGAACGAGGAAAAAGTTCAGACAAGTTATTTCTAACAATCTTATAAAAATGTAAAGAATACATACACAAAATATTCTATACCTACTTTATATATTAATATATTAAATAAATAATTATTTTCTTATAAAAGAATATAAAAACCATATATATATATATATATATATATATATATAGCATAAATATTAATAATAATTACATCACATGCATATACCTATATATGTATATAATACACATAAGACAATACGCTCAATGCGCACATTAGGAAAATTACGCGATTGATAATTTTAACGATTACATAATATGATTATATAATACATACATATATAGATATAATCATAAATCATAATATACAATGTGATAATATAAATATTATGCACATAATTTCAACACATATAAATCCAAAATAGATTATGTATGAATTATGTATGAGTATCTATAATAAAATATATAAAATATACATAATTATAGATACAGATAATAATACTTATATAAAAGATATAACTTTTCAAAAAATATTTCATGGTAATATCGATATTATCAAAATAGTATTATACAATAAAATTCTCTTTTTGTTTTTATATATGTGTATATAAAAACAAAAATAAAATGCCCATATATATGTGTACATAATATATATATGTACATATATAATTTGATATTTAGATCAATTTCATTTTTACATTTGTAAATTCAACAACATGCACGATCTTTAACGATATTGATATAGACATTAGATAATAAGGAAAGCACAACTAAATTTCCAAAATATACATTTAAAGCAAATTTACAATCTGATAGGAGATTATATGTATATTCAATATTTTAAATATTTCGCCCATTAATTATAAAGCGTTATAAAAATTAATTATTATAATATATTCAAGCGATATAATAATTTTATATTTTATAAAAAATATCTAAATTTTTAAAAGTATTCCTAAAAATTAAAAAAAATTCTTGCAATATAATATACTCTTATTATTTTAAATGAAAAGTTTTTGATTTCAACGACATTTGAGTTCAACGACATTTCTTATTATAGATTAGATAGCTACGTAATTCCTACGTTTGTAGAATTAAATAAATTACAAAGTATGCAATGCATTATGCACAGTCAACAATTGTCAACTATTATAATAATTAATTCTATCTTTTTTTTAAAAAAATAAATTAAATTTAAAAGGTTTGAATTATTACTCATAAGCTACTTAGTTATTGTGGTTAGATTATTTTATAATTATCAAATATTATCAATATATAAATACATCTAAATGTATCAATTTATTATCAATTTATATATAATTTGTATATATGTATACATATATATACCTATATAAATATATATAATATAATTGATAAAATAATAACTTTGCAATGTCAAATAAATTTAATAACTTAAATTTCAATTTTTACTTATATTATTTTTATAATCATATTAAAACAACAATGAGAAGTTGCAGTTAAAAATAATTTTATTTTAATTAACTTAATAAATTATATACTTGAAAATTCTTATTTTAGTATAGGTATAGTAATTTAAAGCAAAAATTAAAAATACACTTATCTATTTCCCACGCACGAGAGAATTAAAATAATGGTAGGTAAATCTTTTTAATCGCTTAGTGTTATAAATGAAAAACATATATGCGCATCTAACTCTCATAATGCGATCTTTGCACTAATGATGCGTAATATTCCACATGACCAATACAATGCATATAATATATGTATTATTGTATACATTATTGAACTGATAGCAATTCGAGAATGATTGATCCGCACGTCATACTCGTATCATATATACAATTATCTTTATTGGAATGTTATGTGTTGATTCGTGCGAAAAATAATTTAAAAATGACAAAAGAAACCGTCGAGAGTAAAAATATGAAATATTATTTAATAATTTATTATAAAAAATATTTTATTTTTATATTTGTTATATTATTGATATATATTAAAACAAAATCTATTTATACAAATCTATACTCTTATTACAAATCTTAAATCTGTTTAAGAACAAAGAAAGTTTCATTTTTTATTAATAATATTTTAATTTCTTGTATTACATGCTATTAAATGATGTTTCAAATATTAATCTTATATGTATATTTCAAACATATTGACACTAATTTATGTATAAATTTCTCTATTAATTATATTAAAAGAAGAAAGAGAAAGAGAAAAAGAGACCGGAGGGAAAAAGAGAAACAGAAAGAGAGAGAGAGAGAGAGAGAGAGAGAGAGAGAGAGAGAGAGAGAAATATTAAAATCTTATCTCTTTCTTAATTTAAATAAATTGTTCTAAATTTTTAAATTCATAATTGTTTAAATAGAAACCAAAACTAGATCACTTATAATTTTATTTTGTTAATTAAGATTATTATTTTTATCATATTATATATTTTATCAGATCATAATCATATTGTAATGTTTTGCTTTTATATTTATTTGAATTTATAATGATATAAATTTTATAATTTCATACATCGTTTTCTTTAATCTTAATGATTATATTATTTATTGTGCATATACTTGTAAGCTGCACAGAATGTGTAACATAATATATATTTTAATTCACAGGGTTAGTTTTACGGCTACAAATAAAACTGAATGCCAATAATTACGTAGTTCTATATAATTATATAGTATTAATTAGTTTTAGTTTTTTTATAAAAAAAAGATTAGAATATTACATTATAAAAAATTTACATTAAAAAAAATTTTGTTAAATTATTTAAAATTGAATTGACAAGTTTAAATGCAAGATAAAATAATTTAACATTTTAAAATGACTATAAGTGAGACTAATCTTTTTACAGCAGGTGCTTTAAAGAAAAAATTTAAGCTAAGAATATTCTTTTATAAAGCTAAAAATATTCTTTTATAAAACGAAAAATATACAAATGACTTTTATAATTTATAAAGACATATTTTAAAATCTAAATATAGCATGTATGATTATGTAGAGTGAAATACAGTAAAATTTATTTTTTGAACATTAATCTATATAACAATATAGCTACTATGAATATATTTGCTACTGTTATCTTATCTAAATAATGCATAAACATATCATTTTTCTGATATCGACAATGTTTAAAAATATTATCTTTCTTTTATACACGTACGCAAAATTAATAATTTAAACGAAAACCATATATATATATATTAATATTTTTTATAACTAAAGAAATTTTCTTAGTTATTGTATATTAATTAGAGATATATTATTCTTAACAATATCAAATACTTATTGAAATTGCAATAAATTAAAAATTGAATAAAATATAAAGGCTAAGCAACATGTGAAAATAAATGTATATATTTTAAATAATTACAATTTTTATCTCTCTTTAACAGCGTACGTACAGGGTGATCATAAAATTCTTCATCAAAATCAAGGATAAAAAAAATTCTTATAAAACTAATCTAAAAACACTTCCTTCAAGAATTACAATTTATTTAATTATTAATATTTAAATTAAATTAATAATTCTTAACTTTGTTCAATTCGACTTCAAGTTATTTAACTTGTAAATTAAATTAATAATTCTTAACTTTATTCAATTCGACTTCAAGTTATTTAACTTGTAAATTAAATTAAATTAAAATACTTTAATTTTATTTACAGAAGTTGTTAAAAATGTCCATTGTTAACTAAAACACTCTTTCACTCATCTAATCATTAAATTTTTCCTTTTGATTAATGCTTAGCGATCCCAGGAGAAGGTGACCGAGATTGTTGTGTTTTTAATTTTGAAGTAGGTATTGCCTCGTGTGCAGATCATGTTCGATTAAGCTTATTGAACACATTAATTAATAAAAAAGCATAAATCTAATATGATCAAAACTTTGAAAAAGATTTATTTTTCGAAATTGATAAAATTAAATGAGTTGAAACTTTTAAAGGAGGCGTTTTTGGACTAATTTTCATAAAAATTTTTTGTTTGATCCTTATGACAAACCCAATCTAATTCCTGATTTTGATCGAATATTTCAGGATCATCCTGTATAAGATATTTAATCAATAATTGTAAGTCTCAATGATGCGCAAATTAAATTTGATGAAATAGAGTGATTACTCCAATATAGAATATTATAACGTAATAAAAAATGGAAGGTACGTCAAGAACCCTTGCAAGTTCCCCCATCTTTTACGTTGCATTCCGACGTCAAACGAAGCATTAAAGCGAATGCAACGAGCAATCATGCAACCCGGGCAATGAACGCAAATTATTAATCCATAACATAATGTAAAGCACGCAAGCCTCCTGCAACTTTAAATGCGGTTATATGCGGTAAAATATTATTCTAAGCATTCATACAAATTTTTAATATATAATATAATATATATTATATAGATGTATAAAAATATATATATTTATTTTATCTAATTATGTGATATAATATGATCAATTAAATGATCTGCAACAATTATTTTATCAAAAAATTAAAACATGCATTAATATAAATATATAAATATTTATATATATAAAATATACAATATAAAATTAAATCTATAATATATATTTTATTTTACTTAATTGTATTATTAATATTGATGTATCAAACATCTTGGAGCAAATATTTTCAAAAAGACTGAATGATTATCACCATTTTATACTTCGAATTAGATTTACCATAGAGAAAACTCCTGAAAGAGAGCAAAATAGAAATAGAAAAATATAAATAACACGACTTTTATCGGGACTTATATAAAAAATAATCTCCTTTTATTTCACTACCTTATGTTAATAACTTAGGCGATATCGATCGAATTTTTAAAAATATCGGATTTAATGTTGTTCATAATGTTCCTAAAAAACCGAATCATTTAATCACACTCGGCAAGGATAGACTGCCTACAGATAAAAAACTGAAGTAGTTTACAAAATTAATTGTAGGGATTGCAACGTGTCAAACATCGGACAAACAAAAAGACATCTTTGTACACGTGTAAAGGAACATTTCAGCAACATTAAAATGCATTCGAGTAATTTATCAGTTATCAGCAAACATACAATTGAATTCGATCACGATTTTGACTGGATTTCACCTGTTATCTTGCATAGTAAAAAACACGTAAGAAAAAGAGAAATCGCTGAAATGTTCTTTATTAAAGGAAATAATAACGCTATTAATTTACAAAATACTGACAATCTAAGTAATATCTACGACAAAATAATAAAGGTCGTTTAGTCTCCAATAACTCGTCTAAGAGTCTTGACGTGTTGTCAAACCGACACTATGTTCGTTCTTGACATCTTAGAATTATAATTTTATTTTTAATTTTACAAATCACTTGATAAGGACTCAAAGAAGGGTCGAAACGTTGTGATTGAATAAATAATATTTGCCAGTACGGTCGAGAGAAGATTTTACCTTTTTTAAATTCTGTCTAGCGATTCTCAATATCTACGTTCTTATAAAAAATAATCTCTAAAGTTCTCTAACCTGTTCCCTATTTTGTACATTTGAAAAGATAGCGAATCTAAGCTCGCATCTGATTATACGCTAAATAGAACATATGTATCTGCGTCCTCTCCCGCCACACATGTCTACATTTTTTTATACTCACAGAATATCTCTAGGTAGAGTCTTGTAGAGCATATACATGATCCGTCGACGACTTCCGGTAAGGAGAAAGCCGCCGAGCAGGACGCTTAGCACGGTGATAACGACCTGGTAGAATTCTGTCATTATGATTTTCCGCACGTTTCGTCGTCTTCGTTTTCAACTCGGATAATTAACAGACTACGACTCAGAAATGGCGCCAGCGGCAACCGGTCGGTCGCTCCGTTCGCTGACAAACGCCGGTCGTGAAAACGTTTCGAGTTGATTCCGCACGAGAACTGATAAATGCGGATGTCGCGATACGACTGAAACGGGACTGAGGCGACTTCGACATATACTGCGAAGTCTCTGTCTCCCCACGTCCACCGTACAGAGAGAGCCGTACAACATATGAGTAATCATCGGGACTCGGCCAGCTGCCCTACGAGGCTACTCCGAGGCTGGTGGGAATGATAAAAGCTGATAGAGCACGCTGCTATGCATCACACATGCGCAAAGTCTTGTGCGAAAGCCAAGCTTCCGAAGGCGGGTGCTGTGAAAAACGAGAGAGGAGACGTGGATTAAAATACATCTCGGTCTTCCTTCATTGACATGCGCTACATTCTCTTACAATAATTCCAATCAAATGAATAGCTCTCTGTAGGGCTCTGTAGATTTCTTTTCCGAATATTCTGGAATTACACGAATTCGTCAGAATTTTACATAACAATTTTATATACTTTTAATTACTCTTAGGATTCAGCTTTCTCTGCAGTGAGATTTAATTTAAATGCCACAAACTAATAATTATAATACATTAAAATAATTTTAATATATTATAAAATAATTTGCTGATCATTGTCTTTGCGCTAATCAGCGGTATTAATATCCCGTGAATGTCTGCGGCTATCGAGAAAATACGGTACGAACGTATGACAAATAATTAATACATCGATTACATTCTTTTCTTTTTACATAAATTTGGATCGCTTGATAATATTTTGAATGCTTGTGAGAGATGACAAAATAAAAAATGCTTATTGCATATATTAATACAACATTGAAAGTTTTTGATGTAGACATTGATGATATAACAAATCGATTATTTTGATGAACATGATCATGAATTGCTTCGCACGCCTATTGCAATTTGCAGGTCATTGCATTACATAAAATATCACGTATAACATTGTATCACCTATAACATACTCGCTTTTTATTGCAAAACCTAATGAATTGCATTGATTAATGAAATTAAAGAATGAATTGTGTGCCTAACTTCCTAGTTAGATTGCAATTTTTCTCTACACATATCTCGTTTATACTCATTTACTTTTATATTTATAATTGATATTTAATAATGTTACTTTATATTACTTGATTTTTAATTTGTTTGCCCTCCAAAGTAAATATTAACTTTTTACGTAAATTTTTCGGTCTTTTCTTAAGATACATAAGGCGAAAATAAATTCTAAAAAATGTATTAATATTGTGATTTGTATGAAAATAATACGAAAATTAAATAATTATGCACATGTAATTCTATAAAAATATATACATTCAGAAATAATAAGAAATATAGAAGCCACTAATATTTTTTATATTAATTGATATGAAATAATATATATCGCATTACAAGTAATTAATTTAGATATATATTAGTAATAATTATTAAATTATAATGTTATTTCTTTCTACAAACATTATACAAACTATACATCAAGTCGCAGTTAATTATATTTAACTGATAACCTTGATATTTAAATATGAAAAATAAGTTGTGTTTCCTAATAGATTTGCATATTTTAAAACAGAATTTTTATAAATCTAAATACTTTATGCTAAAATTTATCGTGCATTACGCTTAAATGTGCATTTGCTTTTTTTCAAAAAATAGAATGTGTGATAAGGAAGAATTATTGGTACACATATTATTTTACGATTATTGATATTGATACTAAGCTACAAGATTAATGTTGAGAAAAATACGTATAATATTGTACATAATACATGAGAATATTCTTCATAATTTTATTGAGAAACATGAAAATAAAACACAAAGTATATATAAAATAGAAAAACTAATTTATGCTACTTAAAATAGCGCTCCTACATAAATAAATACAATCTTCTCGAAGTGAAATAATTAAAGATAATGTATTCTGTTAGTAACTTTTACAGATCCATGTAAAAGTTACAGATAAAATATATTGTCTCAAATTATTATTATATTTTTTGTGCAACATTACTATAAGCAAACAATACAATCTTTACGATGATATAATGTATGAAAATGACAAGATTTACACAAAAATAGTAGAAGATATATTTATACAGATTATTATGTTAAATATAAATATACATATAATTAATTTATAGGAAGAAAATATTTATATACAACGATGTAGATAATAGATTGACGGTCCCTCAGGTCTAGGCATCACGTTTATGTATACTTCACGACGATGGATACTAAAAAGAAATAAAAAAGAAGATTAAAGATCCCTCACATCGCACCATAAACTCATTGACGATGATTACATAATGAAACCGCACCTTACTACGCTATTAAAAGACGAAAAATGTAATAAAAAGAAGCGAGCAAGAGCAGAAAATTTTGATATATGTGCGCAGAATAAATTGCAAATTACACGTGAACATTGCGTAACACGATAAAAACACTTTAACGACTTTCAAATGCGCGATTATTACTGTAGCCGATAGCCTCTGAACAAAAACCTTATTATGCGGAGTTCAGGGAAAATGTGAAAAGTCATGTACCTTACAGAGAATGATCGGGCTCAAAACTTCGTGCTCGCTATCTGAGAACCAGGTAAAGCACCATGATGTCCAAACTGAAAACGACACGCGCTAATCTAACTAGAGAGTATTTAACTCCAAAGGTTGACTGAATGAAATTAACATTAATTAATATTTATATTTCAAAGTTTTCAAATCATCGTCACTTGGGTTTAAAAGTGAGCAGAAAGTTTTATACATTTATATATTGTGCCAAAACTTGTGAAAAATTAGAAATGTACAGAATTGGATAGGATAAAATATAACTAATTATGCATAAAATAAGTTTGCAAGTATGATGCGTTAAATTTACTTCAGATGCAAGTATTCAGCTTGTTGAATTCCAGACTTATAAAACAAGTATCTGTCTCTCAATTATTCATGTTGTATAACTTATTTTACATATTTTTTGTTGTTTTTTTCACATACCATACTTTACATACAATCTTTATACATTTATAAATTAAAAGTGTAAGACAGGCAATAAGAGCCAAATAGCGGATGACAGTGCGTTATTCCAACGAAACTAAATTTAAAATTTAAAACAAGATTTAAAATTGGCCGTGACCAAGTAAATTTGGTTCCTTGTGCGCAGGTATTTAATTCTACGAACAAAAAATTTAGTTCGTTTGAATAACGCACTGTCATCCGCGATTTGACTCTTAGTGCCTGTCTTAGACTTTAAATTTATTTTATTACAGAGCCTTGTAAACTCTTAATTTATACATTTTACTTTCGACTCACAAAACTGAACCGTCAGTAATTTTAATTCCCCATTATTTATACAGCATGTTATGTACTTGCGTAACAGATCTTCTAAAATGAGAAGAAACAAACAAAAAAACACGTATGCAAATTGCGAGACACAATAAAGTCACAAAGTTGCTTAAAAAATATTTAAAGAGTTATGTAAAAAAGTATATATGTAAAGAAGTTATAGTGAGATATATTACGTTAGCTCTTAGATGAACAAAAGATACATTCCACGCGTTATCGCGTTGCTATTAATATTATTTCTTACCAACAATGAAAAGCACGATTGTCATAGTGATGCTGATAATAATGATCCTCGATTTGACATTCTGTAGCCACGCTTTTCGTTGTGCTCTTCTCGCCGCTTCTCTAAACTCGTTACCAGCCATATTCAAACGATCACTCGCCTCCTGTAGATCCTCCAGCCTCTCGCCGCGGTCCATCACTTGTGAACATTATCCCGCATTGTCTGTCACCTCTTCAATTTGCAGCTTGACGCTTTAAATGAAACGGATATTTACCAATCGTTTGCTTAATTTCACTTAAACATATTATGTCAACGCGAAATAATTTAAAATTAAAATTAAGCATTGCATTTCAAACATATTAAACATGCTGTAATTATATCAGTTAGAGGATACTGATCACAATAAATATAGTTTGACCATGTAATACTTAATTGATAAACAAAATTTTATCTTCTGATTTAAAGCATTTTATGCATTCTATTTGAGAGTATTTTAATTAGATAATATAGTATGCACTTTTTAAATTTATCGAAATTCTTAAAAGATAAGAAGTATATTATTTACTGACCTATCCATTTTATTGTCGACTCTTTCATCCCCATTTGACGTACTCGGCCGACTGTAATTATATCAGACATCAGTACATCTGAATTTATTGAAATAATTTCTGGAAAAATGTGACGAAAGCCAAATTTGTCAGATATAATACATTAATAAACAAACAATAAATTTATAATAAAATTAAGAACTTATATTGAAATTTAAACAGAAATAAAAATAGTACTTTAAATTAAGGATATAATAATCATTATTTTGTTGAACAGACATTTGTATTGTATTAATTTTTGTATAGTATTTCTCGAACAAGTTTTGGCTCTTGCAACACTTTTACAGAATTTTTTTTAATGAATCACAAAAGTAATTAGAAATTAAATTTGTTATCTTACGTAAATAACATTTCCTCGTCGCAATCACTGTCATGTTCCAATAGCGTCTCCTGCGAAACAACAAATATAGATATGTCAAATTTCCCGCCAAGTATGCCGACATTCAGGGTATTGCGTGTTTGACGTGCATGCTGGCACATTGATGAAGAATACTCACTCTCTCATCTTTATTCGCAGTTCTGATGTCCTCTTTAGATAAGCTGCGTTTACCGGACGACAACATGTCTCCAGGAAAATCAATCCACGCGTTGCACGCGGCCTCCAAATAATCGATTCGCACAATTAATTAATTTCTTTCACCATTCGCAATTTAACCATCCACGAATACTCAGCCATTTTGACAGAAACCATCCTGTTTTACCGGCTTTGGAACAGCTTGAATACACAGACTATATGGATCAATATACTATAGCAAAGTAGTGTTTTAGAAGTAGTGTCTGTAAGTAATTGACAAGTACAATAAGGAAATGACTACGTCTTTAACGAAATATACTTACGCGAACTATAAATATCTGCACATTTAACTGATCTTTTACCGTAAGAGTTTTTTACTGTTCACGAATAGTCAGTCATTTTAAAAACACCATCCTGTTTACCGGTTTGTAACAGGTGTTCAGTATTCAGACTGTAGATCAATATAGCAGAGGGCAGTATCTCGTGGAGCAATTTACACATGAAAAGCAAAATTAATTTTTCATTATACTCAAACATATTTATGCTAAATTAAATTAATAATTTTATTTTATGTAATAAAATTAGTTGTAATAACTAATTTTTAAAACATGATACGATGACAGAGTATGTGACATATTTAAGATTTAACGCAGGACTTAGATTAAGTATTAAGAAAATAATTATTTTTTGTATGTTGCTTTTATTTTGACGTAAACATTTATATTTAATTACAGAGAAATACATAGTATATAGCGCGAACAATAAAAAATAATTTGATTGTCATATAGACGCGCAAGGTTCGCAAAAAACATTACAGTACAACGAACAAATATTTTCTAAATATTTTACACGATTAAGATATTGAATTAAAACAACTATAATAAAGAGTAAAGTGTAAAGTGTATAGTTTTCATAAAATTATTGTAAAGTTTTATTACTAAAAATAAAATAATTTTTGTGTATATATACATATAAAGAACAACATAAAGAAAACAGAAGACAAATAATTATAAGATATTTGTTAAAAATGTTTTATATAAATTATATTATTATTTAAACTGTGCTTTTAAAAATTAAAGATAACGTTATTTGTATTCACGTCGTCAAATTACAAAAATGTAATGACTTCCCCATGCACATACTAGGAAACTTCCTTAATAAAAATATTTTTATAGTAGAGTAAAAATCGCACCTCACGTAAATATTAGATCACGATAAAAGAGAGAGAGAGTATGAGTATATATTTATACATAATTTTATAAAAATAGACGAGCTTTGGCGGGGATATCTTTGTTGCTGAGGTATGTCTATAGTTTCAGTTTCATAAGGTAAATGATACATGCGTCGATATTATTGATTTACATTGATTTGTTATTCTCACGGTTCTCTTGGAAGAGATTGATATATTTTGCACACACACACACGCACACACACACACAAACACACTGTTTAAGTTCCACTGAAAATTGAAAGTCGGCCTTCACTTTTATATTAACGCACATATTTGCTTCCGAATTTTCTTCTTTTAATATATACAATATAATATTGTACTTTATAGAGGGATATTTTTCCAATTCGCATGAATAATCCAATTTTCAAAAATTATCATGTGAATCCACGTTACGTAGATGGAAAATTCTGTATAAAATTGCATAAAATTGCTCAACGCAAAAATTGCATATAAATTGCACAAATCTTGAACATTGTATTGGAAAAAAAATTTTAAATTACAAAGTTAACTTAATAAATAAAAAATTTAATAAAGTTCAAGTGAAAAAAAGAATATAAAAACACATTTTAAACTGAAGAAAGAACATAGATTTAAAATAAATATAACAACATTCAATTTAAAGATTTTTCATTGATTGATTTGTTTGCATTAACTAAAGCAATATGAAATTACAATATTACATTTTTGCATAATTTTTAGAATGTATTATTCATGCAAAACGATAATTATTCGTTCCTCGTTTCGGCTTCCATATAAATAATATATAAATAATACATTTTCAGTTCAACACGCACCGACCTTAAGATCATAGTAATCCACGAAAAGAATTACAACAGACAAAACATCTAAACTTGAAGCCAAAGTCACACTTCTCGTTTTAATACCCGCATATTGGTCTGTAACTACTTCCATATACACGTTAAAAAAACGAAAGACGGCTCTCTTGATAAGAGTAGCCAGGTGAACCGATATGTGTAGCACCGTTTTACAGCATGATTTTTCGATACGCGCCGCATTATCGCGACGCAATTGTAAATACATTACGCTTATCTCAAAATAATATTTACGCAAATATTATAATCGCAATGTCTACAAATGTATGTATATGTACGTATATACGTATATAATTAGGTATATGTGCTCGTCAGAGACGTCTCGGTCTCCAATTCCATTTTTATACGACTTTAGGCCGCGTCTACTTGAACGCATTGTTTTCCATCAACAAGCGTGGCGAATGATATAATTAATAAATTACGCATTGGAACACACAGTCACATCTCAAGAGGGAGATAAAAAGCGAGAGTGTCTCGTCGATAGATCGACATCGCTCTGATAAAGTGCAAAACGTCTCAAATCTTTACATCTATCTAGAGAAATTCGACAGATAAATTTTACACAATAAATTTAGTGCAGTCAAAAAATTATTTTTTGCGTGCTCTCTGTATTAGAGTTGCAAGCTAAATTAATTTACGCGCTTAGTTTATTTATATACGAAGTTCATAAATTAAACTGGAACTTGCGAGCATTAGGAATACAGTCTTATGAGCGATCTTGAAGAAGAGTCTTAAATATATACTTATCTAAAGAACCGATTAATTCGGGATTATAACAACGATTGAGACTTGCCTCTCATTTATATAATTATAACAGATAATTCTTAGGAATTATTGAGTTGTATTAGATTTAGATAATTATGAAGATAAAACACAAAGAAAGATAGAATATACATATTTTATAAAACTCGACAAAAATGCATTTATATTTTCGCTCATATATTCATCAAGATTTAAAATAATAATTTAATTATTTCATCGCTGGAAAATATCAGGAAATTTAATTTTTATGAATAATCGTAATTTTCTAATTTAAACCCGAATAAGTCGTAACACAATAAAAAAATAATATCACTTCGTTTCTTTTATATTCAAATATGAGTGAAATATTATGCACATAAAATTATAAAAACATTAAAAGGAACAATTTACAAGCGCATATTTTTTCTGATAATCTGTATTTGCAAATGTGACAGTATATTTACTTTGCTAAATAGAAGATTATGATGATTAATGCTAATTGCAATGTTGGTGCGCAATGATGAAATACAGATAGCACTTTAGATTTGTTGGAGTGCATTACAACTTTAATTAAGTAATTCCAATTAGCTATTCCTATCTAAGAATATAATCATAGCTGTAAATATATGTGTAGGCAGAGAATGAAAATTTAGGTAATGCAATAAGTTATAAAATAATGCAGCAGAGAAATGTCAGACCTGACCTTTAACACTGTTCCATTTATAAACGTTATTTTATTTTATATGAAATGTATCGTTATTATAATACGACAGATTACATTTTATAAAGTGAAAGACGACCAGCGTCGCAATCGGACGAAACCTGCGTCCAGCGTAATAAAATGATATACATATACGTGACTTAGAACAGTTATTAAATATCATGTGATCATATTATATGGCCATCAATAATAAAGTGAATTTTCACTTTATTCCATTTTAATGATCAATTATGTAGACGACATTGTTTTGCAAATATCTAACGAACATCAGTTTTTTTATCCTTTTATAAAACGCTAGTTGTATATAATTATATACTTTACTTGATTTATTTGTAATTATAATTGGAATATAATTCTGTTATAATGTTTACTGCAATTCGAATTAATATTGAGGCATTTATGTATAAATAATAATAAATGATATTTTATATTTAATTGTTAGTTTATTTAGAAAGTCAAAATATTTAATAGTTCAAGTTATATATTTAGTACTGTAAAATGTAAAGAACGAAAAATAGTTATGGAAATATCATTTCTTATTATTTAAATTTTCGTTTCTCACTTATTTAGTTCTCATATTTTTACTTCCGCTATAATATTCAATGAACGACAAAATACGTATAAATATATTCAAAAAATTCTGTGAGAACGTCGTGGTCATCATTATGTAATTGCGATGCATTTATTTGCCAAATATTCGCTAAATAAAAGTTTCGATATGTGTACAACGCAATTTGATAAACTTCCTGTTGATCAATTCTTTAATTAAATATTTCACACACATACTGCGTATACACATCATAATTACTCTCTACAATTATTTTGCATCTACAGAACGAGACGCGTTCCGCTATAAGAAAATTAAATTAAACTAATATAATAAATTATTCTAATTCAAAGATTCATTCTACACTAACTAAATAGATTAAAAATTAATCAACTTTTTTTACAAAAACAACGCTATATTGTGGAGCATCAACTCTTTTTTATCATCTCACCAGATTCATTATATTATTAAAAAATTTGTTTTGGAACATCGAGGAATATTTGGCCAGCGATCGCGTCAGTCAAAGGCTTTATTCACGAAACGCAATTATCGGAGCGCCGCACTTGCGTGGGATCGAACACACATGCGACTCTCATTAGGTTCTAATAAATAATCAAATCGCTGCATTGCAGAGTGACGGCACGTCAGTATTAAAAAAATTTTTTTTTTTACCTGCGCCGTCATTCATCATCTCGCGCCCGAACGAAACAGATCCTGTCCAAGATTGTTAATCTTTTATACTCTAACTTCTAGCTCGTGCGCACAAACTCACATGCACACATATACATGTTGCGGGTCTTACTACTGTAATCACGATAACGTATATTGGAGCTCTGTATCCACTTCGTGCTCAATCGGCTCTCACTGTTACTCTTGGACTTTGTATGAGCATATATGAGAAGAGAAAACGAGACGGCGAAAGTTGAGAGCCCACTTAATCCTTTAATCAGGTACATCCACCTGTGTTCTTTTTCTTCTCGAGGCACGTTCCCAAGGGATACATTGCTTGGGCGTTTTACAAGGCTTAGTATATATATATGTATATTTTAATTCGTAATTTATTAAATCCATCACGAAGACTCATCTATTGCGAAAAGAATAATATTAGATAGCGAAACAAAATAATCTTTTTACCGGCCTTTATTTCTTTTGTACTCTTTTATTATTAAAACCTCATTATCGTATTAAACAAAACAAAATATGAAAAAAATAATTATGCTTGATAAGAAAATAATTGATTTATTATCAAATTTAAATATTTTTGTAAGCTGTCAGAAGTTAAATGTAATTTTACTATCACAAAATTGATATTCTTTGATGTATAAAATTATAGAAAACTCCTGTGATATTGCTAAATGTCATCTTCTTCGCAACGTTTAAAAAAAGCTAGAATGTAAAATTTGTTCGCCTGTATTTTTTTTTGTCGCACGTTAATTCCGATTCATAGAAAATGGAAGTGAAGTTAATGATACACAAAGGAAAGTTCCGCGTGTGTTTTAAATCAGTGCGAATTGCTGCTCTGGCGCCTCTCTGCGCGATAAGAATGCATTGGATAATGTCAGAGGTCTGTTGGTCGGGAACGCGCTGCAAGAACAAAGAAACAGGAACATAGAATACGTAGGTCGTAACAACGGCTCCTTACCAGGATACATAATCAGTGCGCGAGTCGTAAAATCGTTATACGACCTCTCGACTGAAAAAAGTTCTCTCCGAAGTTGGAGTGACACAAAGCTCATAATCCGCCTGGATAAAAAATAATGAAAATATCATGTAACACCTCGCGCAGAAAATCGCCGCGTTTACCTTCTCGATCTCGATTAGCGTTCACGTTTCCGTGGAACAATCCTCGATCGTAAAAGGAGAAACTCTCCCCTTCGAATTCTGCTTTTCTCTCCCTTTTATCCCGTCGCAATATTTCACAGTACGTGCAAGTTCTCGCAGCTCTTGCTCTTGCTGTCGTTCAAGCACATCTTATTGAGAATTTCTCTAGCGAGGTTCAGGCTCAGAACGGTTTTGCTATTGTGCAACTTCGACAATAGTTTGCCCTTGCTACCTTGACGCCGAAGTTTCTTTTCGCGGGACTCTCTTAGGCGGATTTGCTTCAGAACGCCGACCAGAAGCTCGTCCACATTGTGCTTGAGCCCGCTGGATGTTTCAATAAACTTGCACTCGCGCGACGTGGCCAACTGCTTCCCATCTTCAACAAATTGCAATGATTAATTGAAATTGCGCGCGAAATACCGAATAAAGTCGACTAAAAGTCTGATTACATTCGGCCGATTTTAAATTATTTATGCAAAATATAAAGAGTGGTTAAATCCAATAATAATTATCACTTTTAATTAGAAATTATTTACTTCAGTACTCTTTTGTGCATATATAATATAATTTATGTGAATAAATAATTTATTACAAATTAAATTTCCCATCTTTAAAGCTAAAAATTATATAAGCACAGACAAATAGTGACAAGTACGTGGAAAAAAAGCGAAAACTTGGTCTGAAAATACTATTTCGTTTTATTCGCAATATCTTTTTACCATTTGCCGGAATTGTCCGACTTCTCGCGAGATCGGACTTGTTGCCGACGACGATGACCGTATGTTCTTGAGTGTAATGTTCTTGCCACAGATAATTTAGTATCTCTTCAGCCACTTGAAAGCTCGTACGTGAAACGATTGAATAAACCACGATGCAGGCATGTGGCTCGTATGTCGACAGAGAGTTTTCGACCTAAAGGGTTTCCCAAAAATTTTTTTGTATTTTAATTGACATTAATCACATAAAATGAGATTGAATGACATTAAACGCTTAAATATCATGCGGACGTGAAATATCTGCTTTTATAAATTTAGGAATAATATATATGTATATTTTACATGATTTCTTTTATTTCTTTTGTTCATTAAAAAGATAATTATTTATATCAAATTAGATGTTAAATATTATGATAAATTAAACTATTAGTTATATAGATGAATAATCCACAAATAACGGAAAATATATTCGAAATATATATTTGCAATTGATATTGAAATAGAAGAATAGTATTAAGAGTTTGACAATGTATTCAGCAGATATTTGCAGAAGAAAATAAAAAATAAAAAGTTCAAAATGCGTGACAGAAGATTTTAAAGTTTGACTGACAATGAGTTAAAGCTTTGACCGAATAAAACTCCATAATCTAGAAATAATATGACAAGTTACAGCATATTGTATAGGCGAGAAAATAAACTAGACGTCAAAAAAGTGTTTATTTTTTTAAATTTAAATCAACAATTACCTTTTTAGTTTAATAATAATTTTAATCACGACTTTTACAGCAATGATGATCACAATTTCATCTATTAAATAATATTATAAAGCAATCTGAAACTTTCGAATGTTTTAATTATGATTTATATTATTCGTATATAAAAGCACGTTTTACATTTTGGTTATTAAAAAAATCTCTTTAAATGTTCTTTTCCATATTGCTGTTTATAGGATCTGTATCACGTTATTCTTTGCAAAACAGCAAATTGCACAAATACAAATAATGTAACAAACTTTTAAACTACAATATTAAAGTTACAATCCTCGTCGATTTACGGCTTGGTACATGAAATTCGCATTAATGCACGCTGAGCGGACTTAGATAGGTAGGTAGCTCAACAAATCCCGAGAATGGTTCAGATTAAGGAAGTCGATTTAACATGAATGTCGAAGTACTCAGAAGGGATTTTGTTCAAAACTCAATTATATGAAAGCAAACTTTTAGAGAAAGTTAATTCCGTTGTTGCGACTTAATACAAACTATTGATGTGCATTTATATTTAGTTTCAAGAAATTATATCCGCTAATATACCATTGTAACGTGAAAGTAGGAGCAAGGTAATCAGTAAAAATACATTAGCAATTACTTTCTATAAAAAAGTTTTTAACAACTTGATGTTAAAGGCACTTTAAATTTATACATTTACAAAGGAAAGAATAATTCTTCAATATCAATTATAGAGTGCATTCTTTGTAACAAATTTCTTACAATTTCTTCTACGTATTTCTCTGAGCAATCCAATTCAAAACTTTCATACATTTTAAATTATCCCTCTCTTAATTTTACTCTCTGATCTTTTATTAATCACTTTTAATGAGTTTGCTTTTATCTAGTTTCATAGCAATTACGTAGGATAAACCATTATTGCGATAACGTAAGAAATAATTAAGACATTCTACGGCAAACAAGATGAAAAACAATTTTCACATAATTGCAGTAGCTCTGATTTGTGCATCGACAAAATGCACATGATATATAACCAAAACAAAAAATATTATTTACTTAATCTAATTCGACTAAATTAAAGAAATAATTCTGAAAATATATTATGTTGTAATAAAAAATATGAACAGAATACGAGATAACTTTAAAACCTTTAAAATAAAGATTAGCTTATTTTTTTAGATGATTAATTTTTTCATATATTATTATTAATTAATTATTAATTAATATATTACTTTATAAGCAGTGTAGTAGAAGAGAAAAATGAAAAAGGGACAGAAAAAGAAGATAAAAATATAATTGATAAGAAAAATTTTATACACACGCATACATACTACTCTCTTTCTCTCTCTTTCTCTTTTGTCTCTCTATTAATATTATATTCCTTAATTATAAAATAGCAATTATAAATTACGCCGCGTTAATACAGATTCCCGAGAAATCTGTCTGTGTCACAAGAATTGTGAAATACTCGGGCGCAGCAAAATTAATTATTGGACGAGAAGAATCTATTGAGCGATGTTCTCATAACCATTTGCATGATAAAAACCTCTAAATGTCACTACGAGTCTTTCATTTATAAACGAATTTATGCATTCCCGACAATACTGTACGCCATATTGACTCAATGAAAAGATTCTGTGTGTTACGAGAAACTGCGTATAGAATACCTTAAGCTATTAAAACCGAAGCTAGTTTAATATACTAGTAATCAATGTTTATTCATGCTCGCACATAATGAGACTGTAATACCATGCAAAATTTGCTAAGTTATCTAAAACTTGGTAGATATATGTATTAATATGCAGAGGCAAAGCGTCGTAAACAGATTTTTATATAAAAATTCATTAATTGAAAGTATGTGAAATTTATATGTATTGTATATATATAAGACTATTATTTATACATATAAATTTCAAAAATAATGTAATACTTACGCTCATTTCTACGTGCGGATGATCAATAAAGATCATTTCCGATTCCTCACTATCTAACAAAATAGAAACTGTTTTTTCCCCAAACTCGTCATCTGCAACATAAAGGCGAAAGTCTATGCTAAATGTTGTTGAAAATTGTTGAACTTGTGCTTCACGCCATATAAAGAAAAATGTATTATATATTATAAAAATTTTCATTCAATTTTATTTATTTCGTCACAAAAGAAATGTTCTGTAAGTTTAACAATAAAAAATTTCGTCGCTATTCGTAAAAAATCAACCATTGAGTTGAATTTTATTTCGTGTACTTTATTTATAATGATGGTAAATACCAGCATTTGATGGCACATAAACTTCAAAGAAAAGTAATAAATTATACTAAACAAATACAAACTATATGATTTTAATGCCAATCTTAATTCAGAAAGAATTAAAGTTGCTATTTGTCAAATTTTGTCTATTTTTCCTATTTGTCGTTAGAAGTAATCTTGAATTATTCCTTTTTTTAAGGTAAAACTTTGCCGTATAAAATAATTACCTAATCAGAATTATTTAAATAACTTACATCATAGAAGATATAACGATTGGTTCAAATTTGAACAAGCAATCAAAAGTTTCAAGGAATGTCAAACTAGTTTGGTATAACTAATATACTATGCAAACTCTCTATAATTTGTCGCGTACGAGTTTGAACGTCATTTACGATCTCAACTTACATTACATTTACAAATGGATGCACTTATTACTTTCGATCGCGTAAATATGAATATAGAATCAATATAAATACATTGGATGTTTCGAGACGCTCGTATGTCAAATAGTTTAAAGCCTCTACGATAATTGCTAAATATTGAAATGTCCATTATAATGCAAGTCATGATTAATTAATTTCTACTCAATATTTGTGTTTCTTCTTTATTTTTTTAAATATTTCTTTATCTGAGAGAAACGACCTTTCAGCTGTTTTTCCTTATCTTTTTATATCTTCAGATAGCATTATTGAATTTATTTGTTATAAATTATATGAAGTTTTTCGAATACAAAATAGAAGATAAATAAACACATGAGGGAAAATGTAAGTTACATTTGAGCTTACAGTATTGCAAAAGAGATTGTATAGATTCACTTTATATGAAATATCGAATGCAGAGAAAAATATGTAATAAGTATATATTCTGCTAAGTTAACGAGTTATTAAAAAATATGATTATTACTTAATATTTCTCCCTTGTCAGATTATAATTTTAATGACACTCTATTTTTCTTTTAATATATAGTGTGGAGAAAATTGTCTTTTTTGGAAAAATGTTTTTAGATGGATTAAAAAGATATTAATCTGTCTTTTAATAGCAAAGATATATATTTAATATTGTAAAATAAATTATAAAGAAAATGACTTTAATTTTACCAAGATTTCTCATCATATACAAATTCAGTAGAAACAGAATTCTTGTAGATCACTTTATCTACATCAAGCAGAAAAGAGAAATCTTACAAATTAATTAAACATAAAAACATTACTAAATTAAACATAAAAACATTATTAAATTCAAGACAGCAATCTAATGAAAAATTACTGTAAAAATGAATCTGTAAAAGATTGTTAAAATTAAATTTAGAGAACTTGGAACTTTTACTTTAACCAACTAGACGCGCAAAAATACTTTAATACGAAGTCATTTATAGGTAATTCGACAATGACTTGTATAATGCGAAGCTCTTGAATAATCAAGATTGACTGGATAGAAAGTTGCACATGCGAAAGGGATGCATAAGTTCTCGGTACTGCGCATCGCACGTTCTTACACGTGACATTCACGCACGTGTATGGAATGAATACGCGAAGCGCACAATATTGCGCCTGTGTGCGAAAGCTCGGTTCATATACTGGAAATTATTGCAACGCGAGTCCTATGCAACGTGCTATATGACCGGAATTGCGTGAGGATGCAGAATTGGCCCCTTCATACAGCGCTTGCCGAGTTTCAAAGCCGCATGATTCAGCAACGTGAATTTTTTCTCTCTCTTCAGCTTCCGCGTTATTATTAACTACCTTTGCTTTTCAAAGAAGTGGGCGTAGCGGTGTCTGTGTCGCGCGCGAATTGAGAGATTGGTTACGCCATATGTTTTTAAGCACGTTAGTTTTAATTAAAAGTTAATTAATTAAATCAGAAAAAGGTTAATTAAATGGCAAAAGTTCCATTTGATCGATTCTATTCTCGCGCGCAGTGAGACTGCGCTTAAACATAGTATGAAAATACGACTCGACGAGAGAAGATAAAGTCTTTATCAAAGGACATTACCGCAGGAAAAAAGGGATTTTTCTATAAATTAATTTTCTAACTTCTTTAGAAATATATAGAATATTCCTTTGCTTTTTTTCGATAAATAAAAGATTAAAAAGATAATTAAAAATTTTGATAAACAATTTACACTATGAAAAAAAGAGAAAGGAAAAAAATTCTTGAAATGATTCTCCAATACGTAACCATACTTTAAAGACACATTATATGTGGAATTACGTCAAGTGTCGTGATGCAAAATCCTATATCAAAGGTACAGGATAATCAATCCTTTTAATGGAAAATCTTGAGTTCCCACGTGTCTTGTTCAAGGGTGTCACGGCATTGTTCTACATGCGAGGGTGCACAGACTTACCTAGGCTGGCATCGTACGTGTTTATGTATTCGCTCGTCATGAATTGCGAGACCAGAGCCGTCTTTCCCACGCCGGAGTCTCCCAGCAAGATCACCCTATATTTTGAAATACTTTCCTCAATGTCGCTATCGATGCTAGCGTCTTGCCCGCTACAACAAGAGCCCTCAAATGGTGATCTCTCCCCCGATACATTGCTGTTTCTGAAAACAAAAGGAAAAAGATGTTGCGAATGGCGAAGATTATAATAAAATATTTCAAGTATTTTATAAATATAGACAAGTGCTATCAATGCAAAATTACAATGACAAAGAAAGTTATTTTCTTAATTAATATTATTTATTCGTTTATAAAAAAAAATTATTTATTTATTCGTATTCTCATAAATCGAATTTCATACTCGTAATGATATTAATTTTGTATCACGTATAGTGACCCTTTTTAGCTATCAACAATTATTTTAAAAATGTAGAAAATGTAACTTTTGCATGACAAATCTTTATATCCCTACATTTTACTTATAACATTATTTAAATCCATGCATAATTATTTTCCTCTTGCTTTCATCTGTATCATCGAAAATATGCAAAATACATTCTCGTTTTTCCCTGCCTTCCACATCCCTGACTTTCAGTGAAGTGTTATGGAAATTCGTTGGTAGGAAGCCTTTATAAATATACGATATAATCATATGTATACTTCTAAATACATAAATATATTTATCACACAAATAAGAATTAAAATTAATAATTAAAATACATTAATTTAAATAAACTAATTATCGCAATATTTTCTTTGATCTTCTCAGAATGAAATGTATATGTTGCTTTATCTATTCTTATGTTAAAGGTATATACATATAATGCAAATTGTGATTGTTACAAATAAATTGTATGTATCCTTTTGAGACTTCTCTCTCGATATTGCAAAAAATATCAAATATATTTTGAATTGCAAAGGAAGAACAGAAGTTTCTTCCTCGCAAATTTTAGCAGAACCATTGTTTATAATAATCTTCTTGATATTAATTTTCTTAAAGTTAAATAATTTAACAAAGCCATCGTGTAATCCTTTACATTAATTTTTCAAGAATCTTTTAAGTACTTTATTGGAATCCCGCAACGATTATATTCCGTTACCAGGTAATATTGTGTACGTTTAGCCGAACATCGATTTGATCGCATAACAAAATACTGTTGGAATAAGCTACCGACGTCTATATGCATTTATATGTACATAGGTTGCATGTAACGTTATTGTTCGACAATACCACAACTTCGAGCAAGCCATCGGCTTTGGTATCGACTGTAATAATTATCGCGTTTATCCGTCCGCCAGTATACAATATCAATCCGGTGGGTTTCGGCGTTCCCTAATGGCCGAACAGGCTGAGCCAGATTAACTTTGATAAGTTCGTAGATTACAAATGTCAATCGTAATATTAGCGTAGGACTGTGATGCATAGTTATTCTTAAATTAGATCAAAATTCTACAAAAATTTAATGGTGCATATACAATCAATGCGACATATTTTATAAATGTGTATTAGTCATGCGAAGTATTTTATAAAATCACTAGCACAACATTATTAATTATCGTTTTCACGTAAAATAAACTAAAGAAAGAGGGGAAAAAAGATATATAGAAAAATATGGTTTGGCTTATCGTTAACTTGCTTGCTCGTTAAAGTTACGGCATGTATATACCCAAGAGTATACACGAGAGCCATCGTTATGTTTAAAATCAGACAATAGTACAAAAATAAAACGGAGCTGATGTTATATCAGAGTTTCCACGCGGGATTATTCCCGACGATGTGCTTGTCTGCAGTAAAAATACAGAAATAGCAGTAAAACATTTGTTATCAATAGAAAGAATCTTGTCAATGGAGTCTTAAATGATTTGTTAAATCATTTGTTTGTTTAAAATTCCTTAAACATACGCATCGACCATTTATCATTTTACGATAGAAAAAGAAGAAGAAATAGAAAATATAAAATTTTTATGTAATATTTAAGCTATATTATTTAAATTATAATATTTAAAATTTAATATAAATTTACAATGTAAATTTATAATAAAATATATATCAGACATACAAAATATATTTTCCAAATATATATATTTGAATAATTATACGAAAGGATTTCAGTATTTACTAATACTTGCTTATTTAATTGGCATTTATACATATAATGCTCGATGCATTTAACTAAATTATTACACATCTTGTTGCAGTATATACATATTTACTATACAGTAGTGCATACATTTGCAATTTCATATTAGATTTACGGGTGAAACAATATTGCAAACAATAGGTATAATTAATTCTATTATTAAAATTATTTTGTCAACAACAATAAAATATTAACTTCTCTTATAAATAAAACACATTAAAATATAAATATCTCGAATTTAATTAATATAAGAACATGCAAATATTTTCTAAGAATTTATTCTTCAAAACAGAAATTACACTTAATTTTCTGTTGTATAAGGTCAAGACTACAAATCTCGATGAATTTACGCTATATTTCCAAGAACATTTTCCGTCTTATTTTCTGACGTATTTTCCGCCTGTAGCAATATCCAATTACGCGATTTACGTGAAGATAGATCGAAAGATATCCACATTTCTTTAGCAAGTAACAAGGCAAACTCCTATGTCTCTTATCTTCATCACCAATATTATTTCGAGCAAATGAATATGTTGTAATATCTCGAAGTCGCACACTATATGATTTTCTTTAACGTTTTTCCCGAAAGATCAAATAATGTGTTATTTTTCGAAAAAGTATTGCGAATTGTTATAAAATAATACAGATGTAATGTAAATTAATATTAAAAAGTTGAAACTAAAATATAATATTAATTTCTGTTCTGCACAAAAATAATTTTAAAATTGTCTCTTTTTTACTTATTTTTCTTTATTTTCCATATTTCTGCATTATTCATTTTTTTGATAAAATAAAACTTTTTGTAAATAAATAAAAATGAATTTGTAGAAAAAATTTGTATGAAAATAATAATTTATACAATTTATTTGTAATGATAATAATTTATTTTAATTTCATAAAGAATAGAACAGAAACAGAAAACTCAGCAAAGTATAACTGTAATAATTTTTCTAACGACTTCACGTCAATCGATTTTCAGCATCCCTCTCAACATTTCTTTCTCCAATATATCTATCTCAAGACAACCGTAAATTATTCACGCAAATATAATATTATTCATCGCAAATTAATATTAAATTAATTATTAATGTTAAAATATCGGAATTGGAATATAAATGTGTCGTAACACAATTTTAAATAATTTTATATTCTTTCCTTTCTTACTCTATTGTAAAGAATCTATTTGGATAAAAGAAGAATGTAAAATCGCGTCACTTGAAAAAATTAAAGAAAAAATTTTGCAGATTTGAAAACAATTTACAATATATTTCAATAATTTACAAATTCATATTAAATCAATCCAATATTGCTTCGAAAGCGATGTTTTTCCTAGCAATTTAACATCAATGCATCAGCATCGAGATATCAGTGAAGGTCATGATCGAACTGTGCAAAAAGTTTTCAAAATATCTAAATGGCTTGAAGGATAATGATGCGAAACTCCTCGGCAAGATCTTTGAAAGAATCTCGCATAAATAAACGCATCGATCCGATTGTTTGCCACAATTGTGAAATTTATTTTTTCCTATAATTAAATTTTAAGATTGCCAGGTACGTTGAACATCCTCTCGTTAGAAATACGATAAGTGACTTGACAAGAAAGACTAAATTTTTATCTTCGAAATATACTTTGTTATTGTAATTATTATCAAATATGCATATAATGTATGAGAAAAACGCGTCATAAAATATTTTAAAATAATGATTAATATTATGATAATATTTAATACTATTTTATTAGTTATTCATCATTTAATAAATGGAATGATACAAAATATATCTGTCGAACGCGACTATAAAGAAATAATAGCGCGTATCAATGATAATATGAGTTACACGATTGTACGAATATCTATTATTAATTTCAGTACGACCAGAAGTAACGATTTCATCACGCATCGTAAAATAAAATTTCTCGTGAATTTTTCACTATGTATTTTGATGAATTTGATTCGCCATACATGTGTAACACAATTACAACGACGATTGTCTCTTCGACTCCGATCCCAAAATAAAAGAATTCACTTTTCTGTTGGCAAAGCCATTAAATAAAAAATGTTGGATTTATTGAATAGCGTTAAAAGTAGAAACAATTCCTGAAAATTCTCTCTACCGATCGGCTCTGAAATTCAATTAAAAGTAACCATTACGCCATTGAACAAACCTCGTCCATAAAATAGATTAATGTGAATTTTTTGCCTACTCTTTCTCTCTGAGATTTCTATCGAGATTTCCACTTGACATACGTACAATTCTTATTTATATTAAAATCATATTTGCTACTACTACAATGGGTAATAAAAATCTCAGAGCTTCAAAAAAATTTAATTAAATTATTAACGATTTTTGCAAGCAAATTCTAAAGAGTTCATCAATATAAGCTAAATTCTGTTGATTTTGAAATAAATGGTTCTTGCACAAATTTACACTGTTATAACATTCATCATGCATGTACAACTTTAAAGAAATTATTCAAGCAGCAATTTATAATTGGTGGTAAAATCTGATACTGTAACTAAAGGGATACACGATATAGTTAAATTCCTCCGTATTTCCTCGCTAAGCTCGCTGATCCGTAACCGTGTACAATCCAAAAAGGCTATTACTATAGAACCCCCTGGGCTGGATGGCTCATACGATCGCCAACGTCCGTGACCTGAAAAGGTCGCGCGGTTGATCTATGGTTCGTGAAAGTTACGAGATCTATGTTCCGCGTCAAAAAGCAAACGTGAGTTGAGCTTTTACAAATGATTTGTGCCGAAAGTGTTACGCAAAATAAAAAACTGCAATTTTTTTGCGAGATGCCAAAATAGAAATATAACAAAAAAATCTTTCGAAATATCAAACAGTAGAGTTTTTTTTTATCAAACGATTTTTTTTTTAGCTTTTCTAACTAACGAAAAATGTATGACTTTGTCAATAGTAAATTTAAAAAATTCTAATTATCATACTTGTCATACTCAAAGTACATATGTATCACATATTGAACGGGAATAATGGATATTTGCGAAAAAGTAATTCGAGATGCAAATACTAAAAAATATTATTTTACAATTTTATTTTTCCGGTTAAAAAAGAATCGTACCTTTGAGAATTTCCACCATATAAAGCAAAAATGTTTACCCCGTTCGGATTACAAATTGATTGCGCGTGTCGGATTAACTTTTTTTTTGATACATTATCCTCCATATGAAATAACACGACGAATTGTTGCTTTGTGTAATGTTATCGATTTTCACTCATACCTACTGCTATTTGAAAAGTAGAGAAAAATATATAACGACAAAGAAAAATTATATCATTAGTGCAAAGTAATTAATGATGTTACGAAGAAAATCTTCATCGTTCCGTCAAAGCAACCCTATTATCGAAAGTTGATCTCACTTCCAAGAAACGAGTATGGCTTTCAGAGACGGTCGGAAGTGTCAGATTAATTATGGCTCCAATTAAAACGACGTTGCTCTCCCTATAGACATACATTCAGATCCGTAGCTCATTTTCAGGTCGGGTATAAACGTATATTTCAGCCAAGAACAATTCGCAGCAGTTATGCTTGGCACGTATAAAAATATAAACGTGCATACATGTGCTTAGGTATGTCGAAGGAGGGAAAGAGAAAAAGAAAGAGAAACACACAGAGTGAGAGAAAGAGAGATGGCGACGAGAAAGAAGAAAACAAATGCAAATATTTATCTTGTCTATTTAGAGAGTCATGGAAACACATCGGCAAGAACGGAAAATCTGTGCAATATATTAAGCTTGAAGATAAAGCAGACGTTCAAAAAATTTCTTCCATTTTATCGTTACTTGGTTACAGAAAAATTCTATTTAGATATTTTGTGACAAATCAATTTATTGAATATTAAATTTTTACAGATTCGATCTTTTTCAGCTTTAATTATTCACAGAAAAAGACCATCTTATAACTTAAATTATGTACAATAAAAGAAGGCTTTTCTGAACATAAATCTTTATAATATCGTGCACTTTTTTTTATTAAAAAATGTAAATATACAAAATGTAAATTGCAAAGATATTTATATAAAGAATATATAAATTATAAATAAATTATTCTGTTTTTTTACAGTAAGATATTATGTTTAAGATATCATTGTAAACGAATTTTTTATTCTCCCTTTCTCATGAGATTGAGATCAAATTATAATTTCAAATAGTCAACGTCAAATGGCGATTCCCTTTTTATTCAATGAAATTGGGGGAAAAAAAGCTCATCGAATATTGTAAAATATAAAAATATATATCGTGACATCCATATAAAAGGGAGGATTAATGTGCGATTCCAATATGAAAAAAAGTGAATGGTAAAGGATCGGACAGTAGAAGAATTTTTTTTCGTGGAAGCAACTACAGTAAAAATGTCTTTTAATGCATTTTAAGTTAAAAATATTTTTTTTTTGCTTACAACGAAAAACCGCTTGGTATAATAAAACTAAGCTTACACCGAGCACCGGCAAAGTCGTGACTATTTTGAGAAACGCGCTAACGAGATGTTACTCATTTCGTAGCGAAGCTGGTGATGCTTGCATACCAGAAAATACAAGATACGATGTGAACGTGACCATTACACATGTAATTTTTTGCGCATTTAAAAAGATATAAAAATAAAATCGTCAAGTGCTTTTTCCTTTAAAAATATTATTTTTACACACTTGTTAAAGGTAATATTGCAAGAGCTGTTAATATTAGCCGGATTTATCGTTTAATCTCAGATTACTGTAAAACCTTGGATCGTGATTATAATAATAAATTCTCCGAACAATGAATATCTCGTCTTTGATAATCTTGCAACATTAATTCTTTACAACACAAATAAATTCGCAACCTTCAGTACCAAGATAGCGCATTGCTACGGCGAGGTAAGCCGAGCAGTTTATCTTACAGTTAGTGTCACCTGCAAATTCCGCCGAGAGAAAATTCACAGTTAGACGCTCGCACGTCAAAATAATGAGTAATTATTATATATTTCACAACGTTGGCCAACCGCAGCCGGCGTCGAAATTCATGCGTCTGCGTCGTAACGCTATTTTGGACGAAATCCACGACAACGTCAAATTCTCTAAGTTAGAAGTTCATGTCTTAGAATTCTAATCTCTGAGTCATCGATGACGATCTTGCTGCGCGAGAGTCTGTCGAGGAAAATTGGCGTAAAACAGCACTGTGAATCATCCTTTCTCGGGAAAGAAGAATGATCAAATCGATGATTACTGAGTCTTTAAATGGATGATTATTGAAATTTTGGAAAGCCGTCTTATGTCAATCAGAAAGCTCATCAATATTTTTATAATTTACTATAAAAACTGAGAGTAGTAGAAGATTATTTTTATTATCGTATTATACCATGCGACGAATATTATTTAGTCAAATTTTTCCAGGCGAGAAAATACAAGTGCGACTATTGATTCCAAAATTTATTATAACCTATCGCCAAGAAAACTGCGAGCACACAACATGAATGATTCCTCAGTTTGAAAAATAAAATGCACATTTCGCACAAAGTGCTCATACTAAAAAAAAAAAAAATAAATTACCTTTAAAAGTGCTATTCACTCTCTACAAGAATAGATTAAAAATGATTCTATTTCTATTCATCAAACCGAGCTTGTCACAAAATAAAAAAAATTTACTAAACGTGAATTTTAATTTTTCATATAATACCACCTCTCTCTTTCCATTTATTAAAAAAAAAACTTTCTATTAGAAATTTTTGGTTAAAAAAGTTATTTTTGCCATGAAGCCATATATAACTTTCCGGAAAACTGTCCGTTGCGTTATATATACATCTACGTGCCATTAAATTTTTAACCCATTATTATCTTGCGAAAAGAATATCTCAGATATTCATATTAGACCTGCAAACTCTCCGGGTGCAGTTTAATTCTCGCGGATTTGCCGTAGTAATGGCCATTTAGCGCGTTGCCTTCCATTCTGTCGACCGACGCCGCAACTTTTCGCCATTATTCAAGGCAAAAGCGTGCTTATCCACGAGCTTTCGAAAGCGTAACAACGCCGCAGCATGTGTGCTTGTTTACCAAAGTGATTTTCACAGCACGCATATGCACTTCGTATACACAATATATCCATATTTTTGGCATATGGCTATACGTTTACATCTTAAACAATTCTATTACAAAAAAAAAATAAACATTTTAGTCTTATTATTAAAATTTAACCTTATTATCAAATTTATTATATTAGCGAAATTAATACGTCAGATAAAAAAAATCATAATTAATATAGTTAAATTTATTTCTCTCATAATTATCTCGCAGCATTACAATTAAAATGTAATTTCTTGAAATTACAAATTATGTACTTTATTTAAAAGCTCTGGTAAGAAAAATACGTGATTCATTTGCTTAATATTCTACTTTGAAATGGACCCTAATTTTACTAAGATTCTCTACAGGTTGATTTTATATAAAAGTCCAAGCAATTTCTCTTGTGAGATTCCTATTACGGGACAAGCGTACTTTTTCCATGATTTTCATTTATTTCTTGGTGCGTTCTGCACGAAATAATCAAATGTCCTCCCCATGATATTTCTATGCTATCGACTGCTAGCAGCAGAACAGGATTGTGTTGACGATTTTGTAAGGGAGCGAAACAAATCTTATGTCGTACAAAAATAAACTACGCTTTGTTAGCTTCAAATTATAATATTAAAATAATCGATTTTTAGAAATTTACAGTTTTTTATATCTAACGAATCTCACATAAACGTTGTTGTTGTGATATATATTTTTGTCTATTTTTTCCCTTTTTTTCGTGTGAAACATCATCCGTAATATCATGACACGTTCTCTTTGTAAAAATTGCAAGCATCGTGCTATTTACAAGCTTTACAGAAAAGTACGTAAATCCATTTCTAATCAAATATATATAATAGAATATTTTGCACAAAATATAATTTCAATGACTTTATATATTCCATATACATATACCTATATATAGACATTTTCTATATTACGAGTTACTATATATGCACAAATTATAAAATTCATTAAATTTATTATTTATCAGACATTATATAAAATTTATTTTTACTGAAAGTCCACTTGTAATGTTTGCCCGGGAAACCTTTTATTTATTCATTTTATTCGACAGTTGCGTAAATGTGAAGATTGGATTAGAGAACCCTGTGTCGAGAAAGAAGCAAAGAGATACATATTTTAAATAATGCTCGAATAAATATAGATTAGTATAAATGGTCTAGTATAAAAATAAATCAAAGAACAAAAATGAAGTTGCGAGCACATTAACGTAAATTACATTATGAAAGATTATACATCGTTCAAAAAAATGCAACAATTATCTCGTTTTCTAATAAAAATTACAAATTATTTATAATTCTCTTTTTTCTCTTTTTACACTAGAGCATTTATACTAATCTATGTTTACTCGAGCATCTCATAAAATATACAATTCTTTAATTTAATTAGATATTAAATAAAAATTATTATGAAATATATTTTTAAAAATTAATTTTGTTCGATTTATCGTGTTAGACGAATTTCGTCTCGCTATATTATTATTTCTAAAAATCGTCGGCGATGATTCGTCGCGTGTCATCACAAAACGTATAAGAGCATTGACTCAGAATTGCATCCACATTGCACGTTGTCACTGGCCGGGATTCCACGAATATTCTACATCGCAATTTTTCACGTTTCCCCCGCTTGTACATCTCTTGCCACGTGATCATAGACTTTCCCTCTCCGCCATCCACTGCTACCAGTTTAGAATAACCCGAAGCTCCGACATCCTTACCATTCGTGAGTTTAATCTTGGGTGGTTCGCATCATTGTTGTATTGTCCTCGCGAGTCCCATCGAAAGAACTGTAAGCTCCATCATGGAAGTTGCCAAAGGTAGGCTCACGATAAATTGGATTTTACATTTCAAGAAGTTCGATGGAAATTATTACAGCTGCATTTTACAATTTATCTGATTCGCAATTATGCTTTTAATTAAAAATATCTCTCTGGCGCTTTGCACTTTGTCTTTGAAATAGCTTTGAATAGCTTAGCTTTCAATAGACTGAAATAAATGGTGCTCAGTCGGAGTTTTCTGTTCAATACGATATGATATTCCAGGTTCACATATTGATAAGAAATATTGTAATTCTTACAACTTACTATATTATAGTGTTATCTATTCTATTTTTGTTCAATTTGGCAAGTCCTCTTGTTGCGTATTTTGTTGTATTATTAATAATAGCTATTTATAGTTTATCACTTAGTTATGATCATTATCATATCTAATATGTATATTGTCTATTGATTTATTTTGTAATTTCTCCATTGTGCTTATTTATTTTATTTTATATCACTTTCACTTAATTATTTTGAATTCACGGCAGATTATACCTTTTCCAATCTTCATATAATATTAACCGAGTCATTCAATTGAAATCAATTAACTGTGTTAATACCTATATTGCAAGCTGCTTAAAATATAACGTATAACAAATAAAACCTTCAATCGAGCTTCCATGCGAGTCATTCGAGAATCTTCAAAGTATTATACTCACAATCCGATTATAGGAAAATTATGCGATATTCTTCCAGTGAACGATTCGAGCAGCAGCCTCGTCGAGCAATCAATGAATGTAACGTCAGCATCAAAATCCGTCTCGACGTCGAAATCCGTACAGAGCGTACAGACGAAGTCAGTCGTGGAGTCGTCGACCTCAGTTAAATCCGTCTCTTCGTCATCCACCAGATCACACCAATCGGTAGAATACGAGGAATCGATCGAGTACAGCGATTAGTGCGATTAGAATAATAGAAATCCTCTCAATAAAAGACATCACGCGGGAAAAAGCTAAAAGACGCAACCAAAATCGGCTCGATTCGATTCATCGTGCATCTTCGGATTCGATCACGCTATTTCTTCTTCGAAAGAAAAAAATTATGTTCGTGTTGGAAATGACAAATATCACTCGTAAGCTTCGAAGGAAAAAATTAACGACGGAATTCCGTGACCTCTTCTCCAATTTTGCTCCTCGAGGATCCACGATAGATGATCGAGCGGAAACGAGAGAGTCGAATTGACAGGTCAAGGCGTTTACTCGGCAGGATTGTGCACCGAAATAACGAGATAGTCGCATGCACAGTCTCGCTATGCGACGAGAAGAAATACCACGAGTCAGAGGAGACGGATGGAGAGGAAGAAATTGAAAATGTGCCCGCGAAGGAACGCTCGGAAGTCTCTGGCCCTCATCCAATCGATGTAACTCGCCGCCAAATAGCGATTCAACTTTCTTTTTACTTACGAGTTTTTTGTTTTCCTCATCGACGCATCGAGTAGATCACTTGACATGTATAACTACTCATTTGCCTTTGTATAATGAACTTTCTAAGACACTATATTGAAGTTTGCTCATTGACTCTTTCTCTCTCTCTCCCTCTCTCTCTCTCTCTCTTTAATTATATAGTTTATAATTAACTCTCTATAATAGCGTCGTGTAAACCAAAATTATTACAGAATCCTTCATTTTCTAATTTATCAAGTGCGTATTCACATAAAAAAATTGTTAACATATAACTATTATAATATAAATTAGTAAATATATCATTTTCGTATAATTTGAAGAGCTACGCGTATTTAAATGGAGATTTAAAATAACAAAAATTATTTCCGTTATATGTGATTCTTAAATTTTTAAGTTAATGTAAAACTAGTATGTGCACCAAGATGTATGTGACGAGGCAATTCTAGTCGTGATATTTATCGTATGTGCAATAAAGCCCTGTGGTATTAACCAACACAAAAATAACTCTGAAAAGATTTGGGGAAAGAAGTTTTTGCCACTAAAAATGAATCTCAACTTTCTCATATCTTCTACTTTATTTTCCCTACTTCTCATTCTCCGTATACTTTCTCACAATATGATACCAAAGCGAACTGACACGTGCGACTACAGCCCGTCAGGAAGAACTCCGCTGACGAAAGGAAATGTGGTTTGCGGGAAGACGGATATCGAGGGTGCCAGAGGGTGAGCGCGATAAAGAGAAGTTGCCAGCCAGAGGTGACACCCTAGATTAAACAGCACTTCCAACGCTCTGCGGGACCACGGCAATAAATAATGATGAAAGTTTTAGTATCACGCTAAGTTTGTGTAACGCATGCCTTCGTAATTCACAACGGATATAACTGTTTTCCGAGGGAAAAAAACATGCGTGGCAAGAGAGAGAAAGGAGAGATTGCGATCTTGGCGCAGCAAAACGAGGGTTTCAATTTTCAATATCCTGTCGCTCAGGCAAATGGAGCAAATAGCATATTCATGAAGATATGAGAATTCTCGAAAGCCTTAGCAGTCGCGGAATACGGATCGAATGGTTTGCGGGAAGTGTTTGCTTTCCGCGTCTTATAACGAATTGACTTCCATTCTCCGCAATTGATTTAAAACTCGGAAAAGCTGGCGGAAAGAGACGTTTCTTTGATCGTATGATATTTAGCACTCGGAAATTGTCGTGAATTAATTTTTGATGGGATTCACACCGCCATTTCAGGAATCTGTGATCACATTATTCCACAAAATTCCTTACAAAAGCAGCTGTTGCAAACATTAAATAATAGAATTTTTAAGCAGCCCCTTGTTTCTCTTATTATACTTATTTCATTTATATCTTATGGAACAAAATGCCAAGTCAACTATTTTTGCATATACAAATTTTGAAAATAGCGTCAAGAATCATTAAGTTCTCCAATATATATTTTACTGGAATCATTTCCGTCGCGTTTTAATACACTCGCACTCGATCACAAAAGCGTGATGCTGATTTAATCGAGATGGATCATTTACAGGAATCCTCGTGAAAGCAGGCCACATACATCATCGAGACAACCTTCCAATATCCATTTAGAAATCCTGCGCGATGGAAAGAAATAGATCACGAATCGTCGGTGACTCGTTCTATTTGACGCAGAAGGTTATCTTTTATGTAATTCCGAATATTTGGTTGACAGAAGAAACGAGATGACCTTTAGAGCTTGATATTCATTTTAAATTAATGCGAATGGGATCCTTCGGAAAAAGAATCTTCGTAAAGTTTGATACATTTAAGTTAACTTTGTCGTAACCTATCTTATTCGCACTTTGAGAAATTCAAGACTGAAAAGTATATTTGAAAAAAAAGTTTCTCTTTTCGAGGGAATATTACGATTTTCTTTGACGCCTTTAACCACAAGGCAAACTTTTGGGTTTATCATGCGCTGTGAATATAACTTTGAAGGATGATTTCATCGTGAATGTCAAATGAATCCCTTTCACAAGGTATCTATCGCTTGTTACAGAATGAACTCAAGCAATCCATCATATTATATCATAACTAGACAGGATTGTTTAGACAAGAGTATATACATATATAATAGAAGTAAAATATGTCGATAAAAGAAACATTCGACAAAGATAAAATCGATTTTCAAGAAATATTCAATGCATAACAATTTTCATTACAAAATTGATTCGTTGATTCGAGAACAAACAATACAAATAAAAGACAAACATTTTTACTAATTGCAAATACAAGGGCACGTAGAAATTAGTGACCTTGTTCTTTTAAAAATTATTTATCAATGTATTTTTGTCACAATTTAGTGACAATTTCATCTCAGGGTATCGAAATATTGCTCCACAATAAACATCTTCACACATATTTTTGTTACCCTTATCGTGGAAATCAGGGGTGGATTATACGTTTATTATATATATTTAATATAATTTTGCCAGATTATTTATTAAAATTTTATTTCAATTTTTATATTATATTATAGTTCAAAATTTATAATTTTCGCTTCCAAAAAAATAATAACAGACGAAAATATAAAAGATTGAAGAATGCGATCGCGTTTTCTACCATAAAGTTTCAAAACATAGTTCAAAGCAAATGTAATTTAAAAAGAAACAAAATAGTGATTACAAATTTAATTAATAATAAAATATATGAAAGATATTTTTGACTATAATATTTACTTTTCTCTTGAATTTTTTTAAAGATTTTATTGGATCGATAAGTTTCTTTGCACGTGCGCCAAAGTAATGTAAAACTTGTGCTTTCAACTCAAAATAAAAGTACATGTATAAATCAGTACATTTTTTTTTAACGATAACTTTTAATAACTGTACTTCATCAATCATATAACCAATCACTTATTCCTATAACTGATATAATATTTCACATGCTCTTATGTTTGGTATATAGATATAATGAACATAAAAACTTTAGAAATTTATGCCTGAATTATTTATCTATTTAAATAGTTTTTGTTTCATTAAATGCTACAATTATGTTAAACATTTCCAATTTCATTTATCATTAACACTACGATTATATCACAAAAACTATCATCAATTGTTTTAAATTGTCATTTTCGTAGCAAATATACGTATGTGTAAAAAAATATGGTAACAATCTTTACTATTGTCTTTTTAATTATTTAATTTTATTTTTTATTAGAAATATACATATAAAGGGATATACATAAAAATATTTAAATTTTAAAAGAGTAAACTCGATAAATTTCTCTTAGGCTCATATCTACAAAGTGAGAGAAATAATCACACAATCTTACGAGAATAAACTGCGGCTTTGAGATTTCAAGTTCTCAGGTGACATATCCACATTGTCACAATACTAGATAGTTCCGCGTGGAAAAATTTTTCCAATTTACTGGAGCGCACTCCTGACCTCTTCAGTTGCAATTTATTTATGAGTTATTCCGTTTCCGATGCAATTCACAAACAAAAATGATCTAGTTGCAAAATGTTGTACTCTGTCTGCAATTTCTGTGTAACCTCGTAAAGCACGTTTACTTTAGAACTCGTTTCGCTTAATTTCCTAAGTGGGAGACATTAAAATTTGAGTGCCGGAGATTTATTACGGGAAACGTTGGTTAAGATACTCGGGAAATAAGGAAATTGATACGCGCGTAAAAGTGAAATGCGACTGAAGTGAAATAAAAAATTTATCATAAAAATATAGCAATCTGCTTATTTCCACTTCCCTTAAATTGGTTAAAATTCTTATAACAATGCAGATAATTTATGATGAAAATACGTATATATTAAAATCTCATTATAAAACTACTCATAAAATCGAAGTAATAAATTGGCATAATAAAAACTTTTAGTTATTAATATAATAGCTGATGCTCTCTAACGATACAAATTCGTAATACAGTTACAAAAGTAAAATCAAATTTGACTAAAATACGCATTCTGGCCAATTTGTACACTGTTGCCATGGTATTGAAAGGCTTGGGGAAACTTTGCCGAAGTACCTTTCTTAGTGCAAAAATAAGAAATTAGGCCGGCCTAACAATCAGTCTCCAAATCGCAGGATTAGATCCCCCTCGATGCGAACTTTCAAAGAATTTTCTTTCATTTTCGTTTTGCTTGGGCGCTTCCCCAAATTGGTAGCATCAGAACTGAAAGAAAAATAAAAAGAAAAAGAGAGAGAGAGAGAGAGAGAGAGAGAGAGAGAGAGAGAGAGCGCGATGTGGTACAATAACTTTAAAAATAAGAAATATTTGTGAAAAGCATATTTTTTCAAAGATGGCATCACGTACTTATTACTATATCTTCACGTCTATCATCTGTCGACGCTGTAGAACTTGGTTTGTGCTATTGTATCTTCCTTCCCTTATATATTGTCAATTCATCCCTTTCTATTTTTTTCATTTTCAGAATAGCATGCGAAACGAGGGTGAGACACGTTTTATCTAATTTTCAATATAAATATTGACGCAGAAACGAGAGAGATAGCTGAATTTTGATATGAATATTTGATCTTATATCCGAAGGAACACGTTTATATACATATTTGTATACATATATGTATGTATATTATACGTATCGAATTTAAGTATGCGTATGTGTCTATCTTACCAAGATTTGTAGCGGATATCATGTTATGAAATACTGAACGAATTATTAAAAGAATTAAATAATATTATTCTCGTAATATAAAATGTTAAAGCAAATTGCATAAACTCTAAGTTCTTATTATCAAAGCAATTTTCTCTAAATCCTTATATAAACTAAAATTCTCTTACAACAAAAATAATGTGTGAATATACTTAAATATGATTAAATTTTATTTTTAAAAAGTTTAGCAAATTCTCTTGAAACTTTACGTGATAACGTGATTACGTGATGTAACGAAAAAATATATTACAGTATTTATAATACTATACTTTATTACGCAAATAAGAGAGATAATTGAGGTAATTATTTAATATCTGATTTTCTGAAATCTTAAAGACATTAAAAATTTGTAATTTAAATTTTCAAATAAAGAATAAAAATGGGATTCTCTCTCTATGGCTAAAATTTATAATTACATGTGCGGCCTCAATATAATCGTATCTCCAACAATACTTATCTTCGGCAAAATAATATATCACGTACTTATACATGATAAATTTCGCCCATTAATGTACATATTTCCCGGTAATATTTTCCTGCAGCTTATCGTAAGATTCAGTAGTTGTCGCATGTGTGTTATATGCTTGCATATTCATCGAGCATAAATACCCAACTAACGTGCTACGCACAACAAACGTGTAGATACTTAGATATGCATGAGCACAGCGAGAAAATGAAATAATTGAACGTTAATTTATTCTCTTTGCGCGTATCGACATCACAGAGAGTCTCGGTCTATTAACTCACCTGCTACTATTGACGGAGGTATTGCTCCTGCTGCGTCTGGAAATGATGGAATCGCCCCGATTCACTACACCCTTGTGAGTGATACTGAAAGCTCTGAGTCTATACAGGTCGTCGCCTGCTCGGGGATTATATGCCTTTTCCGGGAGACTGTGCACACGTGGTCGTATATGATCCGGCACTGTAAAAAAAAAAGAATTGAAATTTATTTAGGAAATATTTCTAATAATTGTAAATATATATGGCATAATTAAAAATTCATATGAATCTATAAAATATGAAATCTATTATATGTTGCATAAAGAAAAGGAGAACGCTATATAAATCCATCTATTAATCGCACTGACAGTATTGATTAATTATATTCACGTTTAATAATCACAGTGGTAGATTCAAATTAAATTTTTCTCGGATATTAGAAACAGAAAAGCGAAAAGGGAGGTGTAAATGGTACCTACATATATTTTTTTAAAATTCTATAATATTTATATTTTAAAAATAATGATTTAAAAAATTCCTCGTTTTTCTGATTATACATCGTAAATGCGCACAAGCGACACGAATCACGATGATAAATGACTTTCATAATGTACCTGATCATATTTCATCAACATTCTACCAATGTTTAAAAGTGATTGCTAGGAATAATCGAAAGCGTATAGCGGCTTATAGCTCGCATAACAAATGTTGCGGCTTTTGATAGAATTACAATCAGTTTTGATTGACCTATAAATCGATATATGTTGACAACTAATCCATGTTGCACGCGTAGCAGGCTACAAATTCGTCGTAAAATTCCCCATCACTAAAAATACCTTCTTCTATACTTATATCCAACGTAATCCATTTAATTACTTAGCTGGCGATCACGTTCGCGTGCATTACTAACACTTATATATCCAACAAGGAGCACTTTACAGCGCATATGACAACGTCCCGACTTTTGTACGTCGTTATTACGTCGCTAACACGACTAGATAAACGACAATCGATGGTACCTAAACCAATATCGTCGAGTTAAATATTCAATTCCATTACCGAGCGATATCGATTCAACGTCGAACTGTATATTGCTCGGTAATAATTTCAGTATGCAACTCGAGTACTGACGATAACGCATAATTACTAGTCAAACACGGGAAACTGAATTTTCATCAAAAAAGAGTTATCAATTATCAGCATGTCGTTTTGATTCATTTAAATCGCTCCTCACGTTTTTGACGTAAAATACGCGCGAGTCGGATGCGGAGCAATGATACGTAAGAGTTTGTGTAAATTGCGGAAATAAAATGAGAATAAAAATAAAACAGGAAGATAGAAGAGACAGACATACAAATGAGATGCCACTCTCGACTTCATTACTTTCGAGCATGCTATTTTGTTGAAATAACGAAAATAAGAGAAGCGGGTCAAACCGTAGGCGACCTCTCGCCATAATTTGTCACCCAAACGTGTCGACGGACTCGGATGATTAGACAGCGAAAAGAATTGCCCCATATATGGCTTCTTTGTCACGAAGAAAAAGAGAGGGAGAAAGAGAGAATTATCACGATATCGTAAATCGCACGGATATATCGTAGCTAATAAATGTACTGTGCAAATTCCGCGATAATCAGTTATCCTACTGTAATGAAATCCTAGGTCGTATAGCGGATCTCGGAAACGTAATATTACCAGACGCATACTAATCGATACCCTTCCCAAACAAACGACATGCGTAATTAACCGAACGCGTAATTATCGGTTACAGTTTTTGGACGCGACAAATATGAAAGTTTTCAAAGACAGATCATTTGGCGTATTCATATTAAATTGTATGCAATAACTGAACAATGTGCATATAGGTATATGCGCGCTGTGAAATATATTTATTACAGATTTAATCGCAACGTAAACATAGAATGAATCAATACAATTTGATATATCTCTCCGTTAGAATACAATTAAATATAATATTAAAACGTGTATTTTATAATCCATTAACGCAAAATTACCGCAATTAACAAAAATTGAAATATAACAGAACAATAATAATTTCAAATTATATATATCTTTCCATATCTTTTTCAGCATATTGTTTTAAATATTTTTACAAATGCCTGCAGAATTAAAGTTCTACTAAAATAAAGTTGATCATTTTTAATGAAAATATTTTACAAGAGCTGGATTTATATTTAAATCACATATTACTTTCTTCTTCACTCACAATTCGGGCTTCCATAGAATTTGATTTCACTTGAATGACATCTCAATCGAGAGAATGAACTAATCAAGACGCATTTTTCGGGATTCTCAAGATTTCATTCTTTTGTCAGGACCGACCGCTGAGTCGAGCAAACAGAAAAATTGATCGACCGATTTGATTTAGTTTAGCAATTCTAATTCGCTTTTATGACCCGAGCGGAGCCTCGATTTGTACGGCTTTTCGAATGAATGACATTGCAAGGCGGCAAAACTGACCTGGAACGAGCGACGTCGGTCATTAGCGGTTCTTAACAGAATGATTTACGGGATCGTTTGTTATCTTCCACGACCGCGTAAGTTATCTGTCATGTACTTTCCACCTTATGCATTTTCATTTCTGCTTCTTCCACGCGATATGCGAAAGTGACACGAACAAAGCGATTAATAAAAGCAGGATTATTCTGTTTAAAGAAAGCCGAAGCTGCAGACTTTAAATCCGCTTCTCTGCTTTTACCACGATGGTTTCTCGCGCAGATTTACCACGCGCTGTTGGCATCGTGTCAAAACATATGTTTCTCATCGTTTTAGTTGAGAAAATATTGTTTATACTCACTGATTCTCAGTATAGTTATTTTAAATAAATCTATTTCTCTTAAAAGCATTGCGCTAAAATCATACAATAATTAAACTAAAACTGCTGCAATAAAATATACGTATTTTACATATTTTTGTTTAAAGAAATATTTTTATTATCTAATAAAATGGATGAAATTTAATCTTAAAGTCAGATTAATTCGAGAAAGCTTGTGCATCGTGCTTAATAAATTTATTCTGTGGATATTTTTGTTCTATCGTCTTTTAAACGTACCTTTAAAATTTCTAATAATATTTTCGAATATTTGCTATGTTTGCGCTTTTCGACATCTTGTTTGACGTTTGTCTGCCATAACACATGAAACACTTAGAGAGGCTATTTTAAACAACAGTTACGTTAATCTCTGCATCATAATAAACAATCAATATAAATAATATACTTATAACTTGCATTGTTTTAAAAATGAGAACGATATATAATTCAAGCATTGTTTAATCGATTTGATGCTTATAATTTCGGCAATTATTAAAAGTATACTTCTTTTTGGTTTATTTTTGTAAATTAGGGCATTTAAATTTTCAATACTTATAACCAATCTAATTATAGTCAATCACATATTCCAAGAGAAATTCCAAAATTCATCAATATACATATCTAATTACATTAATGGCATCGCTAAAAATTGGCTCGCTCGAAATTCCAAGAGGTTTCTTGCCATTTCTAATGAATCATGTATCGGGGTATTTGAATCTTTGATATAGTTAGACTCAACTGAACACTCGAGAAGTTTCAAGCACATGATCCGTGATAAGAAATTTACGGTTACGTCCAAAGTTAGTTGTATAATTAATTAAATTAATTGCTTATGTCAATACATTCTCTGTTATCGAATTTTTATTATTAAGTTTTTGAAAAGATTATTGTCAATTACAAGATAACAAAAAATCTAAAATATGAATAAAACTTAAAATGCGAATATATGTTTTATAACTTTATATATTTCATTTTTGTAATAATAAATTCCGATAATTCTTCAAAAATTTCAAATAAAAGTCAATAATTTATCAATTTATCGCATTTTTCCGTGCATATTTTCTCGTACATTCTGAGCAATATTAAACATACGATTGGTGGAATTTACATTTCAATGTATATAAAAAATTTTTAGTAATCCGCAATTATATAAAATGATTAAAGCGCTACATTTACTTTATGTTTCACTGGAATCCAATCCTGAGAAAAAAGAGGGTTCATGAAAAAACAGTGAATAATAAAACAGCCCATGTCGAAGGCAAATAATTAATCTGCGGAGAGTAGAAAGTATCCTGCCAGAGATGCTTGTAAAGAAGCGACAAATCTTCTTTAGGTATTTTATTTCGTTATACCAAGTACGTTGTTCGTTGCTGAGAGAATTTTACGTAGGACGAAAAAAATGTTATCTATTCAAAGAATGCGTGGGTTTCTGATTTCTAGAAATTTTGCGCAAAACTAAAATTGTGTAAATTCTAAAAGCTTCCAACACTCAGGAAAAAATAGACATTTTCTTAAATAATATATTTTTTCAATTAAAAATCCCAGATACGTTTAATAATAAAAAAATTTTGAATCTCTATATCCTCGGAATTTTTAACTCTCTAGTTTATTTTTATACAACAAATTTCTTTTAAAAAAGATTCGTTAAAATATTCTGATACAAATCATCACATTTTTAAATTTTTAATTAGTCTCTTATTAAGTATAAAAATTATATTATAGGAAACAATAAAAAATATCCTGAGAAACATATTGAAAGAGAATCATTGACGATTAATTTTAATTTTCTTCATGCCACACCGAACGATTTACAATCACAAATTATATTGCAGGAAGTATTATACTGTTTGCATATGACACGAAGTATTTGCAAAGATGACAGGCGAGTAATTAATTTCCGGCGCGTTAGTGCAGCTACTTCGAATACTTGGATAATCTGACAATTTCATGCGGTTTCCAAGTTACATCAGAATCTGAAGATAAATAACATTTCAGTGAGACAGGATCGTTTATTCAAATAGCTGTCGGCTGTGTATCTAAAGTCGGGAAAAAAACTAAATTAAATACTTAAACTTTCGGTTTAAAAGATTTTAAGTCACTCTCCAGTTTTTGAACTAATAAGCGCGCTGATAGTTAATTAAAAGAGACATAGGAAAATGCTCCATATATACTGGCAGCTATTTTAATGTAAAATTAAACTAATCTATTATTTAATGAAACAATCAGCCACGTAAACACAATTTGAACAAGATTGCATTAGTACAATTCGAACGTGTACGTACTTCACAAGATTTCGCAATCTATACGGACTTACTCTACGATGAGATTCAACCGAGCATTTATTAATTTCGTACTTCGCGCACGTATATTAAATTCAATATTTTACGGCTTTCAACTTGAAGTGGCGTGAACGATTAATTAAAGCATCGCAGACGGCGCGCAACTGCAACTTTTGCATTACTGTGGAGAACTTTGGGCGCTTCCAGATTATACGTGCTTATCCTCCTTCAACTCCCGTTTCTAGAAATGCAAATGCACGACGCGTGGTTTTCGTCGTTCTCTCGCGTGAGAGAAAGCTTGACATTCGCACAATTGAATCTCCTCGAGATTGGCTCGAAAGTAGGCCACGTTTAGGGACTAATTAGAGACATCCTCAATCCCTTTATATCAACTCATTATACCGTAAATTTAACACGCGCGCGATAGGGACAACATTTCACGTGCCAGAACTCTTACGTGCACGTCTGGATGCATTAATATTTAATTGCTTTACTGTCAATGTTGGACAATTTGACGCGGCACTATGTATGTTTACATTTATGGTGAAACCTAACAGGCCGTTTTACCCTTTTTACCTTTATTACGCGCAAAGAAAAGATTATCGCGAACTTGACGATGTTAAAGCTGCTTTACATTCGCTCAATATGAAAGTGAAACAATAATAAAGTGATGGATCGCGCAAACGAGAATAAATACCGTTAATTTCCTATTAATTTCCCATATTAAGTCATATACGTGATATCGCGCTATGTTTTATGATCGGAATATAAAAACAGTGATGTAGTGTTATATATAGTATAACGAGATGACAGTCTCTATTATCTTTCTGGTTTTTCTTGAATATAATAGAAATTTAGATAAGTAAAAACGAAAAATTTCAAAAGAGTAAAGACATTGTGCATTAAAAATTAAAATCAGTAGTATGATATTAAAAATTCGACGTTGCGAATACAATTCATTTCCGCACAAAGTCCAATAAATTGCACGATATTTTTGCAAAATGTACATAACAATATTGTATAGAATTGTGCTCACTCTTGAATATTGACAGCGAATTGATCAGCAATCATTGGAAAGTAGTGGACTCTGATCGATATATTGAGCTATTCATTTGGAAATAAACGAAAGCGTTACTTCTATCAAACCCTGTTCACAATACAGCTTATCAAGAGCTGTAATGATTTTATTGTTAATTATCGCAACCGCTATCATGTTTAAATGAAACGACTGATTAAGAATTCAATCAAAATCTATTTTTAAAAAATAAGCTTAGTTTTATTACAATACAAAATTTAAATAAAAAACGCTTACTAGAAACAAAAATTTATCACAACACACTAGACATGTTATAATAAATTGATTTGTTCTTGTGTCAAGAGTATTGCTATAATTTGAGTAGTTACACTTGTGTAGTGTCGGGCTATTTATATGCCACATTAAACATATTAACAGCAATGTCGCTAATCAACGTGTCGAATAAATATTCAGTCATAATTGATGCTGCAGATTGTTACATATTTAGATTTCAAATATGAAAGCTATTGTCGGCCTCTTGTTCAAATCAATCGCTTTAGAAAAGCTGAATTAGAAGTCGCATATTGAGATTTCTCTATAACGATTTTAAATATTTATTATATATATATATATATATATATATATGTGTTAATTAAAATGTTGTAATTAGTTTTTCTGGGTTCGTTCATAATATTTAAAAAATAATAATTTAATTTAAATATTAAACACGAGAGAGAGAGTTTATACTCGGAATATACTCGACATTCTCAATACTCGGAGCTCTATAATTTTTATATGGATTACTAGTATCAATACGCACAAGTTTTTTTTAATGTCATAAAACAAATTTTATTCGACATCAATCGGCTAACAACTCATGAAGCACTTTTATCTTATTGTCACCGATCTTGCCTTCGATGAACGAACTGTGCACTCGAAGTTTTAACCAGGCCAAACGCAATTCATGACGTCAACGCTTTTGATAAGGTTCCGATAAATGAGAATATATGCACATGGAAAAAGTATGCAATATAAAACAACCTCTGACAATTGATATAAATATCGTAAACTACAGAAAATTAATAGTCTGATAATTGTTCGATATATGTGCTTAATCAAATTGCGTAAGTATCTTTTACATAGCAGATAAATGTAAAGAATAATATAATAAAATATTTATGGAAAAACGTTATCTTTCTAAAAAACATATAAAATAATATGCGTAAAAAATTGAAGTTTCTTGTGCTCAAAAAAACAAATTTTACATAAAATTATAAATATTAATAATTCTTCTTCCTATAAGTTATACTTAAGACAACGTTAAGATTTGTGTTCAAGGAAAAACATGATACTATAATAAGAATATTAAGTAAGAGAACGTACAAAAGGAAACCATAATTAACTAAAAAACAGCAAAGTAAAGCTTTGCCTTTTATATCGTTTTATGTAACATCGTGCAACGCGCAAGAAAAGTAGTTAGCAAGAAATTAATTATTGCAAAATTGCGCACATTCTTTTTCCTAATTTTAACATTATATAGTACATTATATAACTATAACGTTATAGTCTTTTTCGTATTTTGTACGAATCATATAACAAATACAAATGTACTCGATGTTAATGAAATGAATCATTTTTAATTTATCATGATCGTTACTACAATTCTTCAATTTTTGTGACTCAGAAAATATTTTACTTCACAATCTTGAACAATGTAGACATACACATATATAATTAATAAATAATTAATAAATACACTCACCGGGCAGCTCGAGAAAATTCGAAGTCCTGCGTTGTCGACCTCGCGGATGCGCGCTAAAGTTTAAAGGACCCACATCTTCGTTGGTAACATTGGATACGTTGGATATGTTTGAGCATTGACTATCACGGGAGCCGCGTCTGGATGCCAGATAGGCTGCAACACAATCGCGCAACGAGAGTTTCATGAAAATCCAACACATTCCCAGCATTCGCAGCATACATGCATTCAAAAGGGATCATCAAAGAGTAAACCGCATCATGATGCGCCATGCAATCCCTATGTGTTGTGCATCTGTGTGTTACATTACGCATATATCGATATACGATCGATTGAGAGCGCTTGAGGAAGCTCATCACTCGACACTATATGTGCTATTAAACTTTTATAACCCCGAGACCGCTCGCTCGAAAAATAAATTCTCGATGACGAGGAATATGAGGGTGCGACGTCCCTTTTTATGAATACCGACGAATGTATATCAGGAGCGAATTTCAAAATTATTATCGCTATAAACGCGGTAATCCAATTTCAATAACGATGATAATATTTTTACTACTGTTTACCATCGCGATATTGAAAAATATATTTTCATTGCTCGACGATGATAAATAAATTCCCGTGAAATATTTTAACGAAATGTCAGCTCGGTTCAATCTAATCGAGATTTAATTTTCCTCGAATCGAATAATATTTTACGAATGTTTACTACACGAGAAATATCTCGCAAATCTACTTTGGCGTTGTCAAATTTACGATTTTGCACCAACTCTGCGCGATCGTTTTCCCACCAAACCAACCAATGAAACCACCAAACTAATGAAAGGCGAATGGCCAATGATCGAAGAGAATTGGAAGATTAAATCTCAAGAGTATACCGCGGCTCTTTCATTTAGCTTTATTCGGGAGAGAAAAGGCCAAGAAAGTAAGAGATGAAAACAGATAAAAAAAGAACGCAATAAAGAAACTTTAGTAAGTGAATAACAAAAAATTACAGAAAAAAATCAGAAGTAAGAAAAGATTTAAGAAAGAAGTATTAAGATAAATAACACTAGATGAAGAGAGTGGATTAATTTAATTTATCGTCCGATGACGAGCCGATCTCATAGATTCATATCAAAAAGCAATAAGAATTTTTTGTGTGTATATATATGCCTGTATGAATATGTATGTGCGTGTATAAATTACGGATACGTTTAACACGTAAATTACAAAGCTTGCATTACGCTCGTTATTAATATGTGTTATGGATTTTCATCGATAGGAGAGTACTTGGGCGGATTAAAAGAGCCAAACTATGCAAAAGCTACGAATTTCACTCACACGGAGGCCAATTATTATCGATGGCCAGTGTGCACATGCCCGAGATTATCCACGTGTCGTAATTCTTGTTTCCATCCAAATCGATCTGTGTCACGCTCGTTACAACGAAAAAAAAATCGCGATGTCCCTCACACAAAAAATTCACTATAATTGTGATGATCGCGTGATATCATAAATATTGGAATTGGAACGTGAAATTGACATTTAATTAATATTTCAAAAATTGTTTTGTTTGAATTATATTATTACAATACACTCAAATATTTTTGCAAATATAAATATTAACAATATAATTAACGATAAGAGAAAAATCTTATCGCGTTAATTATAATAATAAAGTCAATATAAATATTCTAAAAATAAGTCAGATAAAAAGATTTTGATGCAATTTTAAAAATATATGGCAAACGATATTTAATTAGTAAGACTCTTCAAGCAATTGTTAAACATTATATTAATTCCTGCTTCGGCCTGATGAGACATTCTCCATATGTAAGTTTCGAGATTAATTTATATATGGAACTTAGTGATCTCAAACCAAGAGATACAGTTCCGAATAATTAATTTTTCGTGCTTTGGCTCTGTTGGCCGATTTAAAAAACATCATATTTATATTCTTAATATTGAGAGCCGATAAAAATATTTCTTTCTAATTATATTAATTGTTAACGCTTGTCGCAAAATGACAGAGTTGAAATATTTTTCAGACATTTTAATATACAGCTGCAGAGCTACGCTTATAAAACCTCTAATCAACGAACCCTCATCAAAAGGACAAACTCTCGAGAACATCAGCTTTCGTTTTATTGCCCAAAATCTGGTCACGAAATTACAGAAGTAAAATACAGAGAAGGATATACGTGAGAACGAGAATTCTCCCTTGTTATAAGCAGGGATATTTTTATCGCGAAAAAAGAAATCGTGGAAAAGAGAAAAAAAAAAACTCACCCAGACCACCCTTCATGGAGCCTCTTCTTCTGGGGCTGGATAACATGGTGATCTCGGTATCAGCCTCGCCCATGTCCGTGAGATCGCTGGTCGATCGTCGACATCGAGTCATGTTTCTCTCGCCCCTTCTGCGTCTCGAGCATTCCTTTAATCCTTCACGATGATCGCGACCGACTTCGTCGAGACAGCCCTGGCTTTTGTTCTTTACATTTCTCGACCTTTCACCGGGTCTCTCGTCGGCGATGTTTTCCTGCATACCAATCGAACCTTCCATAGATGTCGGTTTCCCTGTATCGTTGCCTTTATATCCCCCAGTCTCCCTGTTCCCGCCCTTCTGATCCACATCTGGGCTTCGATCCGTTTTCGGGCTGGTCGCGTCGTGCGTTACTATTGTCGGCGACATGGGATTATTCGGGCTCATCAGGCCGAAGCAGGAATTTCTCCGGCAATCGAAGGACTTCGGGCTCCTGCGACCGTAACCGGACGACGAGTTGACCGATCTACTGCGATCGATCGTCGATGACGAGGTCTCCGACATCGGGTAACTGGCCGCTTGTGCTTGCTTCATACTCTTCCGCGGACCGCAGAATTGAAAGATGGGCGATTTCTGGCTGGGCGAGTGCAGGATTTCGCTGTTGGGGGTCATGGGACTGCGTGGCGGGCCCGTCATGCGAGCGTAGTAACTGGGACTTCTGGGGCTCCTGGGACTCCTGGATCCGCGCTGCTGCTCGAGCTCGCCGGCGCGCCCGAACTCGTCGAAGTCGAAGTTCGTGTTGGGCGTCTCCGGGCAGTACTCGGGCGGAAATTCGAAGACCAGCGGAGTGCCGGGCGACTTGGTCAATTGGGTGGACTGACTGTGGGTCGGACTCCGTTGTTCCGCGATCGGCACCTGCTGCTGGAGACGAGGCAACGCCGGCAACTGACGAGGACTCCTCGGTGACTTTAGATGGATCGATTGTCCGGGACTGTTGGTCGCCATCTCCGACGCGGGATCTCTCTGACGGATTTACCTTCCTCCCGGATCGCGTTATCTTTGATGGATCGACCTTCTGAGTCGGGTATTTATCGCGGTTCTGTCATTGTCGCGTTTCGCAGAAACGACTCGCCCGAATCAAGCTACGTCCGTAAATCGTTCGCGTAATGCTCGACAACCGTTCTTTTCATTTCAATAGATTTACTGTCAAATTTAATTTCGATACAAATTTATATATGGTCGCAGATATTTATTTATCGCGCAATAAATGCGCTTGATTATCGTTTTGGATAAACAAATCTTCTGGACTGTCAAATAAAGCATGAAATTTAATGTTTATATTAAATTTTAAATAGGAAGTAACTAAAAACAGAAAATTAAATCATGTATATGTATTTTAACAAACATTCTTTTATATATGTATACATATAAGTTTAGTTGAAATAACTTTTCACATGCTTTAAAATTAAAAATGTAACATAGCTTAGAAAAAATATTTGTATCTAACTTGTAACGTTGCCGTTTCTTATTTATTTTATAAAAGAGATTTATCTTTCTCGTACACATAAACACACAAAAAAAGAAAGAAAGAATAAATAAAGAAGTTTAATGTTTACATACACTCAATTTTATATATCTCTTTAGACTTTCAATTTTGTACAGAACATTACCTTAAATAGATGTAATTAAACGAAAAATAAAACTTTATGTCATATTCAATCGATTCTTGATTAATTAATTATGATGGGATACGATGCTACTCTATAATATAGCGCGTGACCTATAACCGCAAGGTTAAAACGCACCTGTGTCAAGTTCACGATCGAAACCTGGCAAAAGTTGTATATTGATCCAAATAAAAAATAAAATAAAAAAATATAAAATATTTAAAAATATTACTTTAATAATATTCTTATTTTAGATAAAATAAAGACTCCATTACAAAATAATAATTAATGTAATAAATAACCACGGAGAGAGAGAGAGAGAGCTCATTCCTAAAAAAAAACAATGTTCAATCAAACAAAAAATTCAGAATTTATTGAATAAATGTTTATAAATGTTTTTTTACTTTAGTCAAATTTTCTGCTTACTTGTTGCCATAGAAAATGATCAAAAAATTCAAATTTGATAACAATAATAAAAACTTTCAGCAAAGAAAGATACCGCTTAGTCACTGACAAAGCCAGTTTACAAATCAAACAATAATATTGAAACAATATTTACCATGCGCAATATTATTGTTCATATTTGATATTATATAATAAATGACAGAGATGATAAATGATACCAACACAACTGTTGCTTACATCGTAAGATAAGCATACACGACGATACACACGAGATTATTGGCCAAAGCGATACGCCAATTAGCCGAGACTAGAGATTAACCTGTTGATCGTCGTTGTCACGAAGAATATCGTCACGTTGTCTAGCTGCGCCAAGACGTCAAACGGTAAACGTTGCGATGTACAAAACGCTGAAATGCGAAATCTCGCATCACGCTGACGGAAGAAAATCTGATCCTAAATGGAAGAAACGCACTCGTGTCGGCTCGGGCCGAATTTGACGTCGTGAGGGGAACGAAACGTCGACACCTCGAAGATGCCACTTCGGCGATGGCCGGCACGCTACTGAGGGGTTGCGATATAGCCAACCCCTCACCAGCTTCGCCGCAAGCCACCCTTCCCGCATCCAGCTCGACCCTGGAGCTTTCTGTTGTTCTCTCCCTCGCACATGCTCTTTCAACAATTCGCATTCGCGTTCGATGTTTTTTACAACTTTCATGATTTTTATCAAAATTTCATCATTTTGAAATATATTTTTTTCTAAGTATATATAATAGTATCATGTTATATTTTTATTTGCTTTATATATTCGAAGATTTATTTTTAAAATATTTTTATTTATATCGCAAACACGCATAACATTTTAGGAATGTTTTCACAGCAGTTTATTTGTTTTTATTTAATAAAAATATTTTGGAAATATCTATTTCCGTATCTAATTTGATTTTACGTACGAATCTCTGTTAAAACTTGTTAAGAATCAATGAATCATTCATAAAATCATGCATGTCATATATGTATATCGAAAAAAATAAATTTAATAAAATCACTGTGCTGGCATTCAAGTTTGTAATTAATATTTCTCCTGGTTTACGCAAAAGGTATCGCCTATCGATAGTCTATCGAAAAAGGTTGCGTTTGTGTTTATGCAGAGAATAAAGGCCTGAAGGTTTCGCGTGCTTGAAGCCCGCAGCAGTGGTTGAAGTCTGTTGTAACAGTATCCAACAGGTAGATGTTTAGTATATGCAGGTACATTATAAAATCTAATATACCTCTGATGTTGGTCCAAACCCGTTTACATAGCATAGTTTGGCCTTTAATCAGTAAGGCACTATAGTAAGGCACTATGAAGGTCTCGCGCATGGAGTAATCTAATTTGGCCTCTTAATCAATCAGTAACTCTGTCTCTTTGTCAGTTTTTGGCAAGAACGATGAATTGCCTCGATGCATCGAATGGAATTTAAATGCCTAGCAGATATTAAATATTTTAGATATAAAAAGGAAGAAGAGAGCAAATTAAATTATATCGAACTTAATTATTGTCAGATAACACTTTCAATCAAGCAACTAATCTCGTAAGAAGCAAGATTGTGTATACTCACAATATATCTCGAACTTTCCTTTTAATAAGTTCAAGATTGATTGTTTATATAAAATAGAAGAAAGTAAATTATCTATTATAATCTCCATGCATTAACTCTCTAATTAAATTTGACCTATTAAAAATATTGAAAATTCGATAGAAGTTTTTAATCAATTTTAAAAAACTGATTATTAAAAAATATGTTATACAATATTACTTTATATTTCTTGATGTTTGAGAGAAAAATTTTATAATTTATTTCAAATAACTAAAGAGTCTATATTAAATTAAGATTTAAAAATAATTATCACACACACACACACACACGTCATTAATAAGAAATATGCGTATTAAGCTATAAGTTTTTTATTCCAATTTATATAGAAAATAAAAAATATATATATAACAATTTTATTAAATGCGTTCTCATTCTGTAAATTATTTGTCCTCCAAAGTTAAAACATCAATCAAATAATTTTTTGACTTTTGATTTAAGAAAAGCATTGCATAAAATCACACAATATGTGCTGTATATAATTGATTCGACAAATTGAAATATTTTCTTTTACCACGATAATAATAATACTCCAGCTTTAAAAGAAAATGAATCGCTAGATTTTTTATAAATGTTTCTCATTTTTGTATTATAATTTTGTTTATTTCGTTTGCAAAATATTCTATAATCTTATGATAAAAATTATTTATATAACACTTACAGATATTCACAATTGCAAAAGGAAATGTGTTAAGGAAAATCATGTCAAACGAATTATATAACGTTCTCATAGTGAAATGTCGATAGAAATTGCTTCACGTTTTCGTTTAAAACTTTTTATCGAAGTCAATCAAAGTCTGCCAATTGTACTCATCATATTACATGATATTTCAATTGCTCGATCTCGATATAATTTGATAAGCAAAATCTTGGCCGAAGTGCATTTTAGAGATATCGTTGAAATCGTTGAAAATTTTGCGTATCGAAGTCGATCGGTCGGATCAATTTTATATCATAGTTTGTTAAATGCCAAGTATATTATCTAAGAAATAATTAAAATAATATTGGAATCATTGGCGCCTCTAATTTCACTTTTTGCACAAAAATACACTTTATATATTGAAGATATCAAATCGATACTTCTAGAATTTAATATAACACTATAAATGTGCCTTATTCAAAATTATTACTGACAGTAAAAAATTTTTATAATAATACGTGATCACTCGACATATTCTGCTTATTTATCTAAAACATGAAAACTGTTTCCTCCTTATTTAAAAAGAGTATTCTAAATTATTTATGTATAAACACCTATTTCTATATTTGAATTTTGCTTATTCGAATTAAAAATTTTATTAAATTTTTAGTAAATTTATTATTGAATTCCAAAAACGTCGATTTGATTTTTATAGATATACTCTATCATAGAAATATAATTACGAATCATATTTCGCAGACATTACTAAAATGCTAAAATATAATTACATTTATAAAAATTATTGCACACTTTCAATCTAAGTTTTAGAAAATCTGTCAGATGAATATTCTTATGTATCTAATATCTTTATTGTACAAAACGTGTTTCATTAATAAAATAATAAAACTCAGCAAGTTTAAGCACGTGTGCCAGTAAATTTTTCGTACCTAAATATCTAATCTTAATTTCTAATATTGTGTATGTGAGAAATATAATTAAATTATATATTTTTTATGCTATAACTTTATATTTTTATCGGATTTTTGTATTATCAATATTTTTCTTACAGATTCCCTTAAAGATTATTGAAAAAAGAAAATTAATCTTACAACTATATATATTAAAATGAAATATATTTCGTACAAGTGATTTCTATTTAATATAAATAATTAATTTATAATAAAAGAATAAAATAAAAAATTTAGGATAAAAAATTTCATAATTCTTATCCTTATTTCAAGCTTCATTAAAAAATTGGTTTTACATAAAGATGCATATCATATATCATATGAGTATCGCCAAGAATATGTAAACTGCACTGGTACAATGTAGTTACCTATGTTTATTTCTTTTGTAGGTATATTACATATAATTTCTTTAATATAAATTTTATTCTCGGTTAAAAAACGAACTATAGTCAAAAAGAAAAGTCGAGTAAAATAAAGAAATATTCTAAATCAATTATTGTAAGAAGATAAAATAACGTAATCATTTAACTTAAATACTGCCTGACTATATCATACGAGATCATGGAAGTTAGTGGTATCGGAAACCGTCAGAGAGCGGATTCGTACAATGAGTTTTAGACGAGTTACCACGAAGTATGCATATTGATAAAAGCCATTATATCAATCGTAATCTATTTCAAAAGAATATAAAATTTGCAATATATCTATATATATAATAATAGTATATATGTAATATATTATAATAATACATATAATAAATATATATACGTATATATTTATAATATATAAATATTATATAGATAAAATTAAAAAAATTATTTTATAATTTATATCTCATCATTGATTATCTGTCAATCGATTAAAAGATAACCGAATGATAATCCGCAATCTGCAGCTCAATAAACTTGCATAGAAACGCGCAACACGCGATATAATTCTGCATACTCATCGATTGACCAATTAATAGGTCTGGCGCAAATTACTTGCGAAAATAGTTGCACATTTCCAACAACTTGACGAAGAACAAAAATACATCACTCGCGGCGATGTGTTCTCAATGAAAGCAAATACACGTGGCGCTAATGCATTAAATCATCTAATCTTATCTGCTAATTATATTTACGTTCCCTATTGTTATGTAAAATATTTGGAAATCTGATCTTTGTAATTCTCATTGATAATCTTCATGTCGTAATGACTAATCATATACAGAGAAACAATAACCTTGCATTTTGACATTATTCTACGTCTCGTTATATTAATTAATTAATTCTATGTAAAACGTTGACGTTTTAAAGAGTTTTATTTTAACTATACTATTATCGTTAATAGTTAAGAGAACAAAACATTAAATTAGTTCCTATAAAATATAAAAACCGTGAGTCAATGTATAATTATATTACATATAGACGTCATACACATATACGATATATATAATTATACATTGACTCACGGTTTTTTATATTTTATAGGAACTAATTTAATGTTTTGTTCCCTTTGCGTGGGATGACTATTAGATGACTCACGTGTCTTGCAATTTGACAAATACATATTCATATATTAATATTTGTATTAAAAATTACATTAAAACTTATTCTTTCCAATTATTCACACGTAAATTTTTCTTTTTAAAATCAATAGCAATAATATTATTTTTGTTATCGCAGTTAATGGGAGTAATATTTTTTATCAAATATTTTGCAATATAAAAATACTTTATAAAATTATTATTTTTAATAAATTAATTTTATAATATGTTTGATTTATATGAAAATTAATTTTATAATATATATTTGTACACGTCATTATTCTAAAAAGTTGTTATTGTAGTATATCTTCTATTAAATATCATCTATACTAACGTCCTCATTCTATCATACTTACAATTAATCAATACTTTTTGTCAATATTTTGCAATATAAAAATACTTTATAAAATTATTATTTTTAATTAATTTTATGACATATATTTGTACACGTTATTATTTTAAAAAGTTGCTATTGTAATATCTTCTACTAAATATCACCTACGAACGTCCTCATGTTATCAGTTATCACACTTAATCAATACTGTTTGTCAATATTTTGCAATATAAATACTTCATAAAACTATTATTTTTAATATATATTCGTATACGTCATTTTTCTAAGAAGGTGCTATTGTAGTATCTTCTACTAATTATCATCTACTAACGTCCTCATCATTCTATCATATTTTAAATCTTCGATTTACTCCTATCTAACCAGGAAAAATAGGGAGTGCAACATCTATTATCGTACTATCAGGGAAGCAACATGGCACGCACCCTGATGACGTTTCTAGTGGGGTGCTGATACGGAACCCACCCACAGTCTCAGCGTTAGCTCGACTACTGGCAAATCAGTCAGAACATGCGGAACCAACGTCGCAAGAGGTTTCGCATTCAGTCGTCGAGAATCCGGTTTGTCAGTTGCATCTAGTCTAACGTCTCCCACTTCGGGTCTTAGCTGACGATCACGAGGTCCCTGCCTCGATCCAACTCGAAAAGCGAGATCTCGACATATTTCCAGATGCCGTCGTTGAGGACTTTTCGGATCGAATTCGATCGACCGGGCGCTACTTTTGCCCCTGGTGAAATCGTCACCGGCAACGTCATCGTCGACCTGGCCAGGGAGAAATCTATCCGAGGTAAATAGCGCGTCCGGCATAACACACGTGTCGTGGCACGAGATCAAGTAGTATCGAACGGGTCTGTCGCTGGCGCCGAGTCGGATGAACGTCGGCGCCAAAGTGCGCATTTGCGTGTATGTGTATGGAAGAATGCGTGCTATGTGGAAACAGTGCCGTGAAAAAGAGGTGCCGAATTTCGCGAGAAATGTGTTATCGTTTGGTTCCTTCAGACCCACTTGATTATCTATTCTATGTGGATGGATGAAATAAATCATTGAGAGGTTTGTGCAGAAAAGGCTCAACAAGTATCAGCACCGTGAAAGGATTCTTGTTTTTCGTAGTTTTAGAAAAGAAAAATTAAAAATTTTAATGAGAAATTGATTCAACAGAAACGTTAATGATGATTATGCAAGAAAAATTCATATATCCAGAATTTTCCATTACATTAGAACACAATTAAGGACGCATTTAAGTTCATTATAAATACAATTAATTAAATTGTGTTGACAGTTTTTGTATGATTATTATAACATATATGTCTTCACGATATGTTTTTGTATATTTTTAATTTTAATATATACATAAGATATATTAAATATAATATTTTCTTTCACTGATGCATCTCTGTATTGAGTTCTGTTAGCCATAACTCCCTATCAGACGCTTAGTATGACGTCATTTACAAACACAAGCTAAAACTACATGTGCCAAATATATCTCTCGAATACTCGCGTTTTTTAGCCCGTGCTTTAATATAGTATAAGAAGTTATGAAATTTATTTACTGTGCACGCATTTTATAAAAATAAAAAAAAATAATATATTCAAGGATTACGTAACGAATTAAATATATTAAATGTGAAGTGTTAATTAGATATGCAGTATATAGTTATCGATTCGCAGATAAATGTTTATCAGAAACGACATCTTGCCAGCTGAAACAAACAGATCTACTAACATTATATTTCACATTCATTTTAATAAATAATAATTATTTTCCAAGTAATATAGGAGTAAAATACATTAGGATGATATATTTCCCAAAACTCTGATTATTGTTCGTATTTGATAACAAGTCATGTTATTTAATAATTCTATGCATTTCTAAATTAATTTCTTCAATATTGCACATTTAGCAGTCTACATTTCAAAGTCATAAACAGACTAAAAATAAATTTATCAAAATGCGATTCCGGTTTCTATCCGTTACGTTGCACAAAATCTGATATATCTCGCTTTAATATTTGAAACAGCATCGTTTTACCACATTCTCGCATCTACTTTTTACATAACAGCTATAATTGATAGCTGTAATATATAATTGATTATGCAACGCGCGTTGTATACTGCGCATATTCGAGTTCTATTGATGCGTTTTCAATGAACATTGAATTTCGAACCCTGTAAACATAACATTGTTGTGTAATGCACAATTCCCTTTCTTAAATCGTTAATGTTATTTTTTAAAAATCTGTTTTTTATTTTTGTTAAAATCTTTAAAAATATTTAATAAACATATGGTCAAAAAAGAATTACTCTATTTGATGATCGAGTTTATTTCAATATTTAAATAAGAAAAAGAAAATAAAAGAAAGGGAAAATTGATTATTTTTTAATGTATATAACATTTTAATAAAAAAAAATAGATAACAATAAAAAAAGATTGGGGAATACATATTTTTTTTATTGCAGCGCTAAAATTGTCAATTAAAGGAGAAGCTAATGTTAGCTGGGAAAGAAGAAGAAGCACTAAGGATTCTCAAGGACACAATCACACCCACGTTGATCATTTTCGAGCGAATGAACAGTATTTTCACCTGACTTATTATCTATTCGGGAGTACAACAGGTAATATTTACAAGACTATTAAAAACTTGAAAATAACGTTCTGCAATGTAACTATGCAATTAATTCCAAGTAATTGCAAATTAATGCAATGAAGTATTTTTTATCAAATACATGTACATATCATAAATTACTACAGGTAATGGGGAAATACGGATGCCAGAAGGGTTTCACAAATACCCTTTTAATTTTACACTACCCTATAACATACCATGTAGCTTCGAACATAAACACGGTCACATCAGATACACGACAAAGGCGGTTATTGACAGACCATGGAGATTCGATCACGAGTGCAAAATTGCGTTTACCGTGGTTTCATCGTACGATTTGAACATGTTCAGTCAACAATGTGTAAGTGAAATCAGTATGCGAAAATTATGTGTATGCATTTCTTCTATCTCTATATTAAGGAATTTTAACTTTGCTATCAAATGACAACAAAATACGCGAAACAAAATGATATATTTGTGAATAATTTGTGTTTCTCACATATATATATATATATATGTCTGTATGATTTCTCATTAGCTAGGTGTAGACGACGAAGCGGCCGAAAGCTTTTGTTGTTTCTGCTGTTTCAATATGGGCTCGATGAAAACGCGCATTCGAATACCAGTAACGGGGTTTGTTCCGGGACAATCGATAGAAACGACGATCAATTTGGAAAATACCAGCCGTGTCAATGTGAACAGAATCTGCGTTAAACTAGAACGAGTAGGTTTAATGTCACTATCGTCACAATTTACTATAGTTATTCTATATCCACAGCTATAGCTTATCCATTCACCTATAATACACAATTTAATCAAATTAATTTTTACCTATACAATGTATAACTAATATTTTTCTTTTATAAAGTCCTTGGAATTCCATGCGAGATCACCGTATAATACGACGAAAACGGATAAAGCGGTCATAAAAACTGAGAAAACTGCGGGACCATTTGGCCAAATTTCCGAGATTGTGTCCAGATTACAAATTCCACCGATACCGCCATCCCAATTGGAATATTGCGGCATAATAGATCAGAAATATGTCTTACGCATTACAGTTCACGTATCAGGAATGTACGTACATTTCTCAAAAACACGATATTACTTGTGTCTAGTAGCCAACCAAAAATTTCTAATAATTTTAAAGAATTAATAAAAAAAATGCTCAAGCTATAAATTTATAATATATCCATATAATTATATGTATAATAAATATATAAAATTATACAGTTAATAAATATAAATAGAGAATTCTTTTTTATATTAATTCTTCAAAATTATTAGAAATTACATGGATATAGCTACTTTTAATTGAATTAAAATAAAATTATATTGATTGGATAGTTCATTAAAAAATCGAATTTCCACGATAGGCATTGCAACATCACCAAAACTTATCCGATCTTGATCGGAACAACTCCACTGCGTTCAGTAATTTCACCTGTACCCTATACTCAAGCCATACCACAACCTACAGCTCCTGTAATGCCATACGATGATCCTCCTCCGCCGATGCCGATGTCCCCAGACTATGCTCCACCGTATACGCCTTATCCAGGACCCTCCATAGGCTTTGCGAATCAACCTAGCACCTCGGCTAATCAGTGGGACATACGTGAGTAGATTTTCTTTATGTTTCTTTGACACGCACAATTTTTTTAATCAATATTTGAAAATAAATATATATATGTATATTCATACCGAATATGCGATATAAACGAATATCGCATGACTTTATCTTGGAAGATTAGTTTAATGATATGTCATGTGTATATAAAGATAATTTTTAAAAATTATTATTATATCTAGCACCGCCCTCATATGAAGAGTGTTTGCAAAGAGCGGACAGCATTAAAGAAGAAGATGAATCTAATTATGTGCAAGGTGCCAACGAGCCCTTCGCACCAAGATATCCAGTTTTTAATTTCCCAACGCCATGTAAGCACGAAATAGAATTACCGTTAAATGCTTTATATCATATTTTGAAAAACGATAAGTATACCTATATATATTATTTTATAGATCCACCTGGCAAATAAGGTGAAATATCCATTTGGAAAATAAGACAGCGGAGGAATCCTATGTACTACCGACCAAATTACTTCTATATTTGACGCGCTTTGCCATAATGCAGAAGCAAGTATGCTAGAAAAACGCAGACTCCAATCGCTGCTACCTCATATATTTAAATATATTAGTGTTTTTTATGTATAAATTGTGATTGTGTATATTTTTATACTTTATAACATATTCTATTTACGATTATAAATGTAATCACGTTCTACATCAAACAAATAATACGTATTACATAAATAATCCTAAATAATAAAAAATCCAATTTTATATAATACGTATTTTGTACATCAACGTTTGTTTTATAACAATAATTAGCGCTTTTGAACATTGAAAAAACGTCAGAAGATGGAGATCCATAAAGAGAAATTTATTGCAGGAGCAATAAAAATAGTTACGCGAAAATAGTATATTTACACAATTTATTTTATATTTCAACATCATCATATCATAATCATCATCGAGTCATATAATAGCAAAAGTAACGTTAACAAAGTTTCGAATTTTTTGAACGGATAGATGAAATAACGCATAATTAAAATAACGAAGAGGAGAGAAGAAGGGGAGAATTCATCTCGATAACTTCACAAATCGGTTTGAAATCGATCTACAATCTTGAATGCGGAAAGTGGAGCATGGAAATCGGAGATATAAAGACATGTAACGAAAAAGAGCTTGTGACATAATCGTGAACTTAGCACGAACGGTCACTCCTATATATGTGAAATGTTCTATTCTACAATTGTACTCCTTTACAGTTTTACAGCATAGCAAATGTACATGGTACAACTATTCACATTCAGCCACCAAATGCCCGGCAAACTTATTTCATTGTAGGAACTGAACCCATCCATCTTGAGGCGATTAAATACGCCGCCTTAAATACTGCGAATATATCGAATATCTATCGCACGATGTTGCTATCGGATGATTGCGAAAAACGATTGAAAATGTTCTCATTCCGAGATCTCAAATATCCGCAAACTATTCTTACTTTGCTTTAATACCGCTTACACAAATGATCTTAATTATCAAAACTTATCCTTGTTATAACGCAAATATTGTCGACATCTATATATTTCTTCGATGGGATCATTTTTACAGCTTCTACACTTTTACACTTTCAATTTTATAGAACTGAAGTGTCATTCAGAAACATCCGAAGCAAAATCAGTAAGAAATAATGCGCTAATTCATAATCTGCGAGATATGACTGACGTTCGATGAATGTGTACGATCCTTAATACAGTGTCCATAGGAGTTCGTGCTAATTCAATATAATTCACAATATTGGAGTAATTAGTGCAATAAAAATTCATATCAAATACAAGAATAATTAAAATCGAAAGAAAATTCACAAACTATAGAGATTCTCAATGTGTAATTATATAAAAAAAAAAATACCTAGCCAAGAATCGCAAGTGTGGGCTTATTTGACAATAAACCAAACAATGCTATGCAATGTCATAAAATCTGAAATTAACGAAGAACTCCAAATTAATATTAAAACATTTAATATAATGCAAAGATAATTTAAAATATTTGTGAACATACAAAGATAAGAGTATCAAAACATTTACAAAAATATTGTAATCAGAATAGAACAACTTTTTTGTCCTTGACTCGATAATGTTTCCTGACTTTCTTTCTAAAACTTTTCAGAGTATCTGGTTGTCGGGAGGGAAAAGGAACTGTGCGCTCCGACTTTACAAAAATTTACTTCGCTTATATTACAATAACCTTCCCTCGATTTAAAACACACACATCATTTTTTTCAACCCTTAATATATTATTATCATAAATAAATTTGGTCTATCGGTAATATTGAATACGCCGGTACAAATACTGGCAGTATTTGGTTAAGTAAAAATCATGATCACTAGAAGAGGTAACTTGTACGGGATCGATTGCGACATTGTAAGAACAATTCTTCTCGTAAGTATTTTTTAATACTTCTTTTTTTACATTTCGCGAGAACACGCACAGATACGTCGTTTTAATGTCATTTAGCAAATTTGACGAAAAAAATTCTGTATTGAATTACGTTAAATACGCACGTTACTACTTCCAGCAAACTTGATTTGATATTCTTTAATTGTCGGAGGTTTCGCAAATCTATCCACGACAGAAGCAGAACTTCTGATTAAATGCCAATGATTTATACTTTCCTTTGTTCAACTATCATTTATATGAAATCTAGAGTGAAATAGAATCGTTAATGCCCTGTATGATTGATTAAAAAAAAATATATACATGATCCCCATAATAAAATCTTTACTTTTATAATCGTTTCATTGGAAAATTAATATTTCACGAAAATGAGCTTGTACAATTATATATGTAGATATCTATCAAAAAGATGTGAAAGACTTTCATATTTCGATAGGTTGCACGGATCTCAAATGAACTTCATGATAAGTAATAAGTTGACACGCAATAAAGACAAAAAAAAATAAGGCTACTTCGTGAATAGATCTACCAAATGGAACCGATAGGGGAGTGCTTTGAGTCAAGTAGATCGATTTGAAAAAACGGGCGTTGTAACAGATGTTCTTAACATTTCCAACTTGATCTATCAAGACTGCCCCGGTCAATATATATTGTAAAACTATCGCGACCCACTTATTCGCGCCTCGTGACGCCTTGTTTTAAAAAAATAATCAATGTTGTTGTGTTATTGTTGCCGCTGCAATGTGGCATTATAATGGGTTCAAGACAAACATCAACATTTCGTATCTACTTATGGTGTACCGTCATACCGTCAGTACAATCATTAACATTAAATGAGATTAAGAAAAAGGCATTATTTTACATTGTCATCGTACATATGTTGATCCAAGTCATGAACCAGAGGATACTGGGTTGTGCACATGTAATGTTTATTTTATATATATAAATATATATATATCTACATGTACATATATATGTATATATATAATATATATAATATATACATTATATATATAAAATATATATGTATATGGATTTATGTATGTGTCTCATTGTGTTTATGTTGTATGGTATGTGTTTTGCGCAATCACTTTACATTATTACATGTTTTTTTTTTTTCAGTCCACACGCTTTCAAAGACCTGAAAAGAAAATTACATTTACTCTATTTGTAGATATAATAATAAATAATCATTACACAGTGTATATTAATATTATACACGAGAAGAGATATAAATAGAAAAAAATAAAAGCAAAAGTGTCATTAAAATTATTTTTAAAAAATTAATTGAAAACATAAGAACTCTAATTTTTTTGTATTAACAAAAAAATATATTTAAAGGAAAAATAATATATTTAAAAATATAATTTAAAAAATAAAATTGTTTTTTCCACGCTGTTTTTTTCTATTTAAAAAAATTATTTTGTACAATCTCTACACACACATTTTACACAAGACACTGTTTTTATTAGCTTTTATGAAACTTATTAACTCTTATTTTGTATGTTCAATATATGCTGTAACAACGTGTAGAATAAGGTCACATTTTATTCGAGAATAAAAATAGATTTGCACAATCAATAATTAAACAATGAACTCTTGTGCAGCATAAACGAATGTAATTCCAAAATCAATACTTTTGTTAAGTAAAATTAGCTAAATAACTTTTTGTATCATTATATAAATTCTGTGACTAAATGATTCCCTTTTCTTTCATTACATGAATTATATATGTGATTAAATTTAATTATTAAATATGTACAGTAATAAAAAAAAAAAGAAAATTTGTAATGTAGTAATAGAAAAATTTGAAGATAAGAAAGCTGTAAAGAATAATAAATTATTCTTTTGGCAATTTTTATCTAAGATTAACTAAATAAAATATCAAAACATACCAAAATTACGTGCGTATCTTTAATTTTCTCTCTTAATGGCACCAGGAGCTTCAGCTAGTCCTTTAACTTTAAGCCGGTCTGCCGTTTTGAGAAATGCTGGTAACTGATCTTGTGAAACATTTACTTCGCCTGCATACATGAATTCTAGAATGGCTTGCAAATGACTGTACGCAACATCCTTTAGAATTATAATAGGATGTTTGGACGGATTTTCCTGTAATATATATATCAAGCAATGAATTAATTCAATTATATACAAAATATGTAGTAATATACTTCACTTAGTGTAATATAAAGAAAATTATACCTCTAACAATGATTTGAAGTAAGGACTACAGGCAGACAAAACCATTTTATGCGCTTTGCAAGTTTGACCATCGCAAGCCAATGTCACATCCGTGAAACTTTTTTCATCTCGCAAGTGTTTGAACGACGACACCATGTTCGACTGAAAGTCGTTCCATTTAAGAAAAAACTGCTGTTGTTCTCCCGCCATTGTGAATGCTGATATTGCCCTATAACTCCTACGTAATTGTGCAGTCTGCAAATAAGATTATATCAAAACATCAGTCAATGCCAATTGTGTAAATATCAGAATCGCCTAAGCATCTTCATACGTTTATATAACAAAAAAAAGAAAATTATAAAATAAAGCAAACAAAAATGAAAAAACCGTCTAATGAAGAGTCGCACATTTGATCGCAAACTATAAAATATGAAATAAAAAATATGCTCGCACGATTAGCCGCTATCGACCGCGATAAATGTTGAATATTAAACAGGAATATAAAGCAGAAAAAAAAAGAACGAACATTGTTTCGAGCTAAGCAAACGCGACAGGTTCTTCGCGCCTTATTCCAAGATATACCCTTAGATAGGTTAAGCCAGAGAAAATCTCGGCGGGACGCGACGACGCGGATCAGCCGAGTTTCGCCGCGAAACGGAGCGTATCATCTCACGACAGGCGGAATATTAATAACGCGATCTGTCAAACGAATATCGAAACGTCTACCGAAGGCGTTAAATTGCACGCCTCGTCACAACATGCGTGCGTCCGTCCGCCCGTCCTATCGAAACGGCGCACACGACGAGAGACCCTCGACACAACACACGGTGGCCCACAACACACTTCAGGCTTGTACGTAAGCGGCAAGGACGCCGCGAGTCTTACTTCGCGTCGTCGACGTGTCCTGGATGAGGCGCCGACGTGTTTACAACCAGCACCTTGCTGCCGAGGGAACGCGAAAAATACGCTGTGCCGAAAAACTTTTTGCGCGATCACCACCGATTTTTTTGTTGTGACTAATATCACACGATGAACAGGGAATTTCGGCCAACCTCGGATCCTTCCGCCGACGATCGGCGCGCGTATACGTCGTACCGACTGAAGTTGCTCCCGAACGCGTTGTTAGATGGCGCGACCGACACGATAATACAGTCGCAGTGCTCTCGTCGTCGCGCGTTTGCGAAGCGCTCTCGGTGAGTTGGAATGTTTAATGAATATTTTATATATTGATATGTACAATTGATGCTGCGTGATTTCGTAAATATTCAGTTAAAGTTAATCCATAACTGATTTATCTACCTTTTCGCTTCGCTCTTCTTTGGGAAATAAACCTAAAAGATATGAAAAATCGATCAAAATGCAGTCAACTTTAACCTACATTTAACGGCCCCTTTTGTGCGTTTATTTTTATTGCAATATATTTAAAATTTTGTTGACATTTAAAATTATATATATATATATACACGTATGTATAAAATTAAATATCAAAAATATTTTTATTGTATATTACACTGCAATAAAAAATAAGTGGACATAAGATAAAATTTTAGTTGATTATATACATATATATACATATATATACATATATGTATATGTATATATATTCCAACTAAAATTAAAAATTATTAAGATTTATTATACAAATTCTAATATTTTTAAATTTTTGCAATTCTGATATTAAGAAACTCAAATGTAGATAAAATAGATTTTGCGTTTATAAATTTTGTAAGCAAACTTATATATTAAAAAAAAAAAAAAAAAATATATATATATATATATATATATATATATAAATTTGCTTACAAAATTTTTAAATGCTAAAATCTATTTTATTTACATTTAAGCCATTTGATCCTATAAATTTGCATGAATTCAAAAATGTTAGATTTTATATAATAAATTTTAATAGTAATATTTTGAAAATATTACAAAGAATTTACCTTGAAAATCACGATAATCGTGTGACAATATGGTATTGGAAGAATTTTATACTCAAAAAGAATTTTCTTTTAGAATTTACCCTAAAAATCAGGGTAATCGTAGGACAATATGATATTGGAAGAATTTTATGAGTTTCTCTGATTAATATTTCCTAACATAAAAAATATTAATGTCTATATAACGATAAGATATGTTCGATTAATTTTATTGTGTACATATTAATATTTTTTATTATGATAAATATTAACTAAAAAATTTTATTATCTCACATCTCACGATTACCATAATTTTCAGGGTAAATTCTAAGAGAAAATTCTTTCCGTGTAAGAGTTTCTCTGATTAATATTTATTACAATAAAAAATATTAACAACTCTATCATAATAAGATATTAAATATGTTCGATTAATTTTGTTATGTATATAAGAAATTTACTATGTACAAATCAATATTTTTTTCATCAATTTTTATATATTTATTTTTATAAAATTCTTTTATATACCATATTGCCCCATGATTACCATGATTTTCAGGGTAAATTCTAAGAGAAAATTCTCTCCGTGTAGTAATAAATTTACTTCGTATGAAATTATAATTTATTTAAATAAGCTATATATATAAATATCATATAAAATATATCTATTATTCATTAGTTATTTTCCTAAGGTATTTATTACATTATTACTTGTGTGTGTGTGTGTGCATGTGTGATAATTATAATTAATCAGAATTAATTAATTATTTTCTAAATCGCCATATACGAGAAAAATGCGCAAAAATTCATTTAGTAGAGATAAAAAAATAAATAAGAAAAAAATAAAATAGAAAAAGCAATAAATTAAAAAAATATGTGATAAGACATTTTTCATGGATTTTTTATTCCCGTTTTGTAACTCACTGTTATGTAATGTGCCTAGTGACATGCATATATGTATATAAGATGAATTAGAGCGCGTAGAAGAAAGAGAGATGTTTATGATTAGTGATGATGCACAAAAGGATGCGATATTAATCTCGACGGCAATCGCGCACAAAAATTGCTTTCATTTTTTTTGTCTGTCTTAAGAGCCACCAAAGTCCATAAAACACAAGTCGCTGATACGCAGTAACGTGTCTTTTTTCAATTCGCACGATTAATAAACGTCAGCGTGCGTTGGCTCGTATAGATCAACGCACGCATAACTACTGCGCGATATTAAAGATAAAAATCTGTATGTTGATAAACAATCAAAATATGACGCAACAATGACGATCGTTTCTTGAATATTGGCGACTCATCTCGCGTAGAAATCGCACATTGAAAAAAAAATAAATAAACAATCTTGAAAAAAATTATCTTCGATTCAGCAATAATACCGGAAGTGGATAAACGCGGTTCAAAAAGTTGAAAAATTCCGGGGCAATTCCGGAGAAAGTACAGATAAATATTTTAAAACGATAAAGCAATCGAAGAAAGCTAAAGTATAAATAAGGAAATGAGATATATATATTGCTTTAAAATTAAATAAAAACAATTGTAAATTTCTTAGAGAAAATGCAAAGATCCGATCATCAAAATTCGTTTTTTTATTAATCCACTTCAGTAAAACAAGTTAAAGAATCTTTCGTAAATCTTGATTATCATGTCTAAAATTTACGAATAATAATTACATAGCTTTTTTATGATAATTATATAGCTCTTTTCCCAATTTATTCTCATTAATTTTATTTGATAGCTCTGAAATCTTGTTTAAATGCAAATTAAATCTTCGCCAGCTAAAGCAAGGCGCGATATATTTCAGAATAATGAAAATCATTTTCATTTGCAAAATCTCTAAAAATTTCAACAGAGGTAAATAAATGCAACGAATAATTTTTCCTTAATTGATTACCGTCAATTGCGCAATATCGTGCAAACGGTGACATGGTTTTATCGACTGCAACAAAAGTACTGTTAACCGCATTTAATAATGAGTATTATACCGATTACAGCGATAAGTGTCATACAATATCACATTATGCATATTCTATTACACATACATTAAATTTTTAATTTTTTTGGTCAAATACAGAATACAGAATCGATCGAATTTAATCATCGTATATATCCCGCCAATTTTCGTGTCTGATTCAAGTTCGATTTCCATCTATTTGATAATTTTTCATATCGTAATCAATGACGAAAATTTAATTATTAATTTATAAAAAAAAATAATTTTCGGAAAAAAATTCATGCATCCTTAGCGAGTTGAAGCCGCAAACCACCTTTCGTACGCATCTCGCGCGAGCATTTAGCATCAGGGAGAATCAAAGCGGCGGAAAACTTTTTCCGCAGCGCGGAACCGTGACGGAACCGCAGCATGTGAGAGCACTAGGTAGGGCAAGAAAAAGAGAGAGAAAAAAAACGCATGACGGAATCGGACCGAAGGGGGCACGCGAAAAAGAGAAAGACGGCCGAAACGCGTCGGAGATAGAGAGGGAAACGTAAAAAAAAAAAAAAAAGGAGGACCAAAATCGGAGGAAAGCGCGAGAGAATAAGAGAAAGAGACGAGTGCGTAGATAACGGAGCGCGAGAAAAGCGAGAGCAAGAGTTAGAAATAAAACAGGGGCCCGCGGAGGAGAGCCAAGGAGCCAGGGGGAAGAATGGGAGCTGACTCGTACGAGGAATGACGGACGAGAGGAAGAGTGCGGTTCGGAGGAAGCTCCGCGCTTGCCTCCTCTCTTGCCGGTCCTCTTTCGGAGGGGACCAAAGCGGAACGTGAGGGAGAAGCGTGGAGGCGCGCAAGCGCAATAACGCACGGAACGGCGGTCGCGCGGGCCGCATTGAAAGCTTGTAACATGCCGTCGCGGCGAACAGTCGCGCGCTAACTCTCATGTGGATTGTATTATCGCATCGAACTCTCCCTCTTTCGCTTCATCTCGTAGCGGTGTCTCTCTCTCTTTCTCTCTCGCGTGTATTCCGCATGCGGGAGTCAAGAGGTAGAATCCGGAATTGCGTTGTGCGTCAGAATAAACCCGCGGAGAGTTTGACGCGGAGCGGATATACACGCGACTAAAGTTAAACGTCGTCGTCGACAGACGGAACGTGTGACAACGTCGAGGTCTTCGTGATCTCGAAGTATATATATAATCCGTTAGATCCATTAACCAAGTATTTGGAACAGTGTCAAAAACTACGACGCGCGGTTTCAAGAAAAACGACGAAGTCCGTTTATTATCCGCGACGGTGATGGTGTGAATAAATAATATAGATTCACGCCGAGAGGAAGATATACGACCACCTGAAGAGGGAGATAGACAGGGGATAAAAAGGAAAAAGCAGCGAACGTGGAAGCAGAGTTTCCACATAGAGGAATAGACGTTACAGGTGGTTGCGGTGAAGGGGACTTCCATTCTGTGATGTGTGAGTGAACAATGGAATCACCGGTCATGTACGATTCGGCGGCCCATCAGGCCCAGGCCCAGGGTACGGCCGATCTAAAGAAGTCCCAAGTGCTCAACAATAACACCAGCAATCAGAACAACAACAACGCCGCGACGAATAACAACAACTCTGCACTGCAGATCAATCACAATCACAATCATAACCAGCAGTTGAACAGCGCGGTGGTGAGCAAGGTTTCCGCTAGCAAGGCAACCCTACATCAGCAATACGCCGAACACTGCGCCGCAGCTGGCGAACTCACCGATCTCAACACTCCGGAGATCTCGTTGGACCTCCAGAATCTGATCGACGACAACCACTTCAACGACAATCTACTGGACATGCTCAACGCCGGCAATGGGGTGAAACACATGAGAACGGGCAACTACAACACGCGTACCACTTTGGCGTACATGCCGCAACCGGTGCACAGCGGCGCCAACTATCACCAGGGAAGTTGTAGCGACAGCAACAGCTCGACCTCGGACTCGCCCAGCATCAAAGAGGAGCCCCTGGACCCGGCGGATTATCGTCGCCACTGCTCTCAATATCCACCTGGTTACAGCTCAGTGACGAACAACCCGTTCGCCAATGGCGGCCAGACCTTCACCACCCTGACACCATCCGCGTTACAGGGAAATCATCCGGGCACGCCAATTCATCAGCCACCGCCGCGGGGCGGCCCGATAAAGGGACAGGTGATAAACCATCAGCATCACGCGGCCGCTAACGTCGCCAGGAAGCAAACCAAGTCCATCGACAAGGCGAGCGACGAGTACAGACGGCGGCGGGAGAGGAATAACATCGCGGTGAGGAAGAGCCGCGAGAAGGCGAAGGTGCGATCGCGGGAGACCGAGGAGAAGGTCAAGTTGCTCGTGAAAGACAACGATCTGCTGAAGAAACGGATCGAGCTGCTCACCGAGGAGCTGAACGTCCTCAGGTCGCTCTTCGGCAACGTCAGCATGCTGCCGGAGCACGTTCACCGCGAGATCTCGAGGCACCTCGACCAGTTCCAGCAACACGCGGTCGGACCCATGTAGCAGCAACACGCGGACATGGTAGCGCGATGATCATCCCGTACGAGACGGCGTCGTCGTCGTCGTCGTTTATGATTCGCGTCCCTGGCCTATCGGGCCGCTCCGATTGTGAGACCAAGTCGTCATCGCGTCTTCCGCTTCCCTCTCGCGTTCCCGCGCGTAAATCTCTCACGAGAGTCGTCGTCCTCCTCCTCTCGCGCTCGTTCATTCCCTCTTTCTTCGTCTTCCTCCTCTCTTCGACGCGTCTTCTGCGTCGTATCTTATATCTCACTCGATTCGGAGCACGTGCATACGTCGTCGTCGTAGTTCGCGAACGTGGGAGAAGAGGAGAAGAGCGAGTTACTACTCAAAAGCGAAGCCTGCGAGCTGGAGAACACGAGCGATGATTCAATTTCGCGTGTTCGGAGAACAAGTGCCTTCGCCCCACGCAAGTCCCTCCCTCGAAAGGAAGAGTGCTTACTTCCGGACACTTGAGGGAAGGGTGAAAGGGGGCGGAAAATCAAACCGAAAACAAAATAGCAAACCGTGAACAAATCGATCGCGATTGGACCGCAAACGAGCTGGTGTTGCGATCTCTTGACGTAGCCGACCCCGAGAGTCGCGTCAAAAATTGACGAAGAACGCGAAAAAAATGCTGTCCGATCTTTCCCTTTTGTTTATATCTTTTCTTCCTTCGTCTCGTCATTTTTTTTTCTCTTTTTTTAATGTATTCCCCTTACTTTGCCCTTATCCTTTCTTCGCGCTTATGGACGCTCTAAGACTGTCGGTGATACCTAGATAAAAATTCGAATCCCTCTTGGTGAACGCGCAGAATCGCAACACGGAGCTCTCCGAGACTTCGAACAAATCATCGAACAATTATCTCACCTTTAATTATATAATATATTTCGTATACTACTACAGAAACGCACACACACACACACACACACACACACACGGACACGATTCACCCCAAGAAGAAAAAAACACACCTTCAACGCGAAAGACACGTTAAACACACACGGCGTTGTATTTAGATTTCGGTTCTTAGATAACATTAAATTAAAATAATTAGTAGATTATATATTGCTCTCCAATTACCAAGTACCTAAAGAAAGAGAGTCACGTTGAAAGCACGACGATCTTTTTCAACGTGACTCGTGCATCGATATGTGTATCAATAAGAGAAGTCAATGTTCATTCTTTTCTCTCGATACGTATTCGCTTCCGCGCTCGCCCTGTTCGATATGAAAAGCGAAGTCGAGGAAGGCAAGCACGAGCAATCAATCGCGCTCTTGTATTATAGTTCTTTAATAGTAATTTTATTATTATTATATTCGAAATGTATATATATACATATATATATATATAAATATAGTATATATATATATATAAAAAGCTAATATATTTTGTTAGAAGAGAATGCGCGCGAGTATGTGCGAGAGAAACGGCCGGGAAAATTGTACGTGTGCAAACGCGAGCGTACGTCAACATCTATGTATGAGTACCTGTATGAATATGTGTGTGTGTGCGAATATGTGTGAACATATAGATGTGTAATTCTACGTGCGTGAATGGGTCGATAGCAACGACGATAAACGAATTATTGTAATTACATATTTTATTAGTGTGCGACAAGAGAGATAGAGAGAAAGAGAGGCCTGAATGGGTTCTATTACGTGCTTGCAGTCGTATGTAAAAAAAAAAAAAAAAAAGAAGAATTTATCTTCACTCGTATATGTAAATCCGATGCCTTCAACAGCGGCAACCGGCTGTATGTACCGTGCATTCGTCACAGTTGCATGTATCGTTACGTGCATTCGCGCGCAAATGATTTAATTATGCGAAGACGCGCGATCGCGGTGTGAATGTGGAACGTTTGGCACGATGTATGACTGATACGTATGATATTAGGGTACGAGATTACCTGTCACAGATCACGGTCATCTTGTCTATGCACAAATATATTTTGATATGAAACGTATCCGCGATGTCTGCCTGGTCTCTGCTTCCTTCTCTGTCTCCGCGTCCAGCTTTCCCTCTCATTTTCGTAAATTTGTGCTCTCATATTTTCGATGCTACCTGTCAACAAAGAAATAATGAATATGTATTAGAATATATACTAGAAACTATATGGAAATTATTTTTTATTTTTTACATTTTTGTCAATGTGTCGTGTGCTACATCGTATGTCACGCACTAAATCCATGCGTATATCTATTTATCGCACGATGTGCATCACGTAAATATAAACATCAATCTTTAAATCATATTTTTCACGGGCAATTAAAAGCTAGACGTGGAAGTCCGTGCGTCAGTTTCGTGGAAGAATTAAATTTCTATTGAAATTGATTCGTTATACGCACTAACTTTCCTTGATGTGATACTAAGAAATAAAATTAAATTAATCTCAATTCAAAATTATATTCCTTTAAGGAAAAACAGACGGATTTATTAAAAATGAAATTTATTTAATCTTCTTGGTATCGTATCAAGGAAAAATGACCTGTACAACGAATCAGTTTTGACGAAAAATTCTTCCTTGAAAATGACGCACTGTGTCTGATTGTTATTTGTCTGTTAAATTTAAATATGATTTTCAAATTAAGAATTTAATTTTTTAACTATCAATCTCTTTAATTATTCTTATTGGTATTTAATTATTCTTAATTTTATTTTTACTTAGCGCGCTATGTTTTAGTTTTGAAACTTTTATCATAGAATACATTCAAGTATTCTCCTTTATTTTCCAAAAATACAAGGTTGATAAAATATATATATATCACTATTTTAATAACTTTATATATTTTTAAATCATTGTTAATACGCATGTTTATTTTTTCTGAGATTTAATAAAAAAAAAAAGGTATTTAAAAAACTGTGCGATATTTTTCCTTGAAATAAGGAGAGAAATTTCATCCTAAATAAAAATGACTATTATAAAATCAAAAATTTACTTAGTTGTTTGATAAGCTGAGAGATCCAGCCAAAGCATCATAAAATATAAATCAAAGTCGAGCGCATTATCGCATTCAAGCTTGATTTTAATGGTGTCACGTGCGCGGTCAAACGAGTTTCGCCTCAGGGAGATTTCTTTAAGGCACAAAATGCCACGTCCATACAAAGGTGGACAGTAGTAACCGACTATTAGTCCGTCGAAAAAATCCATCGGCGCACGTATGTGCACCCATACATACAATACATACACTTATAAGGTATACATATGGAAAGCTATTTTGCGCGCGAATCTAACGTAGCGAGAGTGAGTCAGGAGATAAGTTTGTTGTTAGTCAGATTAAGTAGATTAGCATTATTGTGTGACGAGCGTGACGCGCGTCATGGCGAGCACCGCGGAACAGGATACGACGTTTCGCGTGTATGTACGAACGCATGTGCTTGCATCTGAAATCGCACAACGCGCAGTCGATGCGCACGAGGAAGCGCATCGCCTGCTGCTGCGATGGCAAAACGAGTAATTCTTCATATCGCGATATAAAATCATAACGATCTATGCGGCTAAATATATATATATGTCGATTGAGAATTTAATGAGTTCTTTTGACAGAAATGGTAGAACAGAGAATGTCAAATGCACGGAGATAAAAATATTTAAATTAACTCTTCAAATACTTTAATTTTATATCATATGAAAGAATAGTCGCAGTGACATTATTTCATATAAAGCGTGTATATTTTATTTCTCTTCTCTCCTTTTTATTTAACTAAAAATTTTAATAAAAAAATGGGAAAATATGTTTGATACAATAGTTCAAGTATTTGAAAAATTTTAAATATATTAATGTGTAGCAATTTAAATCTTGAGCAATTTAAATTTGATTTTTGTTTTTTTATTTTGTTATCTCTCAAAAGCTATTCTTAAGGAATATATTCTTCAGGAATACTCGGAAACTTTGTTGTTCTCTGTGCGTACAGTCTCACGTGAATTCGCGAATTGATTAGATGAATCTCCTGGACAATTTATCGTATTTCTACGTGATACAATGCACAACGTTGCATTGTGTGCATTCGCACGCCAATATATTGTCCGGGTAAAGCGCAAAATGCACGCAGGCAAGTGTACGAGAAATGAAAGTGTAATGCCGGGACGGAATACTTCCGAAGAATTGGAATCGACATTAATGCAGGGAAATGCACAAAGTGCTTATATATGTTATACAAAATACAGCGTATCTTAGAATGAATAACTTAAACATAAAAAATGGCATTAGCAATTGTGCAATATGGAAAACCTCTTTCAATAATATAATTAACATAAATTAGATTTAAATTATGCGATAAAAATATTTTAGCAATTATAAATAAAATTTACTTTCGATATAATTTAAGATAAACATCAACCTGATTATAATTGATAGTCGTTTTTTATTCCTCAACGACAAGATTTAAAAAATTCTAAAAAATTTTTAAATATATAGGTTTTTAAAATGTGATATTTATGATATATTATGTATTAATTCTTGAACGATGCTAAAATTACATTAAAATAATTACTAATAATCTTTTAGAACTTGAATATACTAAAGTAGCGTAAGACTATCAAAATGTATAGAATTTAGAAAAAAGAGATATTTGTAGCACACAATAATATTCTTTAACATTACTTATCTTATCTAAGATAGCCGTATGGCATCTCCCATTTATTATTAATTATTCGAAAGCTAGATAACTAAACATAAGATCGAATTATATGTATAATGTTTCTTTTAAAATACCTTCTTAAAAAAGACAAAGATATAGTTTAACTGAAAGTTAAAGTTAATTCACGTTGATGAATTTGGCCCTTAGGCTCGATTTAAATATTTACGCTCGAAAGAAAATGGAGCTCTCTAAAATATTTATAACTATTAATTTACTGTTGAATCGATAAAACTTATCAATTGAACATTAATTGATAAAGCCATATCAAATCAATTACTGATTTATTTTTATGTCAATGTTAACATAAAAAAATAAATCAATATTTTCTCAATGAAAATTTTTGGATAAGGTAATTGATTTGATATGTCTTTATCAATATGTCCAATTGATAAGTTTATCAATTCAATAGTAAATTAATAGTTATAGAAATTTTAGAGAGATTTTAGAGAACGCCACTTTCTTTCGAGCATAAATATTAAAATCGAACATAAGGGCCAAATTTATCAACGTCAATTAACTTCAACTTTTAGTTAAACTAAACACTTAATGTTAAGTGTTTAATTTGAATGAAAAAACGTGTGTTAGAGTATATTTTCAAATTTGACAATTGCCGAAATAAAAATAAATAACCGATTAACGCAATTGTAAAAAAACTTATATAATATAATATTGCTTTGTAATAGCATTCATTATGGATTGCGTTAGAATTCGCATTTAACATTTAGGAAAAAATTTATTTTTTCTTCGTCTGTTGAAAAATGCTAAATATACATCTATATAATCTAAGAAATTCCAATTTTCATTTCCAGACTTTTGCAGACTTAAACTAATCATGAAAAGTTCTATTTTTTCAACTGTGCATATAATGCATATATTTTAATAAGACATATTTGATTAATAAGACATTCTTTCATTATTTTGTTATTTTTTTATAATTAAAATAGAATAATAAATAGTAATAAATAAATTTTGTAAACTTTTATTATTTCGAACATTTCATATGCAAAATGTAAAGCATTGTATCTTTAAAGTTTGAAAGTATATGACATCATCTTGTGCTATGCTCGTACACTTGTGTAAAGATTTATTTTTATTAAACACAACATTATAAACAAATTAAATTCTCATGATTTGTTTTCCAACATTCGCCGATATTCTCGCAGCAACGTCAGCGGTTTAACTTCGTTGTCGCATTAAATTTCTGACATAATACGCCAAGTTTTGACGCCTAAATGTCTGCATGCACGTGTCGTTGACGATTCTAGTTTTAGATACAAGCTGTGCCAATTTGTTCGTACACGATACGCTCATTTTTCGAACGTTCCTTCGAACTGAACAGCAATTTCTAGAGAGACAAACAAATTCGCCGGGATGATTAATTCCATGCAAACATTTTAACTTTGCTAATACATCTTATTTCAATCTTAATATCGATGCTATTCTCATTATTATTCACATCAATTCTATTTTACTAAATCATTTTTGTATGTCACATGTAAATTATTTCTATTTTACAAAAATCAATTAATGATTGATGAAACGATTACATTCGCACGTATCTTTTATTTTTATTTTTCGAATGTTATATATATGTATAATACTTTTATTTTTACTAATCTTTCATTCATCTAACATACACACAAACACACATAATATAGATATATGAGATTAGAATTCACATGTATGATACTATGATTTACTATCTGTCATTAGTATTTATTATCAGTATCATTGGCTTCATTTAATTTTTCATATTAACTCAATTAATTTGTTCACACTTGCGGTGTCAATTGGAATAATATTTATTCACGATAATTTTTCCTTTCATTTAACTTTCTATAATTGCTTTTAAAATATAATTTTTAGCATAAATCCAAATTCTATCTACTCTCAATTATTATCAGGATGTTTTTTTTTCAATTGCTATACACACATATACATATACTAATTACAATCACAATTTCTCGATATATCTTATTTATATATGTATGTATGGAAACTCATCATTCAACGAAGAACGCATTCATAATTTAATACAGAAAGCTCTAGTCGCGCCGAATGTTACCTGCACTTCTATTATCAATTGGCTCTTTGTTCTAGCTTGAGCGATCATGGCAGACTGCCAGTTCAAATTTAAAAGAGACAACAGTCTTTAATTCGTATTAGCATTATCATTTGCTTCTTTCTAGACATTAAGTATCAGTATTCATTTCAGTTTATCTCTTATAGATATTACATTCCGAAGGAAATAGCCCGATAAATTGGGTTGTTCTATATATTAAAAATAAAGATATAAAATAAAATATTTTCCTAAATATTGATATTATTGTAAAATTATGGCAAAGTTAAGCAATTAAAACTTACGATAGTTTTCCAAATTATTTTTTTTCTTAGGGCCAGAAATAGTAAAATATTGTCAATTTTTTAAATACTAAATAATGCACTTAAGAAGATTGCGAGCTGTTTAAAATGATTACAAAAAGGATATATATATATACTTGCATATACTAATCGTCGATATATTGTCGAACGATATTTCGAAAAAAAAGTGGAAAAGCATGATAAAGGCGCGCCGTCAGCAACACGATACTTCGACTTTCCCGGCCGTGTTTATAGTTACCTGCGTTCCTATCCGCTCACGACCGCCTGGTCTCTATTCTGGCTACGATGGTATATGGGTTAGGGCCAACTCTGCCAAGACCGCCTCGCACCCACGCGTATTCGTTTCGCGCCCGATTCTCTTTTCGCGCATATATGCACGACAAATAAACCTCACGAAAATGAGCGAGCGAACTTGTATATCTCGCAAATTGCACTGCAATGTTGCGCGAAACAAAGTTGCACTTGCTCGTGCATACAGATCTAGCAAAACTTCGACATGGCTTGCTAAATGCAACAGATGACATTGAGCCGACCGTTGGTTGGTGTTCTTGCGTCTCGAGCCAGATTCGCAAGATGTGCAGCGGAAACGGACTCCGAATTAGTCGCGACGCGTCACCTCGCGGCATCTTAGCCGTCGACATTCGTGACAGAAAATCTTGATCTATTAATTTTAGCTATATTAATGACTGGGAATGACAAATATTATTTAAAATTTGCGATATTTCACGCCGTTCATTATTGTCATTGAACAATATTTCTAAAAGAAAGTGGAAAAGCCTGATAAAAGCGTGCCGTCAGTCAAAAATTATCAGTTATTAAAATAGCATATTTATGCAAAATAATCCATTACTTTAATATTGAAGGATTTTAAAAAATAAAAAATTTTGTAATTGAGAAAAATAAAAAAATTAGTCTGTTGTATAATATAAAATTATTTTATGAATTATATAAAAGTCTCATGATAAAAAAATAAGTGATAGAAATAAAGAAAATATTGTAACGAGGTGTTGACAATATGTATATCAACAAGTGTGACATAATATTAAGAATTGAAAATTGGATATTTTTTAGACTTTAATTAATTGCCTTGAAATTAATGTTTGCGTGTAAAATTTCTTGTGCAGAATTTCACGAACTGGATGGAAACGCATCTAATCCGGAGTTAAAAGAGGTCTGCCGTCGATCGGCATCGCGAGACTCAACGCTGCGAGCACGATGTGGGTGTGACCTGGTTTGCGAGAGTTTCACTTTCCTGTAACATCGTTGCACGGAGGAGGTAAGGAGGATTCGACCCCAGAGTTACGTCATGCATTGTTATGCCGGCCGTAACGGCTCGTAGTCGTACGTGCGGAACTTTGCGGGAATGAAAATTAACGAAAGGAACGAGAGAGAAAAAGAGAGAGAATCAGATCCCTCGCGAATCGATCGGCGTCGATGGACTCTGGGGATCTCTTGTATTTTATGCCGTACATTTCTTGACTGTCCGAATGAGTATAATTTGAAATATTTAAAGTCTTACAAAAAATCTAGAATTTGACATCTAGATATATAAAATAAATTTAAAATGATTTTAAATAAAAACCAAATCAACCAATTAAAAAAAAGTTGATCACAGATGCGTTTTTAATATAAAAAATTGGAATTTTTATTTCATAATCAAATTACAAATTATTATATATATATATATAATTTATAAAAAAAAACTATAACTCATTCTTGAAGTGTAAAAAATGAAATGTAACAATTAAAAGATTGACAAGATATACATATATCTACAAATTTACGCTTATATACTTATTATAATAGCATGCTTATTCGAGAATATATCCATGGAGTTTTTTCAGAAAAAAATTTTTACGGCTGTTTTTCCACAATAATTAAATAATCTCATTCTGCCGTGCGAACATGATAAGACATCGCGTCAAACTCACATCGTGTGTTGCTATATGAGTGCCTGTGACTATACGTATACATATATCTTCACTATGATCTTTGAGTGTCGGAGTAACAAGTACATAAAAGAGCGTTCTAGCGTGCGACCTATATTCCACGCCTGCATCGCTATATTAGACGCGTACGACGCATCAGGAACACGCCTGAAAGCATCTCTCTCTTTCTCTCTCTTTCTCTGTTTCACCTGCTGCCAATCAAATCCAAATTCGAAAAGCAATAAATAAGTATATTCATAGCTTCCTTGTATTTAGACGAAGAGAAGAAAGAAAAAAGGTAAGTCAATATTGAGATGACAAAAATAAATATTAATGCGACAATTGAATTATATATAAATAACGAGAAATGAAAGAAAATCATTTATCTAAATCTACGTGAATATCTGAAAATTCATCGGAACCTCAAATTTCTGACAGCCGATGTTTATTATTCTTTTGTGAAATTTACTTTGATGATTTTAAGACGGCGCGTTTTCCCTTACATCGGTATTACAAATAAATAATCAAGAGCGAGGTGCAAAAATTTTCCCCCAAAATAAAAGTGCACACGTTTGCATATTTAATGTCGCGCAGCATCCAAACGACGAGAGCGACAAATTTGTCACAAATGCAATATTTATAGTATAAATTATGTATACACGCGTATGAATAATGACGCGTTCGCTTCCCACGGGAGAGAAATGATGATGATCGTTCGATCGAGCGTTCACGAATTCGGAACGTGCAGCCGGTTCTCGTCCCACACGAATCGACGCGAGTATGACAGCATGCGTGCACGCACCGATGCGCGTTTACGCGAGGAAGAAGCCGGAGGATTTATTTTCGTCGCGGCCGCGTTCAAACGCATCACCCACTCGTTCTCGGTGGACTACCGCAGCCACATTCTAAAGGCCACACACCGGTATCTTTATACGGTCGTTTACTCTCCGGGACAACGGTAAAACGGGCTAGAGACGCTGCCTAAAAGTCAATGAAAGCCACTTCCGCGTTGGCATCTCATACGCACGCAATGAGTCATAATTTCATCTCAGGACGCACTCACATGCACTCGATCTCTGAAAAACCCTAATTTTTTTTCATTGCAAAATAGTCTTTATCTCAGCTCTTCTTGCATTTTTATATTTTATTTTATACGTACTTAGGAAAGAAACGTCAAACTATAGGTATAGTTATATTTATGTAAATTATAAATGCATTAAAGTATATATGTAAATCTTTGGACTTGAACTTTGAATCAAAGTCATAAAAAAAGTTAGTTTTTTTAATTGCGAAATAGTCTTTGTCTCAGCTCTACTTGCATTTTTATATTTAATTTTATACGTACTTGAGAAAGAAACGTCAAACTAGTTACAGGTATATTTATGTAAATTATAAATGTATTAAAATATGTAAATCTTTGGACGAGTATTTCTATAAATTTTTCACTATACTTTCAATAATTTAATGAAATATTCTTACAATTTTTTTATTGCACAGAATATTTATTTGATTTATGATGTAATTTTGAATACACATAATTTGTGCGGATCCACGTTAGATCAATTAAGCACCGAGAGTATGCGAAAAAGTAGACCTTAATTAAACTTAATTAAGGAGGTTACAATTATAGTCGGCTACTATGCAACCTGGATAATCAGTATGAAAACACTCCAAAGATATGCATATCGCTCGCGGCATAAAAGGGTTAACGAGAGTGTTCTCATGAGTGGATTATGCCATTCGCTTAGTTAACGCTGCATAAATCTAGCAAATGACTAGCATAGTACTTTGTGAATTAATGGGAGATAGGAACATTCGTCGTGTCATCACTATAAAACTTCGATTTGCAAGGGAAACGCAAGAAATAGAAAGGATGCAGTGCCAAAGTGCGACAAACATTCGTAATATGCATAAATGCGTATAAAACGCATTTCAGATTACGCATTTAATTCTTAAATCTCGTTTCTGCTATAAATTCTCGATATATAGGAAAAATAGATAATTTTGTGTATTGCTGAATTTTTTAAAATTATTTCTGAAAGTATATATATATCAATCGAATCAATATATATCCCTACGATGTGTTATGCATTGACTGTATTTTTAAGAATGCATTATGCATATCGAGCAATCGATTCGATTGGCGAGAGTCAATATTTTGCAAGCAAGACAGCGCGATATTAATAACCGAGAAAGAAACGCGACAATTCCATATGGCCAACCTAAATTCTATAAGAGCTGAATGTAACTGACACAAGATAAACTAAATAGAGACAACGAAAAGATTAATGCAATTAGACTTGTGTATCTATGATACTTTAGAAAATAAACTAACTTTTAAATACACACGTCAGATTTCTGAATAAAAAAATTTAATTTATATAGAAGCTTATTGGAAAATTTTTGTCTTTATACAAGCTTGTATATAATTATTTATGCATATTAACATTATTTCTTTCTATTTCACGAGAATATTATATACAGATAAAACCTTTACTTTCTTCTTATAGAAAACTGTGAAATTAAAGATATTTAATTGGAGTCATTATGACATCGCCCATAAATAATGCAAATATCTACGTTTTGTTTTATGATCGAGAAATTCTTATTTATACGCTGAAAAAAAAGCTATTGAATTCAAATAACTATTTACTTAAATAGTTCCATTTACATTCGATTGAAACAAATAAATATTTATCTGTTTTGAAAAGGATTTCTTATATCAAATAAATATTTTTTCACAGCAAATCAATATTATTAGTTTCAAAAAAAAAATGATGTATAAAATAGTATTAAAATAAATATTTATTTGAACAATAAAATAATTTTTTTTTCAGTGTACACTGAAAAAAAATTATTAACTTGACTACATCGTTCAACTAAATTACTATTTTGTTAATTGAGCATATATTGAATATGTTGCATTTAATTTAAATATTTCTACATGTTCATATAATATTTAATTAAACGATTTAGTGAAGTTAACAAAATTTTTTTCAGTACTTATATATACACATTCGATTCGTACGCGATATTGAAAAATACGCGACGCGCGGATCTTCGCGACTGCACTCAACTGTGCAGTCGATGTCCTCTCCCCGTCGAACGACCGCGATCTCTCAGCTCCTCTCATTAAATCACAAATGAATGACATTAGCGGTGCTATAATATCGTGCCGCTATTACCGTGACGGGTATTACGTGTCACGAGGCGTGCGCGCGCGTTCTCTCTCTCTCTCTCTTTCTCACTCTTGCATCCGTCTTGTTCTCTCTCTCGTTCCCTCTCACTCCATCTATCCTCCTCTCTCTCACTTCCTCTTTAGCCTCGCCACTCTCTCTTTCCATCTCCCTCTCTTCTTCTCCTCCTCTCTGGAAACGCTCTTACTGTTGCATGCAAGGAATCAGGTCACTGCGCTGCAAGAAAGCAAAAGCCGCGGCTACGCGAGAGAGCGCGGATTAGTATTATCGAATATACCTATATCCTCCGGAAAGGGACGATGACTAAGGCGCCGTTTCGACAGAACTTTCGCGCACGCATGCACGCGATCGCGGCCGAACCGCGCTACACTCGTCGTCTCATGCGTGAAAAACTTTATCAGTCATCACGCGGTGCGTGAAATACCGGCTCGCAATTGCCTATTTTCAATTTCCCTCTCGTCGATTCGGAAATATATTCAGAAAAAAACTAGATATACTTCGTGTATAATCAAAGAAACGTCACTTTACTCGCCATTAGTTCGACTTAATTATTTATATGTCAATCATCGCAGCATATTTTTCAAGTCCTATAATGACATGAATTAAGAGATGTTTTTTTTTATAAGTTATGTTATTTTGCACGGCAGTTATGAAATTTGTGCAATATTTGAAAAGATAGCTAATAATTGATTAAACTAGAAGCCGGCGCTCCGAATCCCGCGCGATCAGCTGATTCATATATAGAAAGAGCGAAGGAAGGGTCGTTCGCGCAGGTCATGGTTCAATTATTATATGACGCTGTTACTCGAATACGGTGCCGCATCTGCATACACACGGTCATCCTAAATGCTAATGGCGTTCTTCGCGAATCTTTCTCTCGCATAAACGCCGAAAAAAAAATTATTAAATTCGAATGTATATTTATTTCAATATTGTCTAATAAATATCATTTATTTGAAACTATAATAATATTGATTTGATGTGAAAAATATTTATTTGATATAAAAAACTTCTTTTCAAAACAGATAAATATTTATTTGCTTTAAATAAATGATTTATCAGGCAGTATTGAAATAAATATTTATTAATTTATCAATTTCTTTTTTTAGCGTACTCCGCGCTTTGCTCTGTGCACGCGCTTTTCTCATATT